CGGACCCGTCATCATCTACCAGCCGGAGAACGAGTACACCGGGGCCGTTGACGGCGAAAAGTTCCCGGACCCAGACTATTTCCAATATGTTATTGACCAGGCCCGCAAGGCTGGCATTGTGGTACCGATGCTCAGCAACGACGCATCCGCTAGTGGGCACAATGCCCCGGGGACTGGGAAAGGCGAGGTGGACATCTACGGTCATGACAGCTACCCGTAAGTCTACTCTCTCTTTCCATATAGAAGTGATCTAACGTGCTTAGGCTTGGATTTGATTGTGTATGTCACTCCTCCTAGCAAAGCAGCCACAGATGATCTAACAAACTAGGCCAATCCGAGTGTGTGGCCCAAGGGCAATCTCCCGACCGACTGGCGTGCGACGCACCTCGAACAGAGCCCGTCAACCCCATATTCTCTCGTCGAGGTAGGCCTTTTCACTCTATGGTGTGAACATAGTTAACGGTCATAGTTTCAAGCCGGTGCTTTCGACCCGTGGGGAGGTCCGGGTTTCGATAACTGCGCGGCGCTCGTAAACCATGAATTCGAGAGGGTGTTCTACAAGAATGACTTCAGCTTTGGGGTTGCCATCCTCAATCTGTACATGGTATGTTTCCCTACCCCATGTCATACTCATGCTAAGAGGTTAGACCTTCGGAGGAACCAATTGGGGCAATCTCGGCCATCCCGGTGGATACACTTCGTACGACTATGGATCGCCGCTGACCGAGAGCCGCAACATTACCCGCGAGAAGTACAGCGAGCTCAAGCTCATTGGTAACTTCGCCAAGGTATCCCCGTCGTACCTTGTTGCGACACCAGGGAACTGGACCACGGGTGTTTACTCGGATACAACCGATCTGGTCGTCACGCCGCTGATCGGACAGAAGACGGGGTCGTTCTTCATCGTCCGACACACCGATTATAGTAGCCAGGCGTCCACTCCCTACAAGCTTCGGCTCCCCACGACTGCGGGCAATGTGACTGTTCCCCAGCTAGGGGGAAAGCTGTCCCTGAATGGCCGTGACTCCAAGATTCACGTCGTGGACTACGATGTGGCGGGGACAAACGTGCTGTACTCAACTGCGGAGGTATTTACCTGGAAGAAATTTGGCAAGGACAAGGTTCTTGTTCTGTACGGTGGTCCGGAAGAACACCACGAGTTTGCGATTGCTTCCAAATCTGAAGCTGTCGTTGTTGAAGGCTCCGAATCTGGAATCGAGTCGAAGAAGATCAGGAATGCAGTCGTTGTTGCTTGGGATGTCTCGTCGACCCGACGCATCGTCGAGGTTGGTGATCTGAAGGTCGTTCTTCTCGGTAAGCCGCTGCACAGCCTCTCCAACATGAAGTCCACTGACTCGTCAAGACCGCAACTCGGCGTACAACTACTGGGTCCCTGAGCTTCCCTCCGAGGGGAAGTCGCCCGGACTGAGCACCGCAGCCAAGACTGCTTCGTCCCTCATCGTCAAGGCAGGCTATCTCGTCCGGACAGCCCACCTGCAGGGTGCCAATCTGCATCTGACCGCCGACTTCAACGCGACTACCCCGGTAGAAGTCATCGGAGCACCATCGCGCGCGAAGAATCTGTTCATCAACGGCAAGAAGACCACCCACAAGGTTGACAAGAACGGCATCTGGAGCACCGAAGTCCAATACAAGGAACCTGCAATTGACTTGCCCAGCCTCAAGGACCTCGACTGGAAGTATCTCGACACGCTTCCCGAGATCCAGCCATCGTACGACGACTCCACCTGGACGGCAGCCAGCTTGCGCCAGACGAAGAACTCAATGCACCCGCTCAAAACGCCAACCTCTCTCTACTCGTCCGACTACGGCTTCCACACCGGCTACTTGATCTACCGCGGCCATTTCACCGCCCAAGAATCAACGGAAGGCGACGACACAACCTTCTTCGTGCGCACCCAGGGCGGCTCCGCCTTCGGCAGCGCAGTGTGGCTCGACAAGACCTTCCTCGGATCATGGCCAGGCCTCAACGCCAACAAAGACTACAGCTCAACCTACAAGCTCCCCCAACTCCAAAAGGGCAAGTCCTACGTCCTCACAGTAGTAATCGACAACATGGGCCTCGACGAAAACTGGACCGTCGGCCAAGACGAGATGAAGAACCCCCGAGGCATCCTCGACTACAAACTCTCAGGCCACGACGCCAGCGCCATCAAATGGAAACTCACCGGCAACCTCGGCGGCGAAGACTACGCCGACAAGACCCGCGGGCCCCTCAACGAAGGCGGCCTCTTCGCCGAGCGCCAGGGGTTCCACCAGCCCAAGCCACCCACCCAGTCCTGGCCATCCAGCAGTCCACTGGAGGGGCTCACGGACCCAGGAATCGGGTTCTACAGCGCCTCCTTCGACCTCGACATCCCGCAAGGCTGGGACGTGCCGCTTTACTTCCACTTCGGGAACAGCACCGAGGGCGAGCCGGCGTACCGCGTGCAGATGTTCATCAACGGGTACCAGTACGGCAAGTTCGTGAACAATATCGGGCCCCAGACGGCCTACCCCGTGCCGCAGGGGATTCTGAACTACCAGGGTCCCAACTGGATTGCGTTGAGCGTGTGGGCGCTGGAGAGCGGTGGGGCCAAGGTCGAGAGTCTGGAGTTGGGGTATACGACGCCTGTGTTGACTTCGCTGGAGGTGGAGGGGTCGGAGCAGCCGGTTTGGAAGAAGCGGAGGGCTTACTAGCTGTTTTGGTAAAAGCTTGTGAATAGAGATCAGAGGGTTGGGTAGATCTTTGTCAGGTGTATACGATTCCGGGATAAGCTTTTGATTCAGGATAGTAACTGGTATTGATTGTTAATTAACATTATGCGTTAAACATTATATTTGATCGTAGAGTGAGCGACCAGCCATTTCTTCTCTTCAACAGATTCCAATAAGTAGCCATTTCTTGTTGTAAAGAATCACCACTGGACCACAGAATATGTCTTGAGGGAACCGAATGAAGCTAAAAGATAATTTACTGCCGCTTTCTACTGCCTTGTCAAGATTCGACGGACCATTCTGCAGTCTATATACACTGCAGACGGCCCTTTGGTAGAGGATAGGCTCATGATGAGAACGCACCAGCAGCATACTCCGCCGCGGGAAATAATAATTGCAGAGAAAGAACACCATGAAAACTGCAAGGGGGAGATTTGTGGAACGCATGACTCGTGAACACATGGCCTGGGAATGATGACTTGTCCCTATTTGACATTCTTTGCGCTTTGTGGGTAACCATATTGCGATATTTGTTTAAGATTGAGCCAAATGCAGTCTTCAAGGTACGTGGACCCATCTGTGGCCACTTGGCTCTCTTTGATTCCATCCATATCTCAGAATGGTTAATACTTCAGTCTGACAAAGTTTCAGTCTGACCCATGAGATCTGAGTCTACATAGTCGTTTCTGTAGGTGTGGGTTAAGAGTCACCCAGCTCATGCAATATCGAAGTTGCCAAGAATGTATGAAGGTCGTGAGTTAGGGTCAGCGCGTTCATTAGTCGAACAATAACAGCGTTGTTGATTACATGGATAACACCGAGGTTAAACTTTTCAGGATATTGTAAGTTATTTGTTTCGTATCTGGCTGGATATTATTAGTTAGGATGCAAATACTCATGGCGTGCTCACTTACCAGTGTCTATCCACTTTCTTCGCTGGTTAGTGATGTAAGATGAGATAATGAGGGAAGATGTGTGCTACTTCTAGATACTTTGTCGTATATACCACGCTCTAGAAGTAATGGTTCCGTCACCATCGGTGCTCTTGTATCTATCACGTTGTCGTCGGTTCTCGGCTTCCTGGGCATTGATTGAACAAGCGAAGAATAACGCACCGGCGGTAATCACGAGGCGGGCCACTGGCAAAACACCAGTAGCCGCTGCTTTGGGGGAGTGGGTAAAGAGGATGCCTTCTGCCGCCATGATGCGGAGGAGGTAGCGGAGCTTCAGGATGTCCTGTCCGAGGTACTTCGCCTGCCCTATGCGTTCGTTCGTCAGGCATCATGTGGCCGTTGTCGTAGTGCGTCGCGTTCCAGAACTCTTCAAAGCCGCCGTCGTCCATGATGGACGTTGCAGAGACCTCGTTACAGGGTACGCGCTCTTATTGTATGTGGAGATGCACTGCGGGGTTCTGATAGCTCTTTCTAGCGTTCTAGAATGCGAGATAGCTGTGTATGTTGGTGTTTTGACGGCCAATGCCTTTCTTGATCCACGTTGGTACCTATCCCACAACCCAGATACGGACATGACGTACAGGGCAAAAAGAAGTGGTCTATCAAATACCGACAGGTTTATAGCCACCGCTGGTAGGCACTAGTAGCCAAGGAGGACCCAGTCCTCAATAATCTCATATCGCAATGGAAGAAGAAAATTGCCCCGAGTCTGGTAGCTTGTCTCCCATTCATCATTTTCAGCAGAGAAGTAGATCTGCTGGGAGTTACCCAGTGTTCCCATGACCGTTACGCAGTCATATATATACTGGCTTTGAGAATTCAATTCAATATAAGTGGGATGGATGCTCTGTCCTGTTGGGTTTGGTCCTCGGCGTCTATCAATTTAGACAGCGTAGAACGGCGGAGGCCGTGAAAGACGTCATGACACTTTTATATAGACCTTATGAGTAACCCTATATTCAGCATCTCATCAAATGTTCGGTCTGCGAGCTGGTTATGGGTTCTGATAAGGAGCGATGACGATGAATTCATCCGGAGAGACGGGAAGTGGATCGATCTGCCTGGTTTACTGTGGTGTTGGCCTTGTTTTAACTTCCAGGTTGTGTGTCAAGCCTGTAGGATGGATAGGTTAGATAATTCAATTCAATTACTGGAGTTATATGGTGATACGTGATTATTCACCACTATTGTGAGTCTCCACAGTGACTCTATCCAATGGTCCACCATATCGTACCAACCACCAACTAAAGATCGGATATATCCGCAGCCGCCCTGGCAACCACGAGAGAGTCCGGAGTCTAAAGAACCACAAACAACCCATAACCATAACCTTAAACCACTACACATCACAACCTTAAATAATCAACATCAAACAAATACCCCAAATTCAACGACCACCAAAAAAAAAAAAAACAAACATACCCAAGAAGCAGGACTATGGGCAAATAATACCACCACCATGCCCGCTCTCTCCAGCACCACCACAACAACTCTCCCACCACCATGGCAAATCCAACGCCAAACAGAAGACCACCAACACCAACAACAAGGCGAAGAAGACGACCAACAAGATGAAAAAGAAAATGATATCCACCTCCACAAACGAACCTCTCCCCCCCAAATCCCCCTCCCCAAAACCGACTACCTCACAATCTCCATCCCATCCACCTACGGCCGCCTGAACACGTCCCCCGCCCCCGGTACAGTCGTCGGCATTATGCTGGGCAGCATCGCAGGTTTCCTCTTCCTGCTGTACCTGCTTTATCTGGGTTTAGGAGCGGGACGGCGCTTCGGGAGCGTTACGGCGGGTACAACTGCTACGATGACGACCATGTCGACGACGTCTGCGTCCGAGTCTGTCGATTTAGGCGGGAGGGGAGGCTATTATCGGGATCGGAAGCGGTATCGGCGGGGTCGGACTAGTGGAGGAGGTGGTGCTTGGGTGAGGAGGCCTCGTCGTGGCGGTGGGGGTGGAGGTGGAGGTGGTGATGGAGGCGTGGTGGAGGTTGAGGAGGAGATGTCGCCTTCGCCGGGGAGACGGTATCGGAGGGGGGATGGGGGCGGGGAGGTGTTTGTTGGGGAGGAGGAGAGTTCCAGGGGTCATCCGGAGCAGGATCATGTGGTGGAGGTGTTTGAGGAGCAGTCGAGTGTGGATGGGTCGAGGGTGTCTCGACCGCCGCCGGGACGGAGGTTTGGGAGGGGATATCGGAGGGAGGAGAGGGATCCGTTGGCTTATGGGAGTGAGCTTAGTTCTTGATTTTGTTTTCTTGTTCTCTGTTTCTTTTTTTTTTCTTTTGATTGTTTGTTTTTTGCGCGGACTTGGATATGGATGGGTATGATGTATGATGTAATGCAATATGATACCAATGCGAATGAATACAACTCGGTCATTAATAAAAATAAAGAAGACGAAGAAAAGTAGAAGACAAAACAAAAGAAGAAGGGAAGAACCCCATACTCCACGCAAAACGCCCAATCCATCTCATCTCTCTACCCCATCCATCTCCGTCTTACAAGACAGACGACGAGAAACAACCCCCCAGACACAACGACAGAAGGATATTATTATAACATAACCAACCACCAACAGCCCCCTTAGAACAAAATATCCAAACAACAACAACAAGCCAACGCAGCCATGATACCCGCGCAGATCCCGCCCCCGGACCCGCCGTCGCGGCCCCGATCATCGGCGTAGTACCCCGGCTGCGGCTGCTGCTGCTGCTGCGGATACCCCGGTTGCTGCTGATAGTACATGCCCCCCTGGGGAGCCCCCTGGGGCGGCGGCGACCCGTAGTAATTCTGGGGCGGAGGAGGTCCGTAGCCTTGTTGCGGGGGAGGACCGTAGCCGCCTTGGTTGTAGTAGTCGTTGGCGGCGCCAGGGCCAGGGGGTGGAGTGCCTTGGTAGGGGCCGGCGTCGTAGGCGGGTTGGGGGTAAGCTGGGGGTGGACTTGTCTGCTTATTGTTAGTGATTATTCCTCTTCTTCTTGTCTGTTGGTTTGTTGGGTTCTTGGGGAGGGTAAGGTAAGGGTGGATTATGCGCGGTGGCTTGGCTTGGGGGTTGGGAGACGTACGGGTTTGTTGTAGGACATGGCGACTGTTCTTCTTCGGGGTCGACTTAATGATAGAGGATTTTGTTATGAATCCGGCGTGGAGTGGAGGGAGGAAGGGTGTGAGTGAGAAGGAGAAAGCGAGAAAGCGAGAGAGAGAGGAGAAGAAGTTCGACTTGGCGCTTCTCGGTCCCGGTTAGGCAGCCACGTGAGCGGTCGGATGATGATTCTCAATTACGTCGATCGATGAATCTATTCAAATCTCCCCCGAAACCAGATCGTGCGAAACTAGGTAGGAGGTACCCGGGAATCTGCAGATGGGCATATTTATAGAATCAATTATGGACACCGCCACAGGGGTCAAGTGGCAGTGCAGGATGTATTAGGGATCGCGAAAACCAGGATGATATATCCATCTAACTTTTCATGCGCTATACAAAATTCAGGTGATCAACCACATCTCTCCACGATATCAACGCTTATACATGCAATGCAAGTCTATGCCTTCTCCTCCAGCGACGCCTTCTGGAGCTCCTCCGTCGCATCAGCGACCGCGTCCTTCTCCTGCTTCAGCTCCGCCTCGGCGGTGGGCTTGCTGTTGGCCTGGGCCGGCTTCTTGCCCGCGTCCGTCGCGCGTCCGTTCTGCGCCGTCTTCTCCTCCTCCTCCAGGCGCGCGATCTCGGCTTCGACCTTCTTGATGTTCTACTGGGGTTAGTTTTATGCACGGGGACAAAACATAAAAATTATAAGAAAGGGGAGGGGGAACTCACCTCCGCGGTCTTAGTAGCCTGGTTCTTCTTCCACTCGGTGACCTTCGCCGCCAGCTTCTCAATCGAGGCCGGCACGTCCGCCTGGTTCATGGGCGGGTCGATCTTAACCTTGGCGAAATCCTCGATAATGCCAACGTTGAGGTTGAAGCCGGTGGCCCCGCTGCTGGCCGCCGTCCCCTTCTTGCCCTTCTTGCCCTTCTTGCCTGCCGTCCCCACAAAGTAGTCGTCCTCCTCCTTCTTGACAACCTTGAAGCCCTTCATGCCGGCGTCGTCGATCTTGCGACCGACCTCGGCGCGGAAGTTGGCGCCCTCGTCCTTGGGCTTGTCCAGCTGCAGAGCGCCAAAGTCGTAGGCCGGGTCGAAGTGGCGGATCAGCCCCTCCGCGGTCAGGATCTCGTCGGTGTAGGCCAGCTGCGAGGCCTCCTCCAGCTTCTTATCGGCGACCTTCTTCCGCTTCTCGCGCTCCATGGTCTCGCGCTGCTCCTTCTGGCGCTCGCGGCGCACGCGCCACGCCTCGTCCTCGTACTCCTTGTAGGCCTTGCGCGCCTTGTAGTAGGTGTCCTTCACCTCCCGGATGGCGGTCCACTTCTTCTGCTGCTCGCCGTGCAGGCGGGTGCGCTCGTCGCGCAGGGCGTTCAGGTTCTTGAAGACGCCGTCCTGCTCGGCCTTGATGCTGTCCAGCTCCTTCTGGATCGCGGTGTACTGGTCGCTGAGGGCCTTGGCCTCCGGGTTATCGAGGGTCTTCTTGAGGGCGGCGATCTGAGCCTTCAGATCGTCGATGTTCTTCTGGGCTTCGTCCAGGCCGGCGAAGTTCTTGCGCTGCTTGCGCAGGTTGGAGACGGTCGACAGCGCATTGCGCTCATCCACCAGCCGCAGCGTCCCGGAGTCGACCTGCTTCTCCAGGCGCGCAATCTCGCGATCGATCTCTTCGACGTTCTTGAAGGACATGCGCGTGCGCGAGGTGTTCTGCTCGGCGATGCGGGCCTTGAGGGTGGCGTCCAGGCCATTGATCTTCTCCTGGGTGCTGGTGCGCGAGGACTTGAAGCCCGACTGCTTCTGGCGGATCGAGGCGAGCTGGGCCCGGAGTTCCTGCTGCTTCTTGGCGACGGGGGAATCCTTGTTGTTGGGTTTGGCGGTCTCAATCTTGGCTTTGACTTCATTCTGCAATCGTCAGATGGCGGCCCTAATCCTCGCAACTTTTCGAATCCACATGACTACGAACCAGCTTCTCCTGGACGGCAGCATGCTCCTTCTCCGCCTGGGCCAGGTCGACCTTGTAGGTCTCCTCATTGGGCTTCTGGGGCCGGGCCTGGGGCTCGTCAGCAGCCATGGCGAACTATAGAGAAAGAATAAACACGAATTGAACGAATCCAAGGGGGAATAATAAAACGACAAGAACGAAAGAAGCAAGGGGAGAGGAAAAGAAAGTGGGGGGAAACAACCAAGGGGAGAGAAAAGAGGTGGAGAGAAGAGGAAAGAAGCGAAGTTGTTCTTTTGCCTTCTTGGGACTTTCTCTCGTTCGGGCGTTGGCGGCGCTTAAACGGGTCCGGTCCGCCTTTAGCGCCGGCCGATTTTGATTTCTCACTTTGGACGGCTTCATCGGTCTCTTCTCACTACTTCACTTTCCACTTACCCCATTCCCCTTGTCTTCCTCTCTCCCGCAGTAACCATGGATGAGGACTACTCCACTGGCTCGGTCGACTCCGACCGTGAGATGACCCGGTTGTGGCGCACATGGCGCACCGTCTTCGAGATGCTTCAAGATCGAGTATGTCACCAAATCTCACCAAACAGCTGAACGAAAGAAGAAGAAGGAAAGCTAACATCTACCAGGGCTACGAAGTCACCGAAGAAGAAGTTCAAATCCCCCTCACCGAATTCCGCATCAAATACGCCGACCCGATGGGCTATCCCGAGTATGCCTACCTTTGACCTCCCCACCACCACCGCAGCAACACCCACAACCCAAAGATACCCACCAAACTAACCTCCCCAGTCGCAACAAGATGAAAATCCAAGCCCGTCCCTCAGAAGCCATGGCCGCCAAATACACGCCCCTCCCCAGCAAATCGAACCCGTCGCCCCAGCCCGACTGCGGCACCATCTACGTCGAGTTCTGCGCCGACGCCAGCGGCGTCGGCACCAAGCAAGTGCGCGCCTTCAACCACTTCGTCGACGAGAACAACTTCCACACCGGCGTCTTCATCACCCAGACCCCCATCTCGCCCTCCGCCGTCCGCCTCCTCGGCTCCCTGCCCGGCCGCGTCTGCGAGCACTTCCAGGAGCAGGATCTGCTCGTCAACATCACCCGCCACGAGCTCGTCCCGAAACACGTCCTGCTCAGTCCTCAGGAGAAGGTGCGGCTGCTGGAGCGCTACCGTCTGAAGGAGTCGCAGCTGCCTCGTATCCAGGTGTCGGATCCGGTGGCGAGATATCTGGGTTTGCGGAGGGGTCAGGTCGTTAAGATCATTCGTCGGAGTGAGACTGCTGGGCGGTATGCCAGTTACCGCTGGGTCATCTAATTTTTTTAATTTTTTTTTTTGTTCTTCTTTCTTTTTCCTGATCTGCCCGCTGGGCACAGCATGGAGAAAGAAAGAAGGCATGAAAAAGATGAAGAAAAGAAAAAAACGGGGCGAAGCGAAAAAACAAAGAAAAGAAAAACACCCGCATGGGCAGCATGGCGTATGGGCGAAATCTTACAGAGTGGACTTGACTGGGCTGTATGGATAGTATCCTTTTTTCTATTTTATTTTACTGGACTTTAATTTGTGTTTTTATGATTAGTCTGGACGAGTCATTGAAGCTATAAACGACCATTTACCTACCATCTACCGATTTACTGGCTAAACATATACTGACAACGTATCTATTTGTCGACTTTAAATCACACAAATTAAGACAATAAATCGAGCAATCCATGCTATATTCCATTAACTATGTGATATCCAGTGCATAAATTCATAAGTTAGATTCATGATATGTCCGTAATAAATCAGCGCCGTAGAAATCCGCCTGTCCACCCGCTCAAACGAACAAGATAGTAGAAATATTTCCGAGTCCTCCCATATGGTACAGCGTCTAACGTCGTGACTGCGTGAGATTATGTATGTGTATGTGATAATGAGGACGATGAGGATGTGGATGGGGATAGGATCAGAATGATGATATTGGGTGAATGAGGATAGGATGAGAATGGGTATAGGATGAGAATGATGATAGAGGGTGAATGAGGATAGGATGCGAATGGGGATTAGATGTGCCTGGGGATAGAAGAGGATAATGATCAGGAAGACCTCTCCAACAACCCCCCTACATCCCGCAGCTCAACCTCATACACCCCCTCAGGGATAGGCGGCACCGGCACATCCGACGACGGCCGATAAGCAGCAGCAGAAACGTAGTCTGGCGGATCGCCAAAATGCACACTCGGTCTGCGCCATTGTGCTGGGCTCGATCTGCGAGGGCGACTGGGTGCGGAGGACTGAGTAGGTGGGGCGGAGAGTAGGCCCCCCACGTCTTGGAGGGGGACTCCTCCTTCTTCGAGGGGACTCGTCGGTGAATAAGACTGGGGGGGAGGAAGTGGGTATCGCTGGGTGAATTGGAGGTGTTGTTGTGCTGTGGCGGTGGCGGTGAAGGTCTGGCTTGTTCCGCTGCTGATGTCGACGAGGGAAAGGTGTCGTGGTGAGATGCTGGAGTCTCTGGATTGCTTGCGCGAGGGCTTGCGTGAGGGGTTGCGGGGCGGCTTGTTCGTTGGGAGGTACTCGTGAGGATGTACTTTCATGTCCAGGCTGCCGGTGGTCGAGGTGCGGTCGTCGGCGTCCTCGTCGTCTGGACCGGGTTGCTCGCCCGGGAAGTGCCATCTCGAGCTGACGCCGTGCGGTCGAGGTGGTACGTAGGCGCCTGCCACGGGTGCTACCCGCGGGAGCCTGTGATCTGAGGAACACAGTTTCGGATCCAGACGCATGCCTAGGTCGCCCGCGAGGTCGTCGTCGCTGCCCCATTGGTGGTGGGAGATGGTTGCGCGGCGGGAGGAGCTGAGGCCCATGCTTTCGCTGACCGACGCGGAGCCGTCGGACTTCTTGAATTTGGTCTTTTTGATGCCGCGATCCCGCACGAACGAGCCGATGACGACCGCGTTGGCTACGGCTGTCGCGGCCAGGATCTCCAGGGACGCCAGCAGCGAGCGATACTGCTGCGACCCGTCGTGCTTGATCACAGACGGCACCCGGTAGCAGGTGATGCCGACGAGGATCAGCGACAGGGCGAACAGGACCACCAGCGAGAGCTTCCGCTGCGCCGTCATGTGGCTTCTGAGAATCAGCGGGATGGGAAAGGCCACCAGGAGGAGATCGGTAATCACGTCGCAGGCGCCCATGGTGATGAGGTTGGCATAGCCCGACCGGCAGTGGGGTCCCGGGTCCGGCACGACCTGCCAGTAGTGGTCGAACGGCTGGCATTCGGCCAGCGTGGCGATCACCACGGCGATCAAGGTGCAGACCAGGAAGTAGTAGAGGAATTGGAGGAAGCGCTGGATCGACCGTCGCCAGATCATCCAGGTCAGCCGTTTCAAAAACTCGCAGACGGTGAGCTTGGCTGTCCAGATACTGGTACGGAGCGTCAACAACCCTGGCCCCACGAGAAGGATCAAGACACGTACAAGATAGCATAGAATATACGGGAAGCCAGCACCATTCGACTACCGAGTTCGCGCAGTCGGATATCCTCCTCCGTCAATCCCTCTGTCTTGGTGTTGTTGGTGCCCCACTTCAGAACCAGATGCACCAAGGCCATTCGCACTATCAGCGGGATGACGCTGATCATCATCACCTTGTCCTCGGGAAATAGACGCTCGATGCGGACGTAGCGGCCGCAGATGCGCGTCACGATGATCACGAATGAGAACATAGTAGCCCACCAACTCACCAGCAGGGTCGGGTTGTCCTCCATCGCGGTGCGGGTATCCGGGGGCCCGGTAAAGCGGTCCAAAGGGGACATCATGGTACGCGCTGGAAGGGCCACTGACCCGCCTCCGAAGAGGGGCCAGACAGCGACAGAGAGCAGTGTCGAACAGTGAACCGGCGATGCACGGCACAAGAGCCCCAAGCAAAGGTGCCAGGACGCGCCGTTTACATTGTCTAGATGGTCACCGCGGAGAAATCGAACAGACCCGGTGGATGCGCACGTGCCTCCCCCAGATCCGACGTGGTCAGTGTGGCAGCAGACAGGCAAGTCGATCACGAGAGTAGTAGGCTAGCGGCCGGATCGATGAGAGCGGACGATCCTCGGGATACCAAAGGAGAATCAGGTGGGGGCGAAGCTGCGAGAGGAGATGCAGCACGGGGGGTTGTGTATGTCGATGCTTAGTAGTATCTGCAATGACAGAAACAGGTCCAAGAGAGTGGGAAAGGGTGGATTCATGTCTGGGACGAAGGACACCACGGACCAGGCCAAGTAAGTCCGGGGGGAGTAAATTTTAATTATTCACCGCAGGTTCTGACGTGGAGACACTTTATATAAACCTTAGTTGTGTTTTTTATGGCCACACAGGCCAGCGATAACATTCTATTGGGAAGCCGATCGCGCGTTGAGCGCTGGGCAGGCGACCAGGATTGAGGGGGGATAGAATCATAGCCAGCCACCTAGCGACGGTTGTGGTCCGAATCCCAATCATAGCCATCATAAATCACGATGATAAGAATTGTGCCAGTGATAAGAGTGATCAGGGTAATTAAAGGATGGTCCAAACTCAGTTGCCCATGCTCAGCCCGGATAGCCAGGATCGTCTAGTAACATTCGAGGGTCAGTACCAATATCACCACTGATACGCGCCATCCACACCAACGGTGAATGGTCGACCAGATAACAGAGACTCGAGCATTGGATTTTGGTCCAGCCAAAGCGGGGGAGCATCCATCCAGCAGGGAATAAGGCACTAACCGGGCAACTAGTGAGGCAGGGTAATGACTCCCACCCTACGAGAGGAACTCAAACCACGACTACAGCTCCTGAGGGGGGGGGCGGTTCCCATTGAACCGCAAGCAAATCTATTTTCCCGCATTTTGTGTGGCATTGCTTCTGAGTCAGATTCACCCTCCAACATGACGAGGAGACTGGAGCAACTGGTCAGAACACGAGCTGCTTTGTCAAACCGTGTCACTCAAGAGGAGATTGCATGGTCGATGTGGGCAGGCGATTATTGTCAAGGGACAACCTGGCGATCATCTGTACGCGAGTGGAGTAGTAATTCATGTCGGAGCTAATTCCTGGCTATCCGTGACCCCTGTTGAACGGATGCTACCTCTGCCAACAAGACGAGAAGAGGGGGTTCAGATTGGCTAGATGAGGGGATAGGAGGTAATTTTCTCGAGTCATTCGCGTGGAACAGCCTAGGGAGGGCTGAGATGTATGGATTCCACATGTGGGTTGGGGTCCGAGATTGAGGTACACGGTATCTTGGAACGACACATGGCGGAGGGACTCGGAGAATTAAGATGAAACTGTATGGACGAGGAATGGAGAGGAGAATAAAGCGACCTGGAGAGACCGAGTACGGAGTAGATCGAAGTAGGATTGGATAGAAATGGAGGATGACCCAAATAGGCAATTCGATATTGTCCCACGTGAGATGTCACAGGATTCTTAGTCATGCTGGGCAATCACAACTGCATATTAGTGCATATTTGCATATTATTGCTCACTCGATAAGGGAGTTGACCATGTTGACAGTTCGTGTTGAATAACGCGCCATGATGATCCCATCAGGGTGACTTCACGTCAAGACAACTGATCCTGTCACATGCCTCGGCAATCAAACCACTGTGAAGATACGACAATCAGTAACGTGGAAGCTAGGATCGAATCCTGTCCGCTGATCGATTCATGGTAGGGTAGTAGCTATTAGTACTTGCTCCGTCGGTATGCGATGGAGGAGATCGCTGGACAGGATAGGATGGGATAGGACAGGACATGGGGACTCGTCCGCTCAACCACACTGGTCCACCGGACGTGGTCGGTGGAGACCTGTTTCGGGTCTAATCATGACGTGATAACCAGCAGAAAATACTCGAAAGGGAAGATAAGGGGTAAGATCAGTACCAAAATGGGGTTTGTGTTGAGGCGTGCCCCCTGTTATAGATATCCTGGTCTAGGGCGATTCTAATAGATGAATTCGGTCTGGCTAGCCCTTTTTCGGTGTCATCTCACTTCCCTTGTCAGGGTCAAAATGAATACGCTGCACAAGGGGAGGTCGTGACGGTGGACAGATGTACGAGGAAGAAGGAATAAAAGGATCGTGTATATCTCTACATGCCAATGCCCAATCTATATACATGCGGTTCGCGTGGTTCATGCAGTAGTCCTTCCGCTGACTGACGGTAGTAGATACAATTGATCGAATCATGAGAGATCAATCGAAAAGTCCGAAGAAGAAGCGACAAGAATAAAAGAACACAAAAAGAAAAAAAAAAAGAAAAAAGAAAGAGAAATAATAAAGATAAGAAACGCCTTTATATATGCCATCAGATGTTGTCTATGAAAAGCGACCCACACGACTGGCAGGCCCGCCATGCTTCAATCGTAGCCATATCACGGTCTTTCAAACAACTACAGTACAAATGCTACCCGCGCGCCAACCTCCTCACTCGTCCTTAGACGGCGGAGAGGAAGGCTTCTTCTTCTCCTCCGCAGCAGCGGGAGCACTGGCCTTACCGGAGTTCTTGTACTTGTCCTGCTTTTCCCGCAGATAGCGCCAGGTCCGGGACACCCCCGACGTCAGCGGTCCCTTGGCCGTCTGCACCAGGCTGGGCCACCGGATCGTCTTGGTGATCGACGTCCGCACTTCGTCCTTCAGGTGGGCATCCTGGCCCACGCGCTGCTCGAACGGACCACCCTTCTTCCGACGCACCATCTCGGGGTCCGAGTCCATTCTGTCCTTCATCATCTGGTCGAATTCGACCCGTGGGATCTGGTACCGGCCCTGGTACTGGAAATATAGTTTTTGCCGGAACGACTCGGGCAGCCGACGCACCATGTTGCCGCGCTTCACCGGATCCATGTCCTGCGTCAGGCGCACGTTGGCGTCGGAGTCGTCGATCCAGTCGTTCTGGGAGCAACGCGGGTCATTGAACGTGACATTCGGGAGGTTCTCGATCAGAGGGGCATATAGCCGTCGGAAATTCGCCATCTGGCCGGTCACGATGTTGTTCACCTTCCGCGGGTCCTCCGTCGGGAAGGCCATGCGGATATCCCCCATGTAGCTCATCCCCGCGATCGTGCTGTAAAGCTGGAACTCTGTGAATTCGGACGGGAGGAGAAGAAGAGCGACACGGAGGGCAGAAAGCAAGTTGATCTGGTTCGCCAGTCGCACCCGCGGGTGGTCTCGCAGGATCTTCACCGGTTTCTGTAACCGGCCCGCGAGGTACATGGTGTCCCACTGGCTGAGGTCGCGGCACATGGTGTCTAGATTCACCACCCCGTACTTGATCAGCGTACCGTTGACCGTGACGTAGGGGTTGAAGTAGACGCCTGCGCCGAATTGGTCCTGCACTTGGGAGACCACATAAGATCCCATCGATCCGAGTCCGGAGTAATGATTGCGGTGCTGATGAAGGTTTAACGAGTGCCAGTGTTGAGAGTACGACACCCCAAAGATGAAGTCAATCATCTTGCCGTTCCCTTGCTGCATATTTGTAATGGCGGCCGGGGCGGACGGGTGGCATTTCTCGGCGGCCGGGGCGCTTCCGGGTTGCGGAAACACCCCCGATCCGTACGCAAAGGCATATCGAATTGGCGCGCGGAACTGCCACAGAATCTGACGCAGGGCCTCCTTGAACTCCTGATTAATCACCATGTGCTGGTTGACCCCAAAGTCTTTGGACGGAAGTTCGGAGAACGCATTGATCGACAGATTCGGGTTCTCGTCCCAGTCGCTCGCTTCATACCGTCGAGAAGAGGTCGAGAAGGACACCGCAGACGACACCAGCAAATTTCGGTACACGCCGGGCGACCTGGACGAAGCGACCGCAGGGAGGGTTTTGTTTTGAAATAATGAGGCGCCATTGAGACGTGATCTCGAACAGAGGGTGTCGGAAAAGGCACGGACAGAAGTCGGGATTCTGGAACTCCGCGGAAGCGACGGGTTGGCCGCGCGCAGGCGCATATAAGGACCGGAAGAATTCATACAGAGAGGCTTAAGACAGTCACTTGTTAGCATTATCCTCCACCAATAGACTAGGTCACTCTTACTGTTCGCATTTTCGCTATGATACCTAGGAGGGTAGAAGAATAGCACGGCAGGCGCGATAAAAAGTGTGTAGTCGAACTAGATCAAGGCGTATGGACATCTGCTGCTTACACCATACTTCGCAAAAGACTGATCCTAAAAACAAACAAAAAAGAGAAGAGAATGTCAAGTGAGAGAAAGAGACAAGTGTAAGACAAGAAAGTACAAAATGACAATTGAGAAAAGATGGATGGAGAGAGGGGAGCGAGGGAGAGAGAGAGAGGGCTCTGACGTACGGGCGACAACGGAGTAGTCTCGGCAAAGGTTCTCGGCCTGGTCGAATGGACGGCCTGAGGCAGACAGACGCACCGCCTCCTGCACCGCCGCCCGTCAAGCCACAGCGGGCGGTCACGTGCTGTCGCTCTTCCGCGGCGTTCGGGCACGCGCCCCCAAAACAACCGCTGTAAACAGAGCCGACGCCCTTGACAACCACGTCGGATTCAACGTACAGGGCCCACCAACACTCGTTTATCTTCCCTGTACCCAAAGATTTGACTAACCTTTATATCGGCGTGAAGTTGGGACGTGTTGATCCCCCCAATGTTCCTCGTGCCCTTCCCATCATGACCCAAAATATGGAGACCGTTGCCTCCCGTCTTGCCAGTTTCGACCTGGTGTTGCAGCCGGAGAAGCGAAGAAATTCAAGCACAAAGGCCGCAGAACCGATCGCTTGGCCTCATAGGAGTCCTTCGCCGACTGAGGTACACTTTGCGCACCCCTTCCTTGCTACATGCGACCGCTAATGCATAGATCCTACAGTTGGCGCATGCGGGCTTCTATTACCACCCTTATGAGACGAATCCCGATAATACAGTATGCTATTTGTGTCGGAGGGCCCTCGATGGCTGGGAGGAAGAGGATAACCCGGTCACGGAACACCTGAAGCATTCGAGTGATTGTGGGTGGGCGATTATGATGGACATCCAGCAGCATAGCTCCAATCCCGCCGAGATCCAAGACCCGACGAGTGAGCAAATTTTTCAGGCCAGGCTCGCGACCTTCAACACGGGGTGGCCCCACGATGGAAAGCGGGGGTGGACATGCCAGTCTGAGAAGGTAACGTCAATCGCGCACTCTCGTTGACCGGGATCTAACGTGGTTGCGGCAGATGGTGGAAGGCGGGTGGTATTTCTGCCCCAATGAGGAAAGCAATGATCTAGCCAGCTGCCCCTATTGTAAACTGTCTCTCGATGGATGGGAGCCGAAAGATGATCCTTTGTATGTGCCGGTTGCTCCTTCCTTTTACTCTGACTAACCGTGTCAGTGATGAACACTACCGCCGATCCGCCGAGTGCTCCTTCTTTGTCTTCGCGCAACCTCCTGGCAAGAAGGGGAAAGGATCCCGCTCTAAGAAGGGACGCGGGTCAAAGGTGTCTCGCTTGTCAACGCAGTCGACTGTTTCGGAAGCACCCTCGGATCTCGACAGTGTGATGGACCAGAGCATCATTTCGCAACCATCTACCACCAAGACGAAAAGCACAAAGAAATCCAAGTCGAAAACAAAGGATGCACGTTCCAAGAAAGACGAAGAGGCCGACAGCCATATGGATCTCGATGCTCCTGAAATTACGGAGCCTGTTGCAGAGCCTGAGCCTCCAAAAGCCAAACGAGCCACTCGAGGCAAGAAGAGAACAAGCGAAGACGTGCAGATGGACGACATGAACATTGCGCGCGGGGAAAGCGTGGAAGATACCGGGCGACCATCGAAAAAGCGAAACACCAGATCTCGGGCCAGTTCCCAACCGGTTCACGACTACGATAATGTCGAGTCAATGGTCACTGATCAGGGCCAAGTGGATAACCGAGAAGAGGCCCAAGAGGCCCAAGAGATCCAAGAAGTCCAAGAAGCCCCCAAGAAAGGCCGCGGGGCAGGCAAAAAGAAAGGAAGTGGGAAAGGCCGTAAAGCATCATCCGCATCGTCAACGTCGAAAACCATACCGCAAGAAGAGGAGCCTGAAGATTTGGAGATCACTGCGGCCATCGAGGCCGATCTCGAGCAGGACCATGTCGAGCCGGTCGAGCCGGTCGAGCCCACCCCAGAGGTGACAGAGAAGCCCGCGAAGAAGTCGAAGAAGAAGGGCAAGAAAAATGAGACGGCAACCGAGGAAACCGGGGCGGCATCAGAAAAGAAGCATGAAACGAAGGAACTGGCACATGTTGACGAGTCGACCAAGCCGGGAAGACGCCAGAAAGCACGGGCTTCAAATGATCCCCAATCGACTGGCCGGGCTCACACCGAGACACCTGCGCCAACATCCCCTCCACGGGACACGCATGAACGAGTTGAGGAAGACACGAAGATGGAGCTTCACGAATCGTTCGTCTCGGTGGAGATCCCCGCGCGAAAATCAGATCAACCCGCCGAGGTGGAGACCAGCCAGAAACCCAAGAAAGAATCCAAAAAGGGTTCCACAGGCCGGGGGAAGAAATCTAAGAAGACAGAGGAGGCCTCTACTGAACCAATTGCACCGGCTGTTGCGCCGCCTCAGCCCCAACAAGATGATGATGCGGAGGAGCCCAGGAAACGGAAGAGTTCCCGGAAGCAGAAGTCCGCGGACCACGATCTCGAACAACGCGAACCAGACGGGCCACCTCAAAAGGAAGAAGCACAAGAACCGGAACCTGAACGGCGGACCTCACGCCGTAGGTCGTCTATGGCCCCTCCGAAGACGACAGAACGATATAGCGACATTCCGCAGGAGGAACACCTTGCGGAGGCCCTCGTGGAGTCCCGCCACTCCAATAGCAGCCATCGACAATCTGGCGGCAGCGATCCTTCTAGCAACATAGCCCAGAAAGAACGTGACGTATCACCTCTTCCTGCCTCGAAGAGTTCGCCATCCATGTCACCGCAATCCTCCGATGCCGAAAACCGGCCTCCGTCTCTGAGACCGACTGCGTCTCGGCCGCCAGTGTTGTCTCCTTCCAAGCCCACCCCGGGGCGACTTCCCCTGGCGCCCAGTACACCTTCACCTATCAAGAAGTACGCCAACCGGGGAGGCATCGACACGGCTCATGCATGGCGGCCAGCTGATGTGGATGAGATTCTTCTTGCCAGTGGTAGCGACAAAGAAAACCTCGACCTGCACGCTGCCCTCAAGGACATCAAGGGTGAACTAACGAGCGAAGAGAAGAAGATGACGGTCGCGCAATGGATCCAGTGGAACGCCAAGAACGGCGAAGAGCGACTCCGACGCGAATGCGAACGACTGGTCGGACAGTTTGAGAAAGAGGGGGCACGAGCGATGCGTGCCCTGGAGGGCATTGAGTGCAGTGAATGAGCGCAAGCTCCTGCGCATGACTTTTTATACCAGTGGTGTCAGGCAAGGGGCATGGACCGGGGGGGGCGGCGTTAGATGATCTTTTTTTTCTGCTTATTTTTGTGATTGGAGTTATTAAGTGGTACATTACCGGGGGGTATATTCAAGCAATCTGACCCAGTACATTCTTCTATTGTCCATCCATCCATGCTGTAAACCAATCCCGAACGCCGTGGGTATATGCAATCTTTTGGGTAGCCCCTATAGCAAACAAATTGAAGCGAATCCCTCCATATCACGCGATGATGCCCAGACGACCTTCCCAGCTGTCTTCCTCCTGCTTGACACCGTCATTGCCCCCCTTCCGACGCTTCTCATTCCTCTTCCGCCTCTTCTCCTCCCTCTCCTTCGCCTCAATCTGCTCCCTCTCCTGCAACCGAACCCCCAAATCCAACTGCCACGCCCTCCTCTCCTCCTCCTCCAGGACCCTCCTCCGATGCGCCAGCATCCTCAACCGCATCCTCACATCCTCCACATTCGCCAACTTCACCTCCCCACTCTGCCCCGTCGCAACCAAATGCTGCTTACTATTCAAATGCTCCACCAGCTGCAAATTATCCTTAAACGTCAGATCGCAGTCCTCGCAGTAGAACCCCGCGCTGCGTCCGCGCTTGCCGACGCCCGACCCGGATGGCACGATCGTCGTCTTGCCCACCATGGACGCCACGTTCAGCCGCTGATTGCGCGCCGTCGTCGCCTCCAGGCTGCTGTAGTCGACCGGCGCGTGCCATTTCTTGCCGAGTAGTTTGGCTTCGTAGCGGGCTTTGGACTCCTCTTTGCGTTTGGCTTCGGCGGCCGCGGCGCGCTCGGCGTATTCTTCGCGGTTCCATGTTTTGCGGAAGTCGGTGTCTGAGGCGGGGGGGTTGGACATTTTTGTTGGTTTCTCTTGGTTTCCTCTTTGGTTTATTTGGATGAGATGAGGATGAGGATGAGGGTTTGGTTTTGGTTGTGAGTTTGTTTGGTGGTGGATGGAGTGAGTTGGAGAGGCGGAAAAGATGATGCGATACTGCCGGTGGTGGACAGGAGGGGTAGGCGGTGAGAGTTATCTACTTATCGTTATCTTACAGTTCACCCAGTATCTCCATCCACCAACCACTACGAACGACTCCACAAAGCTGAATATTGGAGAATCCATACTAAAGCACTAACGTCTCAGAAAACACAACAAGCTGGAGGATTTCGATTGCTCATTGGATCAGTCGTCTCTGGGCACTATTTTTAGAGCCCAGCCTGATACACCTGACATGTCATGAAACACCCTGCCGATCCATGTCATCACCACTGGATGTCGATGAAACATTATCTCCACGATGACCTCCGCTCGGGCGTCCAACCCCCCCGTGTTGCTACGGTGCTCGATCTGCGAGCTCTAGTGATCTGATCGAATCTAGGGTGTGAAATGTTGCAAAACAGCCACCGTGTTTTGTCCCTCGTATTAGGCAGCAGCCCTACTCTACTCTTAAATATATATCATCCTCTCAAATAGAACATTGGGACCGACAGTGTTCCTCCTATTGTCGTATCCATTTCCTCTCCCTCCTTGTACAGGCAACATAAACCATGGACAAAAGCCTAATGTACCTCCCACCAGAACTCCACATGCACATCGCATCGTATCTCTCCTACCCCGACGCGCTAGCCCTCAAGCACACCTGCCGCCATTTCTACAGCCTCGTCTACACAGGCGTGCACCTCAAAGTTGACTGGCTAGTTGAGCGCTTCGAGCGCAAGCTGGAGTGTCCCATGGAGAAGTGCTCTTTCCGCACGGACGAGTCCTTCTGCAACTGGCGCATTCGGCGCATCATGGAGCGGCGACGGCGGCATTTCGAGTGCTCGCGGTTCCGGGGTGGGTGTTTGGTGGTTGAAGGGAGGACGTGTCAGATGGATTTGGTGCCGACTTGGTTGAAGAGGCAGGGGCGGATGAAGGTTGTGAAGGATGTTGGGAATGAAGGTTGGTTCTTTTGATTTTCTGGAAGTGTGTTTTTGATGTTGAGGCTGATTTGGTATCTAGTCTTGGTGCATGGGGTGTTGTTCCTGTGTATCAGCTTTTTGTGGAACTTTGGGGCGAGGTCTGTCCTGTTTTTGCCCATGGATTTGCAGTGTTGTGGCTGATGGTTGCAGGTTGTTCTCGTTGTGACAGGTTGTCTCCAAAATCACTTAGGACGCCCATGGTGACCATAACTATCTGCATTACCATGGCATGCCTAATCCCACTCTGAACGCCAGCATCAGCATTTCCACTTCTCGCCACGCTCTACTCCATTCTCTCTCATCTCTCATCTTTCTGCATCGCGTGCCTGTTCTTAAATGAATGAGCTCCCGTCGTGCGAGTTGTCGCAAAGACAAGGTGCGCTGCAACACCGTTGTCCTTGTGGCCGTTGCCAGAACGCAGACTCGACTCGAATTGTCTTCGAAAAACGAAAGTTCTTATCAATCATTAGGTTCGCCTCCAGTCAAACCAACGAGACACAGACCTCTGGCCTGAATACCTGCCGAAGAGCTGCTCTTCGGTGGCAATCCAAGAGATCAAATTCGTGGGTTCACTGGGCCCATCAGTTTCTCTAAAGACGACATAGGCTTGCTGCGGATTCAGAACATCGCCTGTGTCAGGGCAAGGCGGATGATTCCACTATCTCCGCATCGTCGGCGCACTGGGGCTCCAAAACTCAACGTGTGAACTACTGAAAGATCCATCCATCTCCCACCGGCTGATATATGTCTTCTTATTGAAATCAGCCATCTCCCTGGCGTTCTCGGCCTCTGATCCTCAATGCCTCGCGAGAAAGAACTTGACAGTGGTTACGGTTTACAGTCCGTTCCAGTGGCGTGTTCATCAGGATACACCATCCAATGTATTAACAATATGAATTATGTACTAATTACTCCATCAACCTAATCAATATCAATAATAATCTTCATGGCCTTTTCTTTCGCGGCTGCGCGACAGGTCTCGTATGCTTGCTCCGCTTTGGAGAAGGGGAACACTATCTGAATCAGTAACAGCTTCCCATCCAGAGATATAGAGACTAACCATGCGTGATGAGCGGCGATCCGTCCAACTGGCCGGTCTCAAACAAACGCAGCAGCATAGGCGTCGAGGTCGTATCCACCAGCGAAGCATGGATACCTGCGTCGTCAGCAAATCTCACACAACCAGACAAGGAGAACCAAGAAGAAAGAAAGAAGGGAAAATACTGATATTCCGATCCCACAACCTCTCCAAATGCAAATCCACCTTCTTCCCATGCACACCCACATTCGCAATCGCGCCCCCAACAGCAACCACCTCCTGCGCCATCTCAAACGACCCAGGCACCCCAACCGCCTCAATCACCGAGTCAAACCCCTTCCCCTCCGACAACCTCATCAACTGACCCAGCGCCTCCTCATCCCCGCCCTCCCCCGAACAATCCACAACCTCATGCGCAGCCCCCAACGCCCTCGCCATCTCCAACCGCGCCGCATTCCGATCCACAACCACCACCAAAGACGGCGCATACAAGCTCCTCGCCATAACAGCAGCCGCCAGCCCCACGGGCCCCGCCCCGATAACAACAACACTACTCGCAGGCTTCACCCCGGCAGGCTTAACGCCGCACTCCAGCGCCGTCGGAAACGCATCCGACAGCAGCGCCGCCGTCCGCGGCTTCACGAGTTTCTCAGAGCCGTGCGTGCCCAGCTTGAACAGCGAGGACCGCGCATGCGGCACCCGCACATACTCCGCCTGCATGCCGTCGATGGTATTGCCTAGTATCCAACCTCCTTCGTCGTCCTCGCAGTGCGAGTACAGCCCGCCCCGACAGGCGGGGCAGACGCCGCAGGCGGAGACACACGATAGGATGACTTGATCCCCTGGGGACAGGCCGGACACGGCGGAGCCGAGGGAGTGCACGATGCCGACGCCCTCATGGCCGAGGATGAGGCCCGGTTGCGCGGTGGAGACGTCGCCTTTCAGGATGTGCAGGTCTGTGCCGCAGATGGAGGAGTGCTGCATGCGGATGATGGCGTCTGTGGGGTGGGTGAGGGTTGGTGCGGGCCGCTCTTCGACGGTTATTGTGTTCGGGGCGGAGTAGACGATGGCTTTCATGCTGGGGGGGAGTGGGCTGGGGGGCGCTTGGGTTTGTTTGAGCGTTGTGCTGCTTAGGGGGCGGAATGGGCGTTGGAGGAGGCTTGTTGGAGGACGGGGGGAGTGGAGGATGGATCGGGGGAGGAGGCGGAGGTAGTTTCTGGTGTATTGGGCCATTGGATTGTAGTATGTGGTGTTTGGTGAATAGTAGATAACTAACTATTGATGGGGGTGGGGGGGGGGGGGGGGGGGTGTGGAAGAGTGTACGATCTACTTACTATATACGGTTGCGGATGATGATATCACGACTCGGTATCTACTACCACCTCACATTATGTGTACAGGTTGAGACATACGCCGAAAACCACCCCAGCTAGAAAAGAATGACTGGACAATACCATCAATATCACTACCGTGTGAACCCTGTAATTAATCATCCAGGAACTCCCTCGTCTCCACCCCATCCCGCCCCTCCTCTACCGCCAGCATCGCCAGCCGCCGCGCAACCTGGGCCATTCCCGCACTCCGCCACACCTGTGTATCAGGACAACTCACATCCTCGGGGTCGGGCTCATTTGAATCGTCATAGTCCGTCATGTAGAAGCAGACTCCGGGCTCGCGCACGAAAGCAGGCTTATCCAGCACGACGGCGAACACCCGGTACGGGCCCTTCAGCATCGCCTGGGCGGTCACTAGCCGGTCGCTGCGTCTTTGGGGGGAGACGCGGGCGTGACTTTCATTTGGGGGAATCGTATGGCGGGCGCCGATGGGAGTATTCTCGCCTTCTTCGTGACGGAGGGCGTCATGGTCACGGAGAGTATCTTCGTATGCGGGAAGAATGGCAGACCAGGAAGGAGACGGCGGGATGCGGAATTCGAAATGCAGCTTTTCGAGGGGAGAGAGATGGTATACGACGGCCGCGGTGAAGAGACGGGCGGTCTTTTCTAGAAGTGCTGCGGCTTGGTCGTCCGCGTCGAGATGGCTTAGAAAGGGCACGTAGAGGAGATACTGTAGGTCGGGCGCGGCATTGTCAGGCGTGTTGCTGACGATCACCGTGGTGTCGTCACTGTGCGAAACCCGGAACGCTTCATCGAGGGTCAAGTTGCTGTCGGCGAGCTGCTGGTCTAGCTGCTGCTGGATGTGCTCCTCGGACGGGGGTGCCGACCCAGGAGGCTCGCCCTCGTACGTGTCCAGTCCGTAATGCAAAGACCGCTGATCCGGACCGAAGCCTTTGCGGTTTCCAAAGACGTTGAGCACGGTGTGCTGGCCGATGGTCTCTTGGCGCCGGACGCGCACGATGTCCATCTCAAAGGCCTCGGGGTAGAGTTCGCGAGGGCCGAACGAGGATGGTTGCGCGGCGGAGACTCGCTGGGCCGTGTCGACGGTTGGGAGAGCGTGGGCGAACGTGCGATTGAAGGCCAGCCAGTCTGGGGCTGGGCCCGCCGCACGGTAGGCCTCCTCGTCGGTGATGTATCCCAAACGGTAGCTGTGGGAGTTGCTGAGGACGCAGCATCCGATGGGAGACTCGTATCGCCAGTGGAAGAAGTAAGGGATCAGCGGGGCGGGGTTCGACGTGCTCAGCATGGCATGTTGATGCTTTCGAAAGGCGATCTCCCGGCGGTTGTGCTCGACGCAGGCGAAGGCGTCAGCGGGACAGTAGGAGTAGATCTCGAATAAGGGCTTGGGGCCCTCGAATGACCAGCTGCTCAGTAGATAGTCGCGCAGAGCAGTATGATCTTCGTCCAACGGAACGGTGCTGTAGACCTGGATTGCCACCTGCTCTGTGGGCTCAGGGTCAACATTGGGCGTGATGTACTCTTCCAGCACCACAGCGTTGCCCAGATGGTCCTCATAGTGACGTCGTTGCTGCCATTGCGGTCGTGGCTCGTTAGGATCACGACGGCGTCTAGGACGGAGCATTTTCCTGTTGTCTTTGAAGTCAAATTGTTGGAAAGGTAAAAGTGGTGTGAGGAGAGAGGAGAGAGGAGAGAGGAGGAGGGGGAAAGAGAAAGGGATGACGATGCAAGGATGGGATTGACCAGGCAGACCTTGTTAGATAAGCCACAACACGCGGTTTGAATGGGGAAACCGACCTTGCTTCGGGTGGCTACCATTTTACAGTTCAATGAATTGTAAATGAATTGAACTGAAATTGACTGCATTTTGTGGTGTTGACTACATATATCAACATCTAGGTAGAGATCCGACACAAACCCTATCACAACCAAGACACGGTCAATCATCCCTGACAATCCACAACTCCACTGATTCCTGCTAACTCCCCTAGTAGAGCTATTGTAACCATTGCAGTTCACATGGACGGGCCCTGGCCATTTTACTTTGGAGTTGCACTTGGTTTAGACGTGGTGGAACTCTCGGAGGATGATGAATTTGAATCCGCTCCCCACCCCTTCATCTGCAGACAATATCGCTTGTTCTTTTCAAACGAGCAGCTGGTGTCATTACCTTTACCACCAGAGCGCAGCGATGGATTCCAGTCTAGAAGCTGCTTCTCGTTGATCTCCCAGATAACTTCCGCTGCCTTGCACGGAGTCACCCCAAAGTCATACTGCAGGTCCTCGCCGTCGGCGTATACTTGACAGTCTTTGGACGTCCCTCGTGCTAACGGCAACTTATGGGGTTTGAGAACAGGTTTGTATGTCGCTGAAGGGAGAGTGTCCCAGGCGATGGTGGAATAAGAGGGAACATACCCCGGGGCACCGGGGTAGTTGTTGATATCTTCCACCGGCGTCACGCAGTAGCTCACGTCGGAAAGAAGGTTGGTGCAGCTGTTCATTCAATCGTATCAGCAATATGATCAAAAATACTTCATAGCGATGGTGTAAAGGGGCCTACTTCGCGTTCAAACCGGGATTGAGAATCCCCAGGTCCTCCCTGCTGATACCAAATCTTTTCACCATGGTACCGCAATCCTCCCCCTTCTTGACGGCGTAGTACTTTCCACACTGTTTTGTTGTTTTATCCGCCACGTTGGTCGGCGTGGGAGCAGCAGTGCTGGCAGTCGTCGCTGAAGAAACGCTGGTTGGAATCCCAACGGGTCGCGATGGCGGACGATATTTGTCTCCCGGCTCGTCCATGCAGATCTGTGTGCCGATCGCGCGGTTGAAGTTGTAGCAATTGCCGTCGATCCAGGGATTGTACGAACGGAGCTGGACGGTCGTGATATTGTGTGCCTTGGCAACGCTCTTGCAAGTGTCGCCGTCCTTGACGGTGTAGACCGCACACTGGTTCATGATACATAGATCTCCCTTTGTGGGGAAGTTATGGCAGTAGGCTTGCAGTTCGTTGTCGAGAAGAAGCTGCATGGTGGCAACACTCTGAGACTTAGATACGGACTCGCAAGTATCTCCCTTCTTAATCGTATACTTCTCACCCTTGCAGGCGGAGCTTGTCGGTGTCGCTGACACCGAGGTGGAAGTTGAATTCTTACTTGTCGATCTGGACCAGTCAGCTTTCGCCCCGACCAAGAGGAGAGGGAGCATACGGAGAAGGCTTCGAAGTCGGAGGGGCTGTCACAGGGTATCCGGTGAATCCACAGGAGGACGTGAAGCTGGGATAGGCCTCCGAGTACACCTTGGGTCCGCTCCCATACGGAAACTGCGCCTCGTTGCGCAGTTTCAACAGGGTACACTTGTGGCATTGATCTCCGTCATTCTTGGTCAGGTTCCCCAGAACCAGGTTGCAGTATTTTCCCTCGTCCTTGAGGCAAGTCTGGTTGAAATTGAAGACCAGCGTGCTTGCAACAGCAGAAATGGGGAAATCATTCCCCCATTCGCTGGTATAGGTGACTCCAGGACATGCCTTCTTCACCGTTTGCTCGTATTTCTGGAGGTTACCACGACACTCATCCTTACAAATGACATCGAGACCGTGTTGGGAGTAGTGGTTATTGGAACTCAGTCCGTGGACTGCTTTCAGGCAGGTGGTGATATTGGTCGACAGAGCATCCGCACACTTCTTCTCATAGTCATCGACTGCTGAGTCTGGAAAGACCTGCCAGCATGTCGCAAGACTACACCAGAGCAGAATAATTGACCACCAGGCCATTGTCATCGTAGCGGTAGTAGTAAAATCCGCTGGTCAAGTGGGACATCAACCGCGGGGATCGTTATCCGCTTTGCATTTAAGGAAATAAATCAAAAACATTCCACGGAACGAACCCCTCTGGTATCTCCGGCTAGTAAACTCGAGCTTGAATTAGGATCCCAATCTCACGGGTGGGTATCGAAGACGTGCTCCAGCCAAAGCTACCGAGTAAAACGGTTTTGCGCCGTCTCCTCCCTCATCTCAGACATTCCAATATCAAAACCCTTGCAGCACGTGTCTCACTGCCATAACATGAGTCTCTGACATCGAGGGGCTTTCCGAAAAATGTGAGCCCCGAGAAAATGCAAGCCTCCTGCTTGCTCCCGCATTAACTCAAGACTGAGACGGGGTACCTGACCTTGGCTGTTCTAAAGCATCCCGAACTGAGACTAAATCAACCCTTGCTGGGTCGACGAATTTTTGGCCGCGTAGCACCTCCGTTGGATGATAGAAACTCCACATTCCAGGAGTCTCAATTTAAATCCTCGGAGGTATGCACGCAAGGCTGTGTAAGACGTATCCTTGGGCGTCGAATGAGAGGGGTTATTCGGCGTTGAGCCTCGACGGGAGAGAGACCAGTATTTAGCAGATCATGGCCCAATTCCCCCGGAGTTTCTTGGGCTACATCAATCCAAGTCTCCTTGGCCATGACTCGAGGGATACTGAGCCAGATTCTTGTCGCATTTCTCTTCCTGTCCAGCGTCCTCGCTGAGGTAGACTCCGTGGACTCCGCGGACTCCGTTGACTACTTTGACGACATCCGGGGTGTATCTCTCGCACCGCTCCGGACGCTTCTCCAGAATGATGAATACGTTTGTAGCAAGAAAAAGCCTTGCAAGAATGGAGCCTGCTGCGGCAAGTCCGGAAACTGCGGCTTCGGCAAGACCTACTGCGGTACTACTGGTAAATCGCCCAACGACGCCTGCTGGAGCAACTGCGATGCCCATGCAGAATGCGGCAAAGATGCTAAGAAAAAGGGCACCAAATGCCCTCTGAACGTCTGCTGCAGCGAGTATGGCTTCTGCGGAACGACGGAGGAGTTCTGCGGGAAAGGGTGCCAGAGTAACTGCAAGCAGCCGGGTTCTGGCGCGTCCGATGGAAATGTGCAGGAGCGCATCATCGGGTATTATGAAGCGTGGAAGCATGACAAGAGCTGCACGGGCATGAAGATCCATCAGATCCCTGTAGAGAGCTTGACTCATGTAAACTGTATGTTCTCCATCCTCTTCTTCTCTTCTTCCTCACCTCTTTTTCCAAAACATGCTAATGAAGAATGAACGGAAGATGCCTTCGCTTACATCTCCCCGGATGATTATGAAATCGGGCCCATGCCTGATGTCCCGGAAAAAACACTCAAGGAGTTCACCTCCTTGAAAGAGCGTAATCCGAAAGTGGTCCTGGGGGTGTCGTTGGGTGGCTGGACGTTCAATGACAACCACACCGACACCCAGGGGGTCTTTGCAGACCTCAGTTCCACAGCCCAGAAACGTTCGAAGTTCATCAAGAACCTTCTCTCGTTTATGCGCCACTATGGGTTCAACTCCGTCGATATCGACTGGGAATACCCCGGCGCGCCAGATCGCCAGCCGCCCAAATGGGACGGGAAGAACGACGGCAAGAACTATGTGAAGCTGATGAAGGACATCCGCAAGGCATTCAAAGACGAGGGGCTAGACTTCGAGCTGTCCTTCACAGCGCCGACCTCGTACTGGTATCTTCGCTGGTTCGAAATATACGAGATGGTCGAAGCCTCCCACTACATCAATTTGATGAGTTACGACCTCCACGGCATATGGGACGCGAACAGCACGATTGGCAAACACGTGCTGGGACACACCAACCTGACCGAGATCGACCTGGCTCTCGACCTCCTGTGGCGAAATAAGGTGCCTGCGAAGAAGGTCAATATGGGCCTAGCCTTCTACTCCCGCACCTTTGAGCTCAAGGATAAGAAATGCGACATACCAGGCTGTATCTACAAAGGCGGCGGCAAGAAGGGCGCCTGCACCGACTCCACGGGAATTCTCGCTTACAGCGAGATTGTCGACATTATCGCGCAGGACGACCTGACCCCGGTGTACGACAAGGAATTCGCGATCAAGTACATCGTCTGGAATAACCAGTGGATCTCGTACGACGACCAGCAGACCTTCCAGCAGAAGATCAAGTTTGCTAACAAGAAGGGCCTGGGTGGTCTTCTGCTCTGGGCCATCGACCAGGATGATCGCAATCGCGACGCCTTGCGGGGCGTGCTATACCCGCAGGACCTTGTCATGTCGGACAGTCTCAAGGATGACACCAGCTACTGGGAGAGTAAACATCCTGGCAACTGCGTAACGACGGAATGTGGCAAGAAGTGCGGCACCGGATACATCGAGATGACCGATTTCGACTGTCCCGATGGCGACGGCGTCTCGCGGATCTGCTGCCCTATCTCCGCCGCCCCGGACCCAGAGACGTGCAACTGGCGCGGTGGGCCTCCATTGTGCAATGGACAGTGTCATGGCGGAGAGGTAGCTCTGGCTTCCGCAGTAGACGGAGGCAATGGACACTGCTCGGACGGTAAGTCGGCTCTTCATCATATCCTGGATCCCTTTGGCTTCTTTGCCAGATGTCTAACAAGAGCAGGTCGTCAATTCTACTGTTGCCCCATCCCCGAGGTCGCTGCTGGCGGTGGCATCAACTGCGGCTGGGCGGACCAATGCTCTGATGACCAGGAAATTATGACCTTCGCAGGAACGTTCCTGACCACCATAGCAGACACTCTGGATTTCGCGGGGCTGGTGGGTCAAGCCCTAGGGGATATCCTGGACGACATCGACATGGACAACAGACGGTCATACTGCTGCTCCAAAAAAGAGATTAAGAACTGGAAAGACTGCTACTGGGCGGTGGGTTTCCCTTCTTCCTAACCTAAGCCTCAGTACAAGTGTCTAATAAGAGAAACAGGGAGGACCAGGCCGCGGAATTCACAGCTGCGATGATAACCATTGTGAAACTGGGATCGATGTCGAGCTCACGCTCAGTCCCTACGGTGAAGGAGAGGACTGCTTCCCTACGTTAGTCTCCTTGCGATTTTTCCGCCATTCGTTTACCGAATTGACAGCTAACGAATGGTTGTCCTTGTCTTTTGCAGTGCTCGCCAGAGAGCCTTCTGTTGTACGCCGGAGAGTGGCGAGACTCCATTCCTCCCCGTGCCGCTGGAATATCTGTTCCCAAATCCGCCCCTGGCTGATTCCGACGACCCGGATTTCAACCTGCAGATCGACGATACCTGGGGCACAGGCGACACAAAAGTGGACGATGAAGATGAGCCGGATGTATGCACCCCCTTGTCCTGTAGTATAAGTATAGACGTGCCACGAATGCTAACGAGAGATAAAGGACGCTGCCTTTGGCTTCGTGGTGATCACTGCCCCCGACGAGGTGCACGTCAGTCTGGACAAGAGGGATGGATCCCCGTGGGAGCTGATGGGCTGTCCCGATAGCGACAGCGAAGAGGCACACACCGTCCGAATGATCTGCGCTGATCCTACCAGCGGTCGATGTGACCACATCCACCGCGGCGATGGTGTCCCCGGGACCATCCTCCAGATGCCTCCTCGATGTGGTCCCGGCCGCTACGCAGTCGCCAAGTCGTTCGACGTCTCTGAGGACCAGTCTCTCCCCGGCCATCTGGCCAACGTCAAGCGGGATCTGGGCGGCGCCTCGGTCTACGACCTCACGTTCGACTATGACTTCCAGCGTGTGCCGCGTGCCTTTGGCGAATCCCAGATGCGGATCGATTTCAGTAACCAGCCGGGATACTGGGACTCCGTGGTGGACAGGCCTGCGGAAGGGAAAGACGAAAGACACATGAATAAGAAGAAGCGTTCTGAGACAGGCTACCATAAGAACCGCAAGCGTTGGATCGAGGACGAATGGCGGGACGCCTATCATCATGGTGGCATGGACCGTGACCAACTGCATAAGAGATGGTTTGGAGAAGGTGTCCTCAACTGGCTGGCGAACTTGATCGTTGTCGGCAAGGCCGAGGTCACTGAAGAGCTCAACCATAAGGTCAATGAGAAGGTCGAACTCGTTTTGATTGATCAACAGTTTGGCCCATGTCCGGTTGGCCCGGCACAGGTTCGTTACTTTGCTCCCCCCTTCATCCTGGCATTGTCATCGGGAAGTGTCTGTTAACAGGAACACAGGCTCAAGCAAATATCCGGTCAACGATCACGGCAGAGCTCGATGTCGAGACCTCTTTCGGTCTGACCATCATCACGACGCTTCACGACGGCCTGAACCTCAGCAACTCGTATCTCTATTTCAAGAACAAGGGCGAAGTGAAAGCCAGGTTCGAGCTGGACGCAGTGGCCTCGTTGACCTACTCTACGGGCGATATCAAGTTACTCGGCCTGGACGACTTCCCTGGCGCCACCTTCCGCGTGCCCGGGGTAGTTACCGTCGGTCCAAACCTGGCAGTGTATGCCTCGGCGGATGCCTCCCTCGTGGTATCCGGTCATCTCGAAGCAGCCGTGACGCTTGCCTCCTGGGAGGTGCAGCAGACCTACCCTCAAACCAAAGAACACCCAGCCGAAACTCTCGACAAGCCAGACCGCGACGGCACACAAACCATCGGCGATCCCACCTTCGACTTCTCCGTGCAGGCCCACGGCGAGATCGCCCTCCACCTCAAGCCCACCGTGACCTTTGGCATCGTCTTCGACAAACGTTGGAAAGTCGACCGCTGTTCGGCGGACCTCGTCCTCGATGGATACATCGTCGCGCACGCTGATGCCGGGTATTCTCGCAAGGGTGACAACAGCTGCCCCTTCCACTATGGAATCGACGCCGGTTCGACCATCTACGCCCAGCTGGCGGCCCCCGATATTTTTGGTTGGGGCGGCGAGCACCGCGTCACGCTGTCCGAGTCGCCTCGAAAGCAGATCACCCCCGACACCTGTCCCAAGGAAGAGGACGAAGATGAGAAGAAGAAGAAAAACAAAAATTCGACACCCAAGCGCGCCACAGTCGATGCCCTCGACCTCGCAGGCGAGTATCTTTCCCCCGCGGTCTGGGGGAACGAAGCGCTGAAGATGCTGAGCCCCATGCATGGCAAGCGGGACACCCTGACCCTCGGCCCGCTCGTCACCATCCCCGACAGTTTCCTCAACTGTCCCAGCGACGCAAATAAGTCCAACGGGTCGGCGTGTGCCTTGTGCTCCCTGTTCGGCGAGTCCGACGACAGCAAAAGCGAGAAGAAAACAGCCCTCCTGACAAGACGCGAGGAGGGCGACTCTTGCCCCTACTATCCACCGGGAGATAATGCGCGATGCTCTAAGTCGGACTTTACCTCTCGGGATCCGCAAGAGGACAAGACGATGACTCTGTCGTGGCTCGGATCGGATAAGTATGTATACTCGAAGTATCCGCGCTGTAACGCGAAGAACAACGGACCCACCAATGTGGCCAAAGTACGCTTTTTCCCCAACCAGATATACACACTATCTTGTATGCTTGAACATCAACTGATCATCGGTAGTGGTACCTGCCGGAATTCATGACCGCCAACCAGAATATTGCGGTCAGCGACCCAACACGGTGCTCCGCAAAGACCATCAAACAGTCCACTACGCAGGTTGGCAGCAACTGGCTGGTCAATGGACTGGCTGGCCTTCCCGCAAGTGACTTCCGAACGGAGCACATCTTCGAAGTGCACCTGGTCAAGCATTTCCTCGAGTGGGTGTGCGCGGGCAGCCAGGAGCTCTCGTACGCCGGTCTGGCCAATCTCCCGTTTCCGAAGGGATGGAGTCGCCCGAACCACCAGTGGTGTGAGGATCTATTCGGAGGTTCGTTTTTCTTAAGCCCTAGCTGGCGCTACATGATTTGATGAATAGCGGAGAAAAGGGAGAATGAATGAAAGAAGGAAGAGCTGACGCAAGTACCCATCACAGACCCGGAGAGCGGTGGATTGGCGTGGAAACAAAACGGCAAAGGCTCGGACATCAACTGGATCCAGCAGACTGCCAATGTACTGGGAAATAACGACAAAGACGACCTGCTGGTCATGTACCACGACAAGCCGAATGGGGTGAAGAAGGTCATCACCGAAGGCCACAAACCGGGATACGGGACTGCCAACGAGAAGGGTACAGCGGATGCGATCATGATGGTATGTCTCTCCTTCACCCGTTCCTTCGTGAATCCAGTGTTATCGGTTATACCGTTATCTTCTTACTGACTTGTCATCCAGAGCGCCACGGTCTTCGACTACCTCCGCACCCTCGAATCCAAATGGACCAAACCTTCTAAAGACATCGAGAAGATCTGCGACGACTTCGACAAGCAGTACGAGTCGCGCAAGCCCTTCCAAACAACCGGCAAAGAGCTCAAGAAGCCGGCGAAGCCCCCAGGAGTAACCAGCTGGGGTCTGCGCACGCTCTGGTGCTACTGGATCGACAACCACCTGAGCAAGGTCGAGCAGGTCCAGTCAGCGTGGCTCACGGCCTCCAGGTCCAAGATGGACGGGTTTCAGACGCAGCCGGCGACCGACTTCATCACCCAGGTGATCGACTCGGCCACGGGCGCAGCCTATAGCAGCAAATTCAAGTTCCCGCAGCCCAACGCGGGCAAGGCGCTTCCTGGGCAGCCTGGAGGTGCGGCGAATGATGTGAGTTTGTATGGCATGTGGGGAGGGAATGGGTTGGGGAAGGTCGGATTATAGTACTACCTACACCACTGTATACATAATAGTATATACTACGTAGTAGTATCAGATGTAGTATGTTCCTCCCGAAATCATGTAATGATATCGCCTTCTTTGGTTATGTTGTCCCTCTGATGTCACGGTCGTCGAAGAACCGGAAATCGCAGATGTAGCCCTGACGTCACCGGGCATATTGTGTACCCCGGATAGATCATATAAAGACTCACCTGTATCTTTCTCCCCTATGCTCTTACAATACTGCATAGACCCTTGTTTAACAGACCAAGAATAATAAAGAAGAAAATGTCCTCCACAATCCACACCAGCGCCGGCGACAAGCCCGTCGACCCCTACAAGGCCAAATCGCTGCAAGACCCTCCCCTGCCGCAGAAGATCGAAGACCTGACGACCTTCATCTCAAGCACCAAATTCGGGATGCTCACCACGCAGATGCCCAATTCAGAGTTCCTGACGTCGCGGTGCATGGCACTCGCCGGGATGGTACTTCGCTTCCCCCTTCCATCCAACCCCACAGCACCCCAAGACATGCAATAAAAATGTACTCACAAGGATGAACGGATAGGAAAACGGCGGCGTTGACCTCATCTTCCACACGAACCTCTTCTCCAGCAAGACCCTCGATCTCAGCGTCCACCCCGCGCAAGTCAACATGTCCTTCTACGACCCTGTCAGCGGAGGCTGGGCGTCGGTGTCCGGCGTCGCCAGTATCATTGCCGACCCCGCCACCGTCGAGAAATACTACTCGCCTGCGCTGTCCGCCTGGCTCGGTGATCTCGGAGATGGAGTGCACGACGGGAGTCCGTCCGATCCGCGCATTGGCGTCATCAAGCTGGAGGCCCGGCTGGCGACGTATGCGGTTGCCAGGCGTGGTGCGATCGGCCGGGCGGTCGAGACTGTGAGGAGCGTTGCTGGTGGGGATGTCCCCGCTGTTAATAGTATTAGGGAGTTGAGTTCGGAGGAGTTGCAGGAGTGTATGTACCCTTTTTTCCCTCTCTCCTTTTGGTTTGATTTTCAGAGATGGATGCTGACCTTCATTCTTAGGGCGTCGGACTCACTCGTAATTGGGATATTTAGTCTAGCTCGTTGTTATATTGATGTAATAATTAAATTTATTGTCCCATAATGTACAGTGTACGGTCCCCGGACCTAAAGCTCCTGACTCCATGGGTGTAGAATTAAGAGGTAAAAAAGAATAAGGGACATCGCTCTCGTTGCGTCGTAAGTGTATGAATCACAGATCAAATCTGCTTGTGTTAGTGCACCAAAACCCGAAGTAAAACCAACGAAGATACGATCAGTAGAGAAACGTACCAGTCTCAGTGGCATCCGTGCCGGCAACCGCCCATTGTGCAGCAACATCGCGATGTTCTTGTTGGGCGTCGCCTGCAGCTTGCGGTATGCCTCGCGGATATGTCGCGGCTCCACCGGCGTGCGGCCCTCCTCAGGAGGATCAAACAGACCAGTTTCGCGTTTGCGCTTCTTGGCACTCTCGCCGTTGTCCGCTCCGCCGCGGCGGTTCTTCTCGCGATCCTCGCGCTCTTTCACCTTGAGCGCCTCTTCCGTCAATGTCTGGACGATCTCGAACGTGAGAAACCCCAGGATATCGACGATGTCATCGTTGGGCTTGGACTCGGTGACGATGCCGAACCCGGCCCATTCGCGGAACCGCTTGCTCTTGCGGTAGGTGAAGGACGCCTGGCGACATTCCGACCAGAACACGTACTCCTCCTTAGTCATGTGCTTGGTGCGCTCGTCCGCCGCTGCCAGCCGCTGCAGCGTGGCGTAGTTCTGCTCCTCCTCTTCTTCGTCTTCTTCGTCGTCGCGCTCCGGAACCTGCACCGAGTAGAAGCTGTTCACGTCCCACGCGAGACCGACGCGCGCTCTCTTGTTCTTCGGCTTGGCGGCCATGTCCTGCGGCCCTGCAACCCCTCCGGCCATGGGATCGTCCGCTCCGGCAAAGTCCGCCGCGTCGGCTCCACCCTTGTCGTCCGAGTCTTTGACATTCTTGCGCACATCCTTCCAGGACAGGAACGTCTTCAGACGCGAGACCTTGGCTTTGTCGTGGCGGATCAGGAAGATTAAATCATCAGTGGAGATGGAGCGGACTCCGCGACGTGTGGCTAGAGCCGTGCTGCGCGCAAGCTGGACGGAGGTTAGTCTGGACCTTCAACGCAGCCCGAGGGAACATACAATCTCAACGACCTGCTGGCGAACGATCTCCTCAATTAAGGTGGTCGTATCTACGGCTGGCTCGGCAGTCTCTCCAGAGACGAACATCATCTGGTGGAGAAGGTTAGTAAGAGTGGCCCTAAAGAGTTCCTCTGGGTCACTGGGCTCTTGAGGGGGCTGATCAGTCGGTCCGTCTCCAGCCTCAGAGCTAAAACACTCCGCATCAGAGATTGGAGAACCAGAGGCTGCCCAGTCCCTCTTGTATGATGGAGTATCTTTAGGCCGGGTGGCTGAAAAGCTCATGATGCCGGGAGTGGTGAGAGGAGACGATCAACCCGTTGCTGTTGAGGCTGAAGACAAGCTGGCCAGAGATAGCAAGGGGAAAATGGGACAGAATCAAGGAAAGGAGCCATCGGCTGGGGAGCACTCTGGATTGCCTAATGCAGAAAATATGCGCAGAAAGCAAATGCTCACTTGTCCTGATATCAAATACCCAGAACGAGGCCAGACGCGCAGGATCAAGAGGACAGCCCCTGGTGGAACGTGGGCTGTATTCCTTCCCAGGGTATATCTGGGCTTGCATCTTGCATAACAAAACAATGCGACAGAAGTCCTAATGAAAAAAATGACCTACCTGCTGGATTTCCTGCCGATACTTGGGGGTCTCATTCGACATGATGGAGATGGATATAGCGACTGGACATGTTCTAACAAGGCTGACAGCAACAACAAACGTCTTTCATTCAAATGCGACAGACGTATCGAGTCGCAATGGGTTGTAGACAAACAAAAGAAGGCAGAGATATAAAAAACGAAAGTATAGAACTAGAAGAAGCTAACAAGGAAAGAAGATGGAGAGATGATGCTGGACCGCCTGGACGCGATCGGCCCCGTTCCTTATCCGGATCATCGTTTCTCCAGCCTCCGCTATCCCGCCGCATTCTGGTGGGGTCAGAAAATCTTCATTCCCCTCGACAGCCCAATTCTAGCAATTGATCAATTTGCTACTTCTTAAAACTCCTACGACATAATGCTGTACCTTGTGGGCTTGGGTCTCGCCGATGAGAAGGACATCACCGTCCGGGGCCTGGAGGTGGTGAAGAAGGCCGAGCGCGTGTACCTGGAGGCGTATACGGCCATCCTACTAGTGGAGAAGGAAAAGCTAGTGAGTGTCTTTTACGGCTGATCAATGGTGACTTTTCAAGGCGACTATAGCTAAATAACAGTCGGTTCAGTAGGAAGCGTTCTACGGACGCCCCGTGATCGTGGCGGACCGAGAGCTCGTCGAAAGCGGCAGCGATGAGATCCTCGCGGGATCCGACAAGGCGGACATCGCTTTTCTGGTTGTGGGCGACCCATTCGGGTAGGTCGATACGTCTCAGGTGAATCTAGACTGGGGAAGGTTGACGGACAATAGCGCGACCACGCACACCGACCTCGTCCTGCGCGCGCGCGAATTGGGCATCGCGACCAAGTCTATCCCCAACGCCTCGATCATGTCCGGCATTGGCTGCACGGGCCTGCAGCTTTACAACTTCGGGCAGACGGTCAGCATGGTGTTCTTCACGGAGAACTGGAAGCCGTCGTCGTACTATGACCGCGTCAAGGAGAACGTCCAGCTGGGATTGCACACGCTTGTCCTGCTGGATATCAAGGTCAAGGAGCCGTCGCTGGAGAACATGGCGCGCGGGCGCCTCGTCTACGAGCCCCCGCGGTACATGACGGTCGCGCAGTGCGCCGCCCAGATGCTGGAGACGGAGGAGGAGCGGAAAGAGGGCGCCTGGGGGCCCGACAGCCTTGCGATTGGGGCTGCGCGAGTCGGCGCGGACGATCAGAAGCTGGTCGCGGGGACGCTGAAGGAATTGGCGGAGGTGGACATGGGTCGTCCACTTCACAGTCTCGTCCTCCTGGGTCGGAAGGCGCACGATCTGGAGAAGGACTACATCCGTGAGTTTGCTGTGGATGCGGCCACCTTCGAAGCTAGTTGGCAGAAGGGGTACGGCGCCACCTCGTAACGGGGGATTGGTTCAGCAGACAACGACCGACATACGAAATCAACCCAAACGCCATGAAATTCCTATTATGACAAAATAGCGCTAAGACATCCTTGTACATCGCATCTCGACGTGGGAGCAAAAGCAGGCCCTCAGGCGGCCTTTTTGGTGAAGAACCGGGCCAGTTTGCCCGACAGCTGAGCCTAATCGCAGTCAGTAGCAGTTGCGCATGAAGCAGCTTCACATGGAAGAAACAAAGCAAAGCTCCCAGGCAGACAGTAAGCAAGTAAGAAGATAAACTCACCGTAGGAGTCTGCGGAGTTTGCGGAGTCTGCGGCGTCTGCGGCTCGCCCTCATTCTCCTCCCCCTCATCCAGATACTCATCGTCCTCCTCATCCAACACACTATCATCGTCTTCCTCATACTCAGGGAAATACCGCTCCGGATCCCCGTTATACACAATCCACCACCCGATTTTCTCGCCGGCCGCATACTTATCGCGCATCTCCGTCAACGCGGCCATAGCCTCGTCATCGAGCCCAGAGTCCAGGGATGCGATCTCGTCGGCGCTCCAGCTCAGGCCCGGCGCGGGCGCCCCGGGCTCTCCCAGCGCGAGACAACGGCCCGCGACGTAGGCGAAATCCTTGCTGACGGCGGTGTGGCTCGTATCTTCGGGGTCGTACTGTTCGATGAAACGCAGCTCAGGCAGTCGCGACACGATGCCGGGTTCGGTTTTGGCGAACGACTCGAGCAGCAGCTGGGTGGTGATGGGCTGCTGGAGGTATTCGGCGGTTGCGTCTTCGAGGTTGTGCAGGACGATGTAGACGCGGATGCCTGTGAAGCCGGCGCGCGGCCAGCGGAAGCCGTAGACCATGTAGACGGGCATTGTTTTCGAGTGCTTGAATGATGTTGAAATTGGGTATGGCTTGATTTCGGGACTGAGAAGGGAGGAGGCTGGGGGAATTCGGGGATCGTGAGCGTCTTGGGTCTCGTTCGTCGCGTGTTGGTCGGTGGCTGCTGACTGCTGGGTTAGATGCGGTGCGGATGCCCGGATGACACGTGGTGTATGCTCATATTATGGCTGTAGGCGTAAAATGCAGCTGTCAGACAGAGGTTGATGCATTTGTGGGCTTCGTCTCACAATGACTTGTCGCGATCAAGTGATTGGTGCCTGTTTCCTGCGGCATGCGGCGCCAAGCCGATCGGATCGATAGATTAGCTCTCTTGGGCAGCATGCCACAGCTGTATAGGCTATTATAATCCAAGTTCAATATAGTTAGTATTTTCATGAGTAATAATATTTTCATATATGTATATACATATATATATATCTATTATAACTAACCACTTCAACCAGGCCTGTCTAAAGGATAGACAGAAGATAGAAGAGACAAAGGCGGTGAGCCGGCAGTATGAGTCCAGGCCCGCCGCATTCGAGCAGAGCTGCGGAGAACCTCCTGGGAAAGCATCCAGATCACAGCAGTCCCTTGCATCAACATCGCCGGGGATCTCATGTGTCGGGATGGTTCTCTCATTCATTCTCGTTCAGAACCGACAGTATGTGGCTCCCTTGTTGCTGCGTATAGCATCGCACCCGGACTGACCACCGATCAGGGGCAAGACACGACTTGCCAAATGGTACGCTCCGTATAGTGTGAGTCCCCCTGCCCCGTCTTCAGACTCGTTGCGACCAAAATGGACGGATGTTAATGGAGACTGCGGTACAGGATGAGGAGAAGATAAAGCTCAAGGGCGAGGTTGGTGCAACCCATCATCATTCATCCACGGTGGCCCGACTATAGCCATGTCAAGCGGTCAACCGGCCTCAGTTACTAGATACTGAACGACACTCTCAGGTCCATCGGTTGGTGGCGCCCCGCGACCAGAAATACCAGTCGAACTTTGTCGAATTCAAGCGCAGCACCAAGGTCGTGTACCGGCGGTATGCGGGGCTGTTCTTCTGCGCATGCGTCGATGCGACAGACAACGAGCTAGCATACCTGGAGGCGATCCACTTCTTCGTCGAGGTGCTAGATCAGTTCTTTGGTAACGTGTGCGAGCTGGACCTGGTGTTCAATTTCTACAAGGTGTGTGTTTGTCGGAGAATGGTGCAATTGCGCGCTGTCGTGCCTCCGGAGATGAACCGGTCTGGGGTTCCGAAGCTGACCGATGACAGGTTTATGCCATCCTCGACGAGGTCTTCCTCGCCGGCGAGATTGAAGAAACGAGTAAACAGGTCGTCTTGACCCGGTTGGAACATCTGGACAAGCTGGAGTGAGGTGTCGATGTATTTGGGGTCACACCCGCCGGAGCCGGAGGTCGCATTGAATAGACTGTGGGAGGAGAAGTGGCCATAATATGGAGTTGGCGTTGCGGGAATCCTATATCATCGTTCCATGGCGTTGTGATTTACTACTGTTCCTTGTGATATTTGCCTCTATATTGCCAAGTTCTGTACTATTAAGCTCTACCGTCACCTGTATAGATCACCCGATCAGATAATATAATACCCACCAAACACTCCTTTTTCATTTTTCATTGTTTTAAAATTAAAAAATCAATTAATCGGATTGGACTGAACCGAATTGGTCAGAACCCTAAGTCAACGACCGTGGAACCCAACGCCCAGTCCGGGATAGACGCGCTCGGGTTGTACAGTACCTACAGGGCTGACAACAACAGCCGACATCAGATGCCGTGATGCTGCGACAAGCGGAGTCCACACCCACCTGCACCCAGCACGCCATTGCCCTGTCAATTAAGCTCAGATAACATTTCGGAGCTAACTGTAGTTTGTCTGGGGAGCCGTACGGTGGTAAATTCAGTAAGATGGGTGTCCCAGGCCGGGCCAGTGAACAAGGTCTCCAGGTGAGGTGATCGTGCCTGAGGATTGCGAGCGTATATAACTTGTCTTGGCGGACATTTCCTTTATAAGGGCTTGCGCACGCCACGATTGGGTTCTCTTTTTTATTTTTCTTTTTCAATGTCTTTTGGAACTGATGATTAGGAAGATTATCGCATTCTCTATACCCATCGTCATGATCATGAGAATTACTACTATCGTCTGCATGGACCGATCCCCCTAACCTCACTTCCCAGACCCAAACCACCCCCCAATGGCCTAACCTTCGGGGGCCCTTCCCCTGTACGGAGGGACTCCTCCTACCAGCCCGCCAATTTTCCGACCTCCCACCGTCCCCCAACTCCAGCGATCAATACTGTCCACAGTCGTTCCGTCACAGTACGTCTCCATACAGACGCATACATACGGAGTACATACCGCGGGAAATACCGGCCCATTCGAAAAGCCCACCCGTCGCAGCCAAACTCGACCTCCGTAACGGAGAAACAAAACAGAATGGCAGGAAAGGGAATTGAAGATCGTCATTTGACGAACGAACCCAGGCCACCTATGGGAAGTCGGTGACACCGCGGCTGCGTACCCCACCGGGAGGTTAAAGGTTTCCAGTTAACTGTCCGCCCCCTCCACTGGCCGTGCTAAGCCGTCTTGGCATAATCATTATTGAGGACGAGGATTGAGGAACTTGCTGGTGATGCCCACTGCCAGGAACGAGGCGATCTCCGACGGCGGAGGACGGGGGACTGCAATTACACAATTGGCGGGAAGGGGTCATGGAACTCAAGATGCTACAGGGGGGAACGGGGAGACTAGACGGACGGAGATGGTGGCCATTACTTCGGAGGATTAGCGCAAATGCTATCTAGACGGGAAAACTGCTACGGTCACGGAGGATGAAGGTGAAGGTGAATGTGAACATCATGCGAGCAATTTCCTGCCACTGAAGCCGGTCGACCATTGGATGTCCACACCAAAAAAAGGGAAACGGAAAAAAAGAAGCAGAAAGGCCAACGAGTGTGCTCTGCCAGACCCATCATATGGACCGCCGCCGGATTCGGTAGGAGAAGCACCCAGCCGTGCCACTCTATACTCCACACTTGGCGGGTAGTTAGTGTGAGTTCTGGACTGACTTGCCTTCTCAGGTACGGAACGGATACTTTTGGGGACACGTTTTGTGTCAAGCGTCCAGTCTGTGAAACCAGAAGCCAGACGGATTCATGACTCTTGAAACGAGCCAGTCTCTGGTGGGGTCTCATCTGTGATCCGGACTGATATCCACACAGCCTTATCTCATGTATTTTGACCATCACGGAGTCCTTGCGGGTATGAAATCCTAGGGGATCAGTAGCCTCCAGATGATACCGAGGACGCCCCAAAGAGGTGTGCTAGCGAGTTGAGCCACACGGGCCCCGAAGCAGATGGGGAAAAGGAGGAAAACGCACCAAAGAAGACAGAAAGAATAGAAGGGAAATCAACCTGACACGATGTGGAGAAGAGACCCGTTTCACGAACCTGGTCCTGTCCGGAAAATGGAAATGGTACGCGTTGCCTCTGGAGTGGACAGCCAATTAGGACTCGGATCCTTCCCCGACGCACGGTACTCCTTTTTGTTTTATTCCTTTTTTCTTTTCTCTCAGGCCTTCGAGACGCCCTACAGCCTTGGTGTAGGGACCCACTGATCGGCAGCTTGAGGACTTCTCCTGCGTTCTAAGACGGGGAAGATCCCACCACGAAAAAAAGCCATACGGCGGATCGCTTGTGTTCGCCGACCGGGTCTTGGCAGTTCCTTCCCCTGTCTGACTTACTAGGGGGCGTTTGACCAAATTCCAAGTTTCAATCCCGGGGCACCGATGCAGTCTGGATAACAAGAAGATGGCCACCTCTGACAGGAAATCCTTTAATGAATCCAACCGCGGGTCCTTGATAGAAAAAAGAATAAGGCACGGGGGTCTTGGCAGTGGTTGGACCGTGGGAACACCTTCGGAACCAGTTGTTCAGAAAACCCGCCTCCTGACTATCGTTGTTCTTTTGGGCCGATCCCCATGACGTGGGCCGTTCTTTTTTTCCCTTTCCCCTTGGTCCTCATTCGGCTTTGAGTTTCCACCGCATCTGCCTCTTTGGTCCAGAACGTGGGTGAACCCTCTCCTTTCTCGAAGATTGACCAGAGGCGATATGATACATGGTATGATGGTGCACCGTCGGGCTATGGAAGAAATCCCCGTTTCGGACGGTTAGTGGATGTATCCCATTGCACCAGGATCGGCATGAGAAGACATGTATCGACTATCGACTATCGAGAATCCCTGATCGGTCTATGAGAGGGGACGGAATAGAATGATCGAATCGCATGTGCATGGTTGCCACATCCGGATTGACTTCCATGCCCTGGGTCTTCCGGAAGGGACTGACAGATTGATTGGAATTAATTAATTACATTCACAGATTTAGTAGATGGAATCCAAGTGGAAAAGAGGGTGTTACGTGGAGGACCATTCGGGTCTATTGTCCATGGGCCACTAGGAATCCAAACTCAACCCCAGAACCATCACTTTGTTTTTTATTGTCTTTTTTTTTTATCTATTATTTATTTTATTTTATTCTATTTATTATTTCTATTTTTTGCTATTATTATTTTCTATTCTTGATCTTGACTCTCCTTTTTAATCTCTTCATCTTCCAGTCCACTTTTTCTTTATCTTCTTCGCTCTCTTCTTCAATTACCTCCTGTCATTCTCTTTTTAATCTTGGTCTCTTCCCCGACCTTCGTTGATTTTGTTGTGTTCTCTCATTCCACTCCGCCCTTCTTTATCCCTCGGATCGGTATACTTACGGCTCTTATCTAGCCGTCCGTCCTTCGCTTCCATCCCACCCCTCCCCCTCTATACGATCATATAATCTATCCCACCATGTCGTTGATCCACTCCGACAACCTGGCTCCTCAGCCTGCTACGGATATCTTTACCGATGACACCTGCATCGATAGGCGCAAGTGCCACCGCACCGTGCCCATGAAGGTGCTGGCCCTGGGTGTGGGCCGAACGGGAACTGCCTGTATGTGCAACACGGCTCTCCGTCCCCCCCGCTTATAGAACACACGCTGACGGGGTGTAGCTCTCCGCATTGCTCTGGAGCGTCTGGGCTACATGCGATGCTACCACATGATGTGCGCCAGTATGGAGAACCCGCCCGACTGCCTGATGTGGCACGACGCCCTGGCGGCCAAGTATGACGGCGTGGGTGAATTCGGCCGCAAGGAATGGGACCAACTGCTGGGTGACTGCCAGGTATTCCTCATCTCCATCCTGTTGATAACAGAGCTCAACTAACTCAATCCCTCCAGGCTGTCTGCGACTGGCCCGCCTGCGCGTTCGCAAAGGAACTCATCGAAGCCTACCCCAACGCCAAGGTCATCCTGACCACCCGCGAAGTCGACTCCTGGCACGCGTACGTCACTTCCCTTTAATCCTCCAGCCTATCGACTACTTGCTAATTCCACCGCTATAGATCCGTCATGAAGACCGTCCACTGGCGCGTCTCCGATCCCGAACACAGCTTCGTCTCCAACTTCAGCTGGGCCGCCAGCATGTACTACCCGATGCTGAGCAAGTTCTTCGAGACCTTCTTCCGCGGCGACTTCCCCAACAAGGGCAAGCAGGTCTACGAGGACCACGTCGCCTTGGTCCGCTCCCTGGTTCCCCCCGAGCGTCTGCTCGAGTACCAGATCGGCGAAGGCTGGGGCCCGCTGTGCGAGTTCCTCGGCGAGGACGTCCCCGACACGGCCTTCCCCCGCGGTAACGACATGGCCGACTTCTTCAAGCGCTGCCGCGGCCGCAACCGTCGCCAGATGCTCAACGCTGCCCTGCAGGCTGTCACGATGAGCGGTGCCTTGCTGGCGACTGGCTTGGCTGCCACTATGGCGTTCAAGCGGTTTGTCCGGTAAATCTTTTCTTCTCTTCTGTTTATTTTCCTTCTATTTCATGTGATATCAAGCGTGCGCTGGGCGCAGTGATGTTTTCCTATTACTATTTTTTATTTTCATTTTCATTTTCATACTCATTTTCTTTTTCACCTTTACATTTTATCTTGGGAGTGGACAGGCCTCGGAATCATTTTTAATCGCTTTCAAAACTTGGTTCCACTATTGCTGTGGTGGCGTTAGTACATATACATACATACCTATACATACACATACATACACACATACCATATGCATACATATACATAAATGATCGTCCAGATTGAAATGCCTAGATAAAGCCAAGGGTCACTGTTTCTATTTCAGTGCTCGGGCTGGCTACTGTTTGTTACGGTGGGGCTGACGCTCACTAAAGGTCTGAGCGTAGAAGTAAGACTAGGTTATAGCTGGAGGTAAGTAGTGTGATAGAAAGTGATGACTGTAGATGAGACTCTTCTTTCCTTTTCTTAGTTGGTTATGGTATTCTATTTGTTCATTTATTCGTTTGTTTGTTTACTTGTTTGTTCCATGTTCAAGTAATACAATAGCCCTCCTATCTCGAAGTGAATAGACCTACACTACCTACACTAGTCTCAACAACACAACACAACTATCCATTATGTAAACACGGCTATTTATCATATACCAATAACCTACTCCGTAGTAAACACATGCATACTTCCAAAAGAAAAACAAATAACACTCAATTCAGCCCTGTAAATCTTGCTGCCTAGAGAAGCAAGGGCTACCTGCATATCCCGAGTAACTTAACTTCGAACATGACGAAGTATGTCTGAACGTGCATTGCACAGTTGACTTGGCATTGCTAATTGATTCTCTTGTGGTACTTGGATACCTACCTAGATACCTCAGCTGGAGATTTGTCTTTGTCTTATCCATATATTACAATACTGATCTTCATTCATTACTAGTTTTCCCTCTACAGCCAAGCCCGGTCTGTTTACCGCCAAGTCGCTATCCTGCATCCCTTGTGTGTGCGCAATCCAGCCTGTTTCATTTGCTGGGCGTTATTGCACTGAAATAGGAGCCTAGATACCTTTGTTGAGAAATTAATATCGTGCTATTTGGTTTGAGAGACAACATGATAGCTGGCTAGTATCACTATGTTAGAAACCCTCGTGAATAGTAGGGGCATAATTACCCCTTGGCTACCAGAGACTGGGGTCAATACAAATACTTTACTATGAGATAAATGAGCTAAGCGGAACAACGCCTGCATGTACAGATTAAGCAAAGACTATGTATATCAGACGTTCATTTCTCGATATCAACTCAAGCAATATCTTATCGTCACCGCATCGGACAAACAAGAGTGATGTTCCGTGTCATACAGAGTGCATGGTAAGGAGCTACACTAGACAATTGGGATGAGATGGAGATTATCTCGACTTGAAACCCCGTCTCTTTTTGAAAAGGCTTCTCTGGGGAAATGGCCGTTGAACAGATCAGCTAGGCTAGATCAGCAGTACACTTCATGTGTTATCAAGTCCCCGCTGATCCCAGCATATCTTATATATAGACAGCCAATATGCTTCGTATATAGCGCAATATATAATAAACTAGACACCATTCTACTACATTGCTAGGGCAAGTACTACATGCACACTGACTCAACGTCCCCACCAGCCGCCCTCGTGAAACAATAAGAGATAACCCGACTACATAACAAAGAAGGATGAGTCCTTGGCATGCTGGGTCCATCTCAGCCTGCATTGTAAGCGAATGTTTCACAACATTAATCAGCCCTGCACAACACGTTAGATTAACAATGACTCGGAGGCATCTCTGCAGGTGGAGGTTAAGCAGGACTTTTGGCAATTCTGCTGCAGCTATTGATATTGTGTATAGCGTTGGTCTTACGCGATAAGTGTTTACTTGTGCAGACTCCAAATAAAATGATTATTCCTTCAAAAATACCACAGAATACCATATTACTTAAGTATACATTAGATATAGTTATATAAATTCCGTACTTTTATACTCCCCCTCGATCGTAGAATACCACAATGACGTCATCCAACATACCAGTCAAGTCCCAAAATAGCACCACCATCTGCACCACAAATGCGACAAGTCCAATCCCGAATATTAATAGGTTACGCCCATCTATCACCCACAAATAGAATCAATCGCAACGACATAGGCACCTAGGTGGCAATCAAGGCGTTTGTCCCCAAGAGTGCCGATCTCGATCGCAGGCCCCATCCCGATCCCGATGTCGATCCCGCCTGTTCTCAAGCGCCGGACGGAACAGCTCTTCGTAGTCTTTGAGCGCGCTGCGGCTTTCGTCCGAGAGGGGGCGGTCCGAGAGCCAGTTTTGCGAGATGGTCCGTTGGAGCCAGGTTGAGGAGTGGCTGCTGCTGGTGCTTGTTGTGGTTCTTAGGTAGGGCCGTTCTACGAAGTGGTCGGGCTGGTTGTTGTGTGACGTAGTTGGGGATAATGTTCTTTGTTCGGGGATGTGCGAGAAGTAGTCTTTGCTGGTTGTTGGGGCTGCGGGTGGTGAGGATGTGTGGGTGGGTTTGTTGCGAGATTGGGGCTTCATCTTCGGATATAGGAAGGCTTGGTAGGTGTGTGTATGCATGAATGAGTGAATGGATGAATGAATGATCTATGGTTTTTCTGTCTGTCTGGTGGATGGGTTCTTCTTCCATTGTGTGGCTGTCTGGTATACCTTATACTTTGGTGCTTTCTTACTTTGGTGCTTTCTTACGTATGAAACGCCACATTCCATGACGCAATTGACCACATTGTGTTCTGATAATGAGAGTGTGGTTCAGGTTTTTCTTTGTTCTTCTTCTTTGTAATCTATACATATTCAATATTTCTTTTGTATATTGTACTGAGTCTAGACCTGCGGGGTAGATCGAATAGCTAACCTCGCAGGCTGCATAGTAACTCGCCAGTCTCCCGGTATTGCGTATCGCCATCAACGTGGCAGCGCATTGCTTGATACACAAGTATTGCTTTTTTGTTGGAATAAAAGACAGCGTAGAAGCGAATGCGTAGATGGGGCTTATCATTAGCATTTTCTTATAGGGGGAGAGAGGGAGGAGGAGAACACCAAAACATCCATTATCCTACTATATTCTGCCTCACTCGACTCGCCTTCGCCCAACCCTAACCACTCCCCCACTTCTCCATGCCCATCTCCCTCAGCCAGGTCCCCCGGATAACACCGGAGCGCCCGTATCGTCCCGTCCGTATTCACGCGGGACAATAAACCCACTAACACGCCCAGCTGGCGGCCTGTCACTATCCTCGTAGTAGTATCAGCAGCAGCAGCCAACCTCTACTCATTGAAGATTTCTTCCTGGCTCAAGACCGTGTGCTGAGATCTAACTAAAATGTTTCGCAGACCTGCGAGGACCGATTGTACTAGGGTTGGTTTCTAGTATACGCCATAGTCATTGTTGGTACAGGCCCACCGGGTGTATTGCTGTCGACATACCTTTGGGCATCGCGTTTCTGGTGCCCATGTTGTCGGCCTGCGAGCCAGAGTCCGATACTAAAGAAGAATTTGGACATTGACATCTTGTCTTATCTACTGTTGGTGGGGTGTGGTGAGGCTGGTGGTCATTTTAAGCGTGGTCGGTCGGCTTGGCTGCACAGCCTTGGGCTAGTTGCTTATACTAAATTAGGGTTATGTGTAGTCTATATTCTCTATGTTTATGGACTGAATATGGACTAGATTGAGGAAATCAATTGTTATAAGTGATTTAGTTCATCGAATGTCAGTTTGGATTAGATTAAATTAGTTAACTAGCCAGGTGATGGATCACTCTTGTCTATACAATTCTACTGTAGTTGAAGATCTCGGAGATTTTACAATTTTATCCCCAGATTCAACCTCTCTACTCCATACTATTCCCCAGCTCAAGAACTCACGACGTCATCCCATCATAACAGCAATGACAGCCAGGTCGTCTTGGCAGACGAATCTTTATTGATCCCTCCGTCGTTTAACATGCCGATCCTTGCCTGTTTATCATTCCCCATCCCTGTGTCCATCTTTTTCACCCCTGGTAGCGGAGACCTTTTCTACTACCTACTTTACTTTAAACCGTCCAAGGATCCTTGTTTATCTCATTGGTAGCTGTGTCTGTTGACTGGTTTCGCTTCCATGACGGAACAGAGCAATGGTCCATGTTTATATCTACGTCCACGTCCAGGGTAATGTCAAGGTCTGACATCACAGGGGGATCGGCAATTCGCACCACGTGTGGCGTTTGGCTTCTCCTGTTGAACTTGCTGCATGGCGTGCTGCATGGCGTGCTTGCAGAGGGTCCTGCCTATAAATCGGTAGGTTCTCTTCACCATGTATAAGTGTCTGACTGCTGATCCTCCAGCGACCTGATCTCTTCCCTCCCGTCTTAACGGTCGAGCACCGTATTCCCGACCAGCTCAGTCCGGGCTATATATTCGTCGGCCCGTACGAGACTGACAATGCAGGACCGTACATCTACGATGATACCGGAGTAGGTGATGTCCCTGAGACTATCATTCTAAATTCGTCGCTGACCATACAGGAACTGGTGTGGAGCGGCTGGGGCAACTCCGGCCCCGGAAACGCCCACAACGTACACGTCTGCCAGTACCAGGGCGAAGACCACCTGTGCTTCTTCCAAGGCGTGCAGCAACGCGGGTACTGCCGCGGCCACGGCGTCATCATGGACCGACGCTACCGCATCGTCAAGACGGTCGTACCGGGCGGAGGCATGGCGTCAAGCGACATGCACGAGTTCAAGCTGATCGACAACGGGCGCCACGCCCTCGTAACAGTCTACCAGCAGCGGGCGTTCGACCTGAGCGCGTGGAACGTGCGCACGGGGATCGGATGGGTGATGGAGAGCGTGTTCCAGGAGGTGGATGTCGAGACGGGGGCGGTGCGGTTCGAGTGGCGGTCGCTGGACCATGTCGACCCGTCGGCGGGATACACGTACCCGGCGCACACCGACACCTCGGGGACGGGGCTGGACCCGCGCTCGCCGTGGGACTACTTCCACATCAACTCGATCGAGAAGAACGCCGAGGGAGACTACCTGGTGTCGGCGCGGCACACCTGCGCTGTTTACAAGATCTCGGGCCGCGACGGGTCCATCCTGTGGAAGCTGCACGGGGCGGATCCCAGCTTTGCTAACCTCGACTTTAGCTTCTCGCAGCAGCACGACGCGCGGTGGCTGACTGAGAACGCCACGCATACCGCGCTGTCGCTGTTCAACAACGGCTGGAACGGCTTCAACAAGACGCATGACTTCTCCTCGGGCATGGTCATCGTCATCGACCACGTCGGCCAGACCGCCGAGCAGGTCCACCGCTACGAACCTCCTCCCGACCGCCTCACGCTCAGCTCCAGCCAGGGCAACATGCAGACGACGGAGCAGGGCACGGTGGTGGTCGGGTGGGGGAACCGCGCGGCCATCTCGGAGCACGACGCGGAGGGAGGGCTGCTGTTCTGGGGCACGCTCGGCCAACCCCCGAACACGACCAGCACAACCAGCCTGATGAACTACCGGGCGCAGAAATTCCGCTGGGACGGCGACCCGACCGACATTCCGGCGTTATGGGCGTATGCACCATCTCTAGAGCAGAACAGCACCAGCACCACCCTCTACGCCAGCTGGAACGGGGCGACCCGCGTGCGCCACTGGCGCTTTTACGGCTCCGTCAGCCAGCACACGGGACCCTACGAGTTGCTACAAGAGGTGGTTAAAGACGGATTTGAAACGACATGCTCGGTGGCGCGGTACGTGCGCTGGTCGTACGTGGAGGCCGTGGACGGCGAGGGCAGCGTGCTGGGCAAGTCGCAGAGCCGGTTCACGTTCACGCCGTCGGGGGCGCTGCGGGGAATCTGCGGGCAAGGATCCTGCGCTAATGCGGCGGCGTTTGGGGTGCCTGGGGAGGAGGAGGATGCGGAGCCGTTCATTCCCCCGACGGGGATCAACACGGTGCCGTGGATCGATCCGGATCATCCTGAGACGCACTTTGACTGGGGTGAAACGGGGGTGCCGGAGGGGTATAATGGGTATGATGAGGAGGATGAGGTTGAAGGTAAGCTTTTTTTTTTTTTTTTTTGATTTATGATAATATAGATTATATTGAAGATACTGACTGTATAGAAATCTGGTGGTTAGGTGTGGTGGGTGCCCTGGTGGTGGTCGTCGGGGCTATCACGGGGTGGACGCTGTATCGCCGACGAGATCGATTTACCCTGTTGGACAATGGCTCGAGTGACAGTCTAGAGGAGATGGAGGGACGGAAATCATCCCTATCCTCGGACGACATGGCGTGGTGGAATGGGCAGGCGAGTCTGCAGCATCAGCATCCATATGCACATCGGATGGACGATGGATGAGTCTGTATCAGGAGGTAATGGGAATACTGTATTATACGGTATGGTTGTGTAATAGAATACATCCGTAACGTTTGACATGTTCCTGACTAACCAACCTGGAGCATCTGTCAGTATCCGCATATAGTACACTATCTATACTCCTAGTATGGAGTATACAATGGTCCTACGTAAGCGGCTGTGAGCTTCATAGAATTGATGGGATAATCAAGACCACTGCACGTTCCATGGTTGTTTCTATTTCCATCAGAATCTCGACCAGCTCTCTGACTCGCCAAGACACGGGTTTCAATGGTGGAGTCAAGCGTCGCAAGCCCAGCAATGCCGATCCTTGTATGGATGGTGTATCGTGTAAGATACTTGACTCCTTTCATAGCTGGGATTTCTCTCTTTTCTCTTCTCTCTTCCTCTCGGACTCTCTCGGACTCACTTTCTCTAACTTCCTATCTTTCTCTCTCTTCTCTTTTTTATCTTCTTCTTCTCTTCTTCCCTCCTTTATATCCAATCATTCGGTTCTTTCTCCAGGCTAACGGGGATCATGCTGAACTAATTTCCGAAACCCATTCCGATCCTCCGTCGTTTCTCCCCTCTATTCTATTCTATTATTTTATTTTATTTGATTTTATTTTTTATTCTTTCCTCTTTAACCGGGAAAATAAAACAATAAAATAAAATAAAATAAAGAGATAATTCTAATATACTAATAAAATAATAAAATATCTGACTTGGCGAGTGACGACCGCCAAGTCTACACCCTCAATGCCAGTCTCCAATTCTGCATTCCAAGGACATCGTCGTCAGTCGTCCACGACGACCGCTATTCCTTCCATCTCAACCCACCCTGCCCCGACTCCCTCCTCGTCTTCCTCCATTCAGCAGCCCAAGAGGGACCGGAATGCCCATCACTCCCGGGCCACTTCCTGGACGTCTGGTCACGATCAAGGTCCCGAACCCTCCCCCGTCTTCCCCTCTTCCTCCTCGCGCCGTCGCGGGAACTCCAACGTCTCCCTGGCGCAAGTCTCCGAGGGCTCCTCCGGCCGATACGACGACAACGACGACGACGATTTCCACTTCCCGGACGACGCCGGCGACAATATGAATCTCAAAAGTACCTCCTTCGAGTGGCAGGGCCACGCCCGCAGTCGCTCCGGCCACTCCATCTCCCGACATCTGTCGTCCTTCCCGTCCGATCTCTCCCCGCAACCCCGGCCCGGCCCCGTGACCTGGATGTCACTGCCCCGGAAGCAACAGCTGGGGATCTTGGGTCTCTGTCGCGTCTTCGATTTCCTGCAGGTCGCCTCCCTGCAGGCTTACATGTTCTACCAGCTCAAATCCTTCGACGAGACCCTCTCCGACTCCGACGTCGCGACCCAGGCTGGTATCCTCCAGGGCGCCTTTACCGCCGCCCAGTTCGCGACGGCCATCCCTTGGGGACGTGTTGCGGACGCCGAATGGGGCGGTCGCAAGTTCGTGCTGCTGGTCGGCTTGTTGGGTACTGCGCTGTCGTGTTTGGGAGTTGCTTTTTCGACGTCGTTCGCGCAGGCCGTGTTCTGGCGCTCGTTTGGCGGTGCTATTAATGGTACTGTTGGTATTATTCGGACTTCTATCGCGGAGAATGTCAAGGAGAAGAAATATCATTCGCGTGCTTTCCTAATCCTCCCAATTGGGTTCAACATTGCTTCACTGTTTGGTCCGGGTAGGTTTTTCCTCACCTAGAATGTTCATGAATATATGTACTGACGAAATAGTCATGGGCGGCATGCTCGCGGATCCCGTCCGCGCCTATCCCACCCTGTTCGGCCCCAATTCGTCTTTCGGCGGCCAGACCGGCGTCGAGTGGCTGACGCGCTATCCGTACGCCTTGCCCATGTTCGCCAATGCCTTATTTTTGAGTGTCACGGCGGTCTTGGTCGGCATGTATTTCGAAGAGGTACACTATCTTCTCCATCTACCTACCGGAACTAGGCTAATCCATCCAGACCCTCGATGCGTGCAAAGGAAAGCCCGGCCTGGGCACCTTCATTCTACGACTCGTCGCCAAGGTCGTCCGTGCCGCCGTCCCGTCATCATCCCCCCTGCACCAACGGCTCCCCTTCGCCGACTACGACGAAGAGGGCCCACTGCTACACCGACACCGCGAGTCCGAGAGCTACGAGCTCGAAGAAAAGGCCGCGCGACCCACCGCGCGCGCCGCGCGCATCCTCCCCTTCCGACGACTGTGGACCAAGAACGTGCTCTGCACGCTCCTGGCACAAGCCTTCTTCGACTTCCAGATGGGCGCCTTCAACAACCTCTGGCTACTCTTCCTCTCGACCCCGCGCTACGACGCAGCCGACCCGGCGGCGCCCGCGCGCCGACTGCCCTTCATCTTCACAGGCGGCCTTGGCATGCTACCGCAGAGCGTCGGCTTCGCGACGGCCATCCTCGGAGTCATCGGCATGCTGCTGCAATTCACCATCTACCCGACGATCAACGGACGACTGGGCACAGCCAAGAGCTACCAGTACTTCCTGACACTGTTCCCGCTGGCCTACGCCTTCGCGCCGTACATCGCGCTGGCACCGTCGTCGACCCCGCCCCCGGGCCAGGCAAACGGCATCTGGGTCTGGTTCTCTATCGTCGTTGTGCTGTTCCTGCAGGTCACGGCGCGCACCTTCACCCTCCCCACCTCCATCATCCTGCTAAATAACTGCTCCCCGCATCCGTCCGTGCTGGGCACCATCCACGGCGTCGGCCAGTCCGTGTCCTCGGCGTTCCGCACCGTGGGACCTATCTTCTCCGGCGGGTGGTACGGCTACGGGCTGGAGATGGGCATGGTCGGGTTCGCGTGGTGGCTGGTCGCGCTGGTCTCGGCCATGGGGTGCGTCGCTGCTGTATTTGTGTATGAGGGGTCAGGTCATGAGATTCTACTCCCTGGGGAGACATACGATTAGTGTATAGTTTCTTTCTTTTTCTGCATTCTTTATCTTTCTTTTCCTTTTTCCTTTTTTCTTGCATCCTGCACTGCATTCCTTCAATGTTTCTTTCGTTGTGTTATTTTTGATCCCATGTATATATTTGGGTGGTGTCTAGTGACTTGTACAGTTGGATGATAGATAGAGTATATAGAGTATCGAGGATACTTGGCCATTTGACTTGGACATTTCATAACACGTAAGGTAGCTAAGGTAGCTAACATGTAACATCAATCAATCCTCACAACCGCCTCAGCGCAGCAAACCGCTTCGTCAAATCATCCACTTCCGGGATTTTACCCCCGGGTGATGATCCTGACTTATCATTATCATTAGTATTTCCACTCTCATCCCCACCTTCTTTCCCATCTCGAGCAGTATTTCCACCATCCCCCTCCCCAGCAGTATCCCCCCATGACCCCCCTCCCCAGAAGAATCCAACCCATGCCCCCCAGGATTATACCTCTCCGACCTCACAGCATAAGCCCTCGCAATCTCACTCAAATAACAATCCACGAGCTCCTCGCTCGGCGCACGCACCCGCAGCGCCTTGACCAGTTTCGCCGGCACCCGCACGCCCGGCACGCGGTCGTCTGCGGCCAGCGCGGCGAACTCTTTGCCGTATCGCTCGGTGAGGAGCGCGCGGAGCAGGGTCAGCTCGCGCACTTCGGTGGGGAAGCGCGCTTGCGCGTAGATTATGGAGGTGCTGGCTGTGTCGAGGGGCGGGGAGATGTATTCTTTTTCTTCTTCGGGGGGTTCTTGGGGGTCGGATTGGTGGTCTTGTTGGGGCTGTTCTTGTTCTGTGGAGGTAGTGGTTTGCTTTGCAGATGTAGACGACGGAGAAGGAGAAGGAGAAGACGGGGGAGGAGCAGGCGAAGACGGAATCGACCTCCAAAACGAAAACGAAAACAACCCCGCCTCTTTCTTCTTCTCCTCCCTCGTCGCATCCCTCCCAGTCCTCGAAGAACCATGCTGCTGCTGCGCCTTCTGCAGCTGCAGATAATAAGCCCTCAAATCCCCCCTCATCGCCACCCCCTTCTCCGAAAACGCCACCTGATCCAGCAGATTCGCCCGCGCGAGCACCAACTCGCAATACAGCTCGACCATCTCCATCACCTCCACGGCGGTGTCGGTCGCGATGACATTTTCGACCCGTATGCGCGCGGACTCGTCGCGGCCTTCGGCGAGGAGGGCGGAGAGCTCGCGCCGTTGGTGGACGCTTTGCGCGGAGGACTTCTTCTGCAGGAGGCGGAGGCGGGGGATGAGGAGGTGGAGGGTGGAGGTTAGTTTTGCCTGTTTTTTTGTTAGTATTTTCTGTTATTTTGGCTTGGTGAGTGGGGGGGGGGGTAAAGATGGACGTACGGTTTGTGGGGATGGAGGCATTTTCCCGTCTCTTTCTTGCTTTCTCTTCTTCTGTGATTGTTGCCTGTTGTTGTTGAGTTGGTCTGTGTCTGGGGTGTTCGATGATGCGGAGATAGGGTGCTTATGTAAGTGTTTATCGGGACTATATGAGCCCTACTATAGATATAGTTACATGGATTAAACAACAGAGATGACTTGAAATACAATAACAAATAAATTAATAGATAATAATAATAATACAGTATTTTAGAAGTAAAGACAATAACATCGTAATCAATGCCAACATAAATCATAGGCAGAAGTATCCAAGTGTATATAAAGCGAGGCCGCTTATAAGGCCTCACGTACACCCAGCACACCCATCACCATCGCCACTACAAATCCCATAGATACTACCTCCCGGGTACTTCCACTCTGGGCAGAGGAAGAAGGCGTCGCGGTCCTGGTCCCCGCAGACTGGGCAGTACCGGTCTCGATCAGCACCGGCGGTCGGTAGGTGTAGCTGGAGGAGGACCCCCCGCTGGAGCTTGGGCCTGACGTGGGGCGCGTGGTGGAGGCCGAGGACGTGCTGCTGGTCGGGGCGTCGGTGCTGGTCGGTGCTTCGGTGCTAGTTGGTTCTTTGGTGCTCGTAGGTTCCTCCGTGCTGGACGGGATGGACAGTGTCGTCGAGGACCCCTCGTCGTCCTCATCCTCATCATCCTCGTCATCAGAACCAGCCTTATCGAACACCACAATATGCGCCTTCGCCCCCTTAGGAACAGTAACCACGCAGAATGCACCGCCCCCGGCGCCCTCCTTCTCCGACTTGCCGCACACTTCATTAACAGCGTTGACATCCGGGTCGATCTTGCACGGCAAGCCTTGACACTCGCCCCCATCGCACTCGATCTCCACCCCAAAGTCCGGGACCACGTCGCGGAAGGGCGTCGCCGGCTCCAGGTAGACGGGGTTCCACGCGAGCTTGACGAACGTCTGCCCTTTTTTGTCGGTATTCGCTCCCGCCACGTAGGGAGACCAGTTGCCGTATGGGTTGGATGAGGTGCCCCACACGCAGGCTGTCTCGGGATCATACCCTGGGGGGTTGATGTAGAAGCTGTTTTTGGTCAGTTCTTGGTTTGGGGTTCATGCGTACGGGGAAGAGGGGGCATACTGCGCTGACGTCTCGCACCAGTACTCCGGGTCGGGCACCGCCAGGTCCGTCACGTCCTCGACCATAGTAGGGATCAGCATCGCTTCGTTCCCTGGCAAGACGGTCTGACAGAAAGACACCCCGCCCTTCTTGCACTTGCTGCGGGCGGCCACCGCGCCGGTACCGTCCTGGCAGTAGGGTTTGTCAGGGAAGGGCTTCTTGATCTTGCCGTCGTCGTCGCAGTAGAGACCGCCGTTCTAGTCCTGTTAGCCGAGTTCTATCAAACTACTTCTCCCAATAGCGTAGCACCTACCATGGACGCAGGATAACTGTACGAGGTCGCGTCGGGGTCCCACTGCATGGACAGCTGACCCGGGGGACAGGCGTAAGGACAGTATCCGCCAGGCTCGCACGACTGATCAGGGCTCAGGGCCCAGCCGCCGTTCGTCATGCTCGGTGTGATCTCGATCAGACCGGCGTCCTTGGGGAACTTGCAGCTTCCACTCCGCTTCTCAAGGGGCTCGTCGACGCTGGCGTAACGATGGCGGTGGCGGTGACTGTGTCCGTGGCCGTGTTGGGAAGCCCCCGCGCAGGCGAACAGCGCCAACCATGTCGTCGTATAGTATCGCATCGTGATATCGATCTGATCCGGGGTCTACAATCTCCAACGAAAGACGAGGTCTTGAACCCAAATGAATGACTGGGGTGAAAAGGGACAGACCGAGAGATGCATCAACGAAGGAAAGAAAGAAAGAAAACAGAGAACTGGAAATGAGAGAGGCACAAGCAGGCCACTGAGGCCGGGGGCTAATGAAACCATCGTTGGATTAACTTCTTAGCTCGTCCTTGGCAGGAGACTGCGCCAATCAGTCTCTCCCCGGGTGTTCATGCGCGTCTCCACTGTAGGGCTATCGTTCCATTCAATCCCGGAGTATACATGGACTCGAAACCGCTTCAGATGAGGATCGGCCGCGGAAGACGACTTAGAAGCGTCCAGACCCGAGGTTCACCGCGATCGGCACATCAATATCGCAGTCTGGCTGTCGCCGGATTTTTTGGAATGTGATTTAACGATGGCGCTTGCCCATACACTTCTATACCCCCGACGCGCGCTGTGGTGTAGTGGAGAGTTCGTAAAGGGGTCTCCGTGTGTCACCCTAATCGCCGGAGAAGGCGTCAACTAGTCGCAATAGTCGCTCTCGCAAGAGGACAAAGGACCCGATGAGAAATGATGATTGCAGCCAGTCAATCGCCTGCGTCTAGCCGTCCTTCTGCCCTTCCATATCCCTCCATCCATCAAACGCGTCCGTCGTCTGCCCCCCCGTCGTCCCCTCGCGCCATCCCCACGCCACGCAGTAATGTCGAGCCAACAGCCTCCACTCCTCCATCTCATCGAGCATCTCCAACCCCGCCACCCGCTCCTTCTCAGCCTCGTCCACCCACCGCTCCCACAAGAAATCCACATCAGCCGCCGCCTGGCCCCCGTAAAACCCGTGCTCCTGTAACCGCCGCCGCTGCGCCTCCAGCGTCGCGTACTTGTGTAGTGTGGGCAACTGGATGCCCCGCGTCGCCAGATTCGACACCATCGTGCGTCCGAATGCGTCGTCCGGCCGGATCGGCTCGTACAGGATGAGCCCCAGCGGCGACGGCGGTGCCTCTCCGCTTCCTCCGAACAGCGTTTCCGTCAGATATCCGACCACGTCGGCCGCGTCCCCAGGCGCTAAATACACTAGACAGCACTCGGAGATCACCAGCGTTGGCAGCGTCGGGTCCACCTCGCGCAGCGCTGGCGCCGAAGTTGTCGCATCCCCATCCGGCACGCCCTCCCCCTCTTTCTTCCCTCCCTTCTTCAACGACCGCAGATCCAACGGGTGGATGTGATACGCAGGGGAGTGCAGCGCATCCCCCGCCGCGGAGATAGCCACATCCGCGCCGAGCGCACGCTGCAGCAACGGCGACGCGCGGATGAATTTAATCTTGGCAGCTGTATTCACGGCGAAGTCGATCTCATGGTAGACGAGGTTTTGGACGGGCGGGTGCGAAGCAGACGACAGGAGGCGGAAGATGCGCGTGTCGGTGCCCGCACCGAGCGAGATGACCTGTTTCCTGCTCGTCGCGGGCATCCCATCGAGGAATCGTCGGATGAGCGTATCGATTACCGTTGTTCGCACGTAGGTGCCTGTAGTTTGTGCGATTCGGAAACGATCAGGCGGGCGCGGTCGTCAATTGTGGAAGGATCGTCTGCTTACCTCTGTTGATTATGGGCAGGCGGCGGGTCTCTGCCCCTGGCTGCGTCAGAACCGGCGCATATGGATCGTCGAGATACCCTAGGCGAACGGCGCTCAGACGCGACACCCCGGCGTCGTTGTCTGTGCCTTGCACTACCTGGTCTTGATTGCCTGTCTGCGGGCCCCCACCACGACCCCTCAATCGGCCGCGACTCCCTCCGCCTCCGCGGCGTAGTGTGTTGAGGTTGGGGATCTGTGGTGCCGACATGCAGGGTGTTTATAAGCGAATTGCGCGAGAGAAATAAAGTAAATGCGCAAGTTAAGGTGTTGAAAGGAATAAGTAGTTGGATTGAGGGGAGAAGCTCAGGCCGATCGGAATGATGTGATGCCAATCCAGTCTAACCTCATCGGGTAATGCACGACCTGACTAAAGATGATGTCTATTTTGTCTACTCCAAATCTCAACCCATTCCTCTATACAAAGCTAGCGTTGCAGATCACACAAAGTTGAAGTTGTTCCGGCACAGAGGACAGCTGCTCTGGTTGCTGCTCTTGAACCACCGGTACAGACACACCGAGTGGAAGGTGTTCTTGCACGTCGCGCACCGCTTGTTCGGCGTCTGCATGTCCGTCGAGATGACCGAGTAGCAGATCGCGCACTCGCTCTGTCCCTTCAGGGCTCCCTGCACGTTCTTCCGGAACGCCAGCAGTCCGTCGACCAGGTTTCCGTTCGCGAACATGATCACCCCCTGGATTGTGATCATCCAACCCTTCCACTTCCGCTCGTCCACCAGCACCCGGCTGCGTCCCGTCACGAGTGCCGGCTGCAGCGGGTATGCGGGGGGCAGAGAGATCGACACTGACACCGGCGGCGACTCCTCGTCTACTGGGATGCTGGCGATGATTTCCGCCGTCTTGGGCGAGATCTTCACCGCCAATGCACGTTCCTCGTTAGGGTCTTGCGTCGCGACCCACTCGGTGACGCTCTGGAAGGAATCGGCAATGACCAGGGGCGAGACCTGTCTGGATTAGCATGTATAAATAGTGGAATCCCATATGGTACTCACGAATCTCTCGGTCCAGCTTTCTACCGGCCCCTTGATGCGCTTCTTCGTGTCAATCCACCATCCCTTCGTCACGGTGGCAAGGTGCTTTAGGCATAAGTAATACAAATGAACCAGAAGCCACTGGATCTCTTTCTCATCCGTCTCCGACTGGTCGAGTTCGAACGAGCGAATATCAAATTTGGATGCGTCCACAAGTTTTCCGTTCGACGTCTCAAGAAATTCAAAAGTGAAGTTCAGCAACGGAATGAGCACGTCGTTCTCTTTGATGCTGTTCACGTAGTGCTCTTCCACCGTAGCAGACTGTTTTGCGTAAGCTGGGATGTTCCATCAGAAGGGGTGAGGCTGAGTATAAGATGACGTACCGTGTTGACAAAATGGTCAAAGACCACTTGCCAGCTCAGCAAATATGACCGGACCTCTGCCCACATTCTATCATCGCCGTCGGAGAGCGCTATCGATTCCGAGCTCGGCGCTTCAAGCAGCAGTGATATCAACTCATTAGGAAGTCGGACAGTCGACTTGGATAGAGCCACGTCGAATGACACTTGTTCCTGGGTACTTGGCACGTAGCGATGGAGAATGGTATAGGCTGCTCGTTGCACGGCTCGGCTCTGAGCTGTCAGAAGAGGGAAGAACTTGCTCACTTCCTCGAGACCCTCGGTCGGAATCACGGTGATTAAGCGACAGAGGAGGTCGACTGCGACATCCCGCGGCTGGTAAGAACTCGTCGATGAATCTGCCCGGTTATCAATTAGCGGTCCCTACTTATCCATGGAGGAATTGCTAACCAAATTTTCTCAACGTCGATGTCAAGCTGTTGAACAAAATCGCCTTCTTATCAGACCAGGCGTCTTTCACGTCGTCATTGCTGTCCTCGTTGTCGACAATTGCCTTCAGGCGAGAGAAAAGTCGGAACGACGAACACAAGACAGGCAGCGCTTCATCGCCAGCGTTTGTGTCTCGCCATGTCCTACTGAGGATCTCCACGCACTCTTCCCAGTGTGACCCGTATATTTCACTGATACAGGGTAGCACGAATGACAATGTCTGGAAGACTTCTCCCTGGACAGCCAGAGATATTTCCTCAGACTGAAGGCACTGCAGAAGATGCTTGACTAGAAACACCACACGCTGCGTCGGGATAGACGCTGCGATGTCTTCGTCTCCGGGTATAAGAAGATTCAAGAGCGCCAGTTTTCGCAGACCTAGACTGAGTCAGCACCAAAGCAAAAGCAAAGTTTCCTTCCTTGTCACTCACCCTCATTTTTCTCGTCCGATGGTTTCAATCCAGTGGAATCTGCGACAAGCTCATTGCAAAGTCGTGTCCCGGTAGGATTGGAAATGATCGAGTCTCGCAGAACGGCAACCCAAGAACTGGACCAGATGGCATTTGCCGTTCGAGTATCTCGGCAAAGTTTGGTAACCTCCTCCGGAGATTTGGCCTTGTACGACAGACTGGCACTGTCCATGATCTTCGTGAAAGCTTCGCCGACCCGATAATCCCTTGGAGAAAGACCAGCCAGCTCCCCGAGTTTACTTTGCCAGAAGGAAGTTATCTTGGGGGCAACGCTTTCGGACTCAGTCCAATCCCTCATCACCTTTCGGCCCTCATTGACGACTGCCATGTATTCCTCTCGTTGTTCAGGGAGAATCAGTCCAGTGATGCCGTTAGAGTTCTCAATGCTCAAGTCATCGTCGACCAGTTGGACCGACAGAGGAATGTTGAAGAATAAGGTTTCGAGTTCTTCGGCATCGAGATCCATCGTGATGTTGAAAAGAGAAAGAACCCTGGTGGTGAAATAGACCAGTCGGAACGCAGGTGAGCAGTGGTTAGAATCGCGTGGCACTTTTTCATAGCGTTCCTTGAATGTATCTGACAAGGTACGATCAATAAGATGCACAGTGCCTCCCAGTGGGCTGGTGATAACAGTTGAGGATCGAAGAGGAAAGTCGAGGAAGGGTTCTAATGCCGCGGTCCAAGTTTCGCGCGAAGGTAGCACATCCTTCGCGATACGACGAACATCTTCGGGTTTGGTGTTATGTAGCAGTTCTTCCGCGATAATCAGCAGCGATTCGATCCTTTTTGACGTTAGCAGATACCCCATATTTCATTCCCTCGGCGAAGCACTTACGAGAGCGATTCTTCAGTGACATGATCGAAATTGTGCTGGAGAATCTCAAAGCTAGACTTGGCACTTGTCTCGCTAACGATAGAATCCTTCAGCGTCTTGATCAACGACTCAGAAAGGTTGGATACTTCCTCATCGGAAGATTCCGCCAAGAAGAGTAATTTCCCGGTCAGCTTGGAGCCATTGTTTCCACTTTGGAAGCTACGGACAGCTTCCCGAACGGAGCCCGCGATTTGCGAAAGCCCGTGCAAGGCGTTGATGACTTTACTTCCATCAGACAGTGCATCAACAATTGACATGAACACCTGATCCGTCAAAGGCCCGTGGGAACTCTTGTTTTGAAGGACCGCGATAACAATTGACCAGTGTAAATTGCTACCTCTGCAGGCTTGGTCAAGAGCCCGCATGATCAAGGAAGGCAGTCCGCTCTGATCCCCCACCTCCTTGAAATCTAGGGTTGACAAAAGCTTCTGCACAGCATGCGCGTTGGACGATCCAGGTTCAAACTGGGCGACTCTCTCAACGACACTCTCAAAGCTTGGACCGAACCCGTCCCACGAGCGACAGGACAAGATAATGGAGATCAGGCGGTCGCCAGATGGCGAAAACAGAAGTTCAGGCGCATCCACTTGCACGAAATTCAGCAAAGCTGAAGAGCCTTGCGCAATTTGGGGAAGCTTCCGAATCGTCTCCTCAACGACACCAGCTGCTCCATAGGGCTTACCATTTCGGGTTCGCAACACTTCCAGACAGTTCTCAAGCAAGGCCGAGTTGGCGTTTTTGAAAGTCGCCAATATCCGGGTTTCATGCTCCGAATCCGCTACTCGGGAAAGGACCGCAGCCTCCAGGGCAGAAAGACGCTCGGCTTGGCTGCACACTGCATCTTGGGAAGCCCTGAAATCCTGGGACTGCTCTGGACAGGATAACTTGACAGCCTGGAGCAAGTCATCCGACATAGCCGTTCCTATATGTTCCAGTTCCTCGTGATATCCATGCGTTGCTAGAGTGACAAGATAGTCTGTGCAGATTGCTTCAGCCGCCAAGGCAGGAAGCGACCACTGCTGTCGATCCTGTTCGGGCTTCACGTATTGCAATGGGATAGGAGATAGTCTGTTGCGCAAGAATTCCGTCCTACTATCTTCTGGCAGCAGATGGGCGAGCCATATCCCAGTATCAATGTAGGACTTCCATGCAGCTGCCCGGTTCTGACGAGGCTCTTCCCTTGAGTTCAATCCCTCTTGGAATGACTCTACCAACACCGTGGCGCCTCCGAGTCCGATGTTGTCTTCGCCAGTATTTTGTAGGTCAACCTTGGCCAATGTTTGCAGAGGTATGATTTGCAATAGCTCATAAAGATTTGGCCAGAACGAGCCGGCACCGCCCTCCGAGCCCTTCTGGACGTACTGTAACAAACGCTTTGACGGTGACGATTTTCCAGTATAGTCTTGGCTCCATAATTGAGGCCGCACAGATGTCATCCGCAGGAGCGACTCGGAAAGATCCGAGGAAGACCCAAGCTGAGAGATATGCAAAGACTTGCCGATCACAGCGGCACTTACAAGCTTCCAGTCCAGCAGTTCCGGGCCTTTCGACACCGCTGCTCTGAGAAGGGTATATATCGACTTGCGCACAAACGGATCTTCGTGATAACAAAGAGCCCACAACGATTTACTACCTAGTAGTGTTTCGATCGTGACGAGGTCTTTTTCCAGATCCTCCGCTGCTGCATTTCCTACTTCGAGTCAGGCCAGATTAATATAATGCTGGGTTTCCACGGGCATACCTAAGATCCGATTGAACAACAAAAGCGCAGTTCCTACCACACGAGCATACTTCGCTTCCGCATCGTCTGGCTTGACCGTCCTCTCGTCACTCAGAGTCAGGGCAGTCTGCTGAAGGACTACATCATCTACAAACCCAAGGATCGAGCTCTGGTAGACCTTCCAGACACCATTTCTCTTTTCATCGGTGGAGAACACACGAGTAAATGACTCCACAGCAGATCGATGCACGGGCTTGTCGTTGTCGTAGACTCCAGCAATCCATGGCCCAATAACCTTGGGTAAAAAGCGGACAATTCGCTTCCCTACAAGGGATGCAATGGACCCTTGTGTGAAATGAGCATTTTGTCTCACTCTCCGGGAGATGTCGATTGACGCCCGGGGATATATTTTGACCTGTCAGGTCTGCGATCAGCAAATTGTCCGAATCCGCGTAGAATGGAGACATACCCAAGCTTCCAGAAATCCGTCATCGAGGGTCCCCTTGCGAGATTCTACACTCGCAACATAATCCTTCAGGTCATCTAGTGCTTTCGTTCGTGTGACTTCATCCTTTTTCAGGAAGTTCTTGAATGCGATTGCCAACTGTGGCTCCGAAATCTGCGACAGATTGGGCGGCTCCGTCACATATGTGAGAGACGACGGTTCCCTCCCTGAGCTAGCAGACGAAGAAAACGCCCCAAATGAGCTAAAGGCACTCGTAGCGGCGCGGCTACTCGAGGCCTGAGATTTGAACTTTTTACTCATTAGTGAGTGTGGGGTAGGCGGCGGGATATAAATGAGCGAATAGCTAGTTGAAAAGGTAGGTCGGAAGAACCGAAAGAGCGTCTGGGAGATTGATGACACTCTATCACGATCGGTGTCTATTGGATCTGCATTCCAATTGTCCGTTGTCAGTTTGTTTGAAGTTGTCGACCGCACCAAGGCGTCATTGGGAGAATAATAGCTGGTGATTTGATTGATGATGATAGGCGTGACCCACGATATCTTATGTCATCAGTCGGGCTTCCCGATCGGGTTATCGCGGTGCACGTGATGTGGTGTCATCGATCGCCCAAAGAGGAAAGGCGCCCATGGATGCCTGGCCGCGCTGGAGACTAAAGCTTCATTTCTCTTCTCCGTCAACTGAACCAGCTTGAGCCTCCAGCTCAACCTGCATCATGAAATTCTTTATTGAGTAGGTTTAACCCTTTCTGACCCCCCGTTCTTTATGCAGGAAAATTTCCGTTCTAACCACGCGCTTCGTCACAGTGAACTTCCGGTTCTTTTCCCGTATCCGCGCATCTACCCCGAACAATATGCCTACATGTGCGATCTCAAGAAGGCCCTCGATGTCGGGGGTCACTGTGTCTTGGAGATGCCTTCGGGAACCGGCAAGACTGTTTCGCTTCTGTCCTTGATCGTGGCTTATCAACAACATTATCCGGAGCATCGAAAACTCATCTATTGTTCTCGAACCATGTCAGAAATCGAGAAGGCCCTAGCAGAGTTGAAGGAGCTGATGAAGTTTCGAACTGAACAACTCGGGTACACCGAGGACTTTCGCGCATTGGGCCTGACGAGCCGGAAGAACCTGTGTCTCAACCCGTCCGTCAAACGAGAGAAGAGTGGTGCGGTCGTGGACGCACGATGTCGGAGTTTAACGGCCGGATTTGTCAAGGAGAAGAAGGAGCGAGGAGAGGACGTCGAGCTGTGCATATACCATGAGGTATTTAGGCATCCAAACACCAATGTAGAGATTGTGACTAAACTTTCTAGAACCTCGACCTTCTCGAACCGCACAACCTCGTCCCACCCGGTGTCTTCACTCTCGACGGTCTGCTGAAGTATGGAGAGGAAAATAAACAGTGCCCCTACTTCTCCGCACGACGCATGGTAGGGCTTTTCACCTATACATCTGACTGGACCAGAGCTGATATGCTTAAGTAGATGCCGTTTTGCAACGTTATCATCTATTCGTACCACTACCTCCTCGATCCCAAAATCGCGGAACGAGTCTCCAAAGAATTCTCCAAGGATAGCATCATCGTCTTTGACGAGGCGCATAACATCGACAACGTGTGCATCGAGTCGCTCAGTATTGATATCACGGAAGATTCCCTACGAAAAGCTACCAGGGGTGCGAACAACCTCGAACGCAAGATCACCGACATGAAGAGCTCAGATGCGGACAAGCTTCAAAACGAGTACACAAAACTTGTCGAGGGGTTGCGGGAAGCAGAACAGTCCAGAGAAGAGGAGCAGTTCATTTCGAACCCCGTCCTTCCAGATGACCTACTCAAAGAGGCAGTACCGGGGAATATCCGGCGCGCAGAGCACTTCGTCGGTTTCCTCAAGAGATTCATCGAATACCTCAAAACCCGAATGAAAGTCACACACACCATATCCGAAACACCTCCTTCATTCTTAACACATGTCAAGGATTTGACCTATATAGAGCGCAAACCTTTACGGTTTTGTGCAGAACGCCTTACCTCGCTGGTGCGCACTCTGGAGCTTATCAACATTGAGGACTACCAGCCGCTTCAGGAGGTAGCGACTTTTGCAACGCTAGTCGCAACATACGACAAAGGGTTCCAGTTGATTCTAGAGCCTTTCGAATCGGAGGCTGCGACTGTGCCAAACCCGATTCTACATTTCACCTGCCTAGATGCCGCCATTGCGATCAGGCCCGTGTTTGAACGATTCAAGTCGGTCATCATCACATCAGGAACCCTATCGCCTTTGGAAATGTATCCGAAGATGCTTGGATTCGACGCTGTCCTGCAAGAGTCATACAGCATGACTCTCGCACGGCGGTCTTTCCTTCCGATGATAGTCACCCGTGGATCAGATCAAGCGCAGATCTCCTCTGGTTTCCAGATACGCAACGACCCCGGCGTCGTCCGGAATTACGGCAACATTGTACTTGATTTCTCGCGAGTAACGCCAGATGGGGTCGTTGTCTTCTTCCCTTCCTACCTATACATGGAGTCCATCATCAGCATGTGGCAAGGCATGGGCATCCTGGATTCCATCTGGAATTACAAGTTGATCCTTGTCGAGACCCCCGATGCCCAGGAGTCATCTCTTGCGCTGGAAACATACCGGACGGCCTGCTGCAATGGTCGAGGCGCTATCCTTTTCTGTGTCGCGCGTGGTAAGGTTTCCGAGGGGATCGATTTCGACCACCACTATGGACGCGCCGTGCTGTGCATCGGCGTTCCATTCCAGTACACCGAATCCCGCATCCTAAAGGCTCGTCTCGAATTCCTCCGCGAGAACTACCGCATCCGAGAAAACGACTTTCTTTCCTTCGACGCCATGCGACACGCCGCTCAGTGCCTAGGTCGCGTCCTCCGCGGCAAAGACGACTACGGCGTGATGGTCCTCGCTGACCGACGCTTCCAGAAGAAGCGGGCGCAACTCCCAAAATGGATCAGTCAGGCCATGCTAGACAGTGAGACGAACCTCAGCACCGATATGGCAGTCTCTACGGCCAAGAACTTCCTGCGCACTATGGCGCAACCCTTCAAAACAAGAGACCAGGAGGGGATCTCGACGTGGAGCATAGAGGACCTGGAGCGGCATCGCGAGAAGCAGCTGTTGGAAGATGAGAGAGTCCGTCGCGAGGCAGTAACCAATGGGCACGCGATGGACGGTGTCACTCACAATGGTGCGGTCGCTGCTGCGGATGAATTCGATGATGAAATTGACGAAGACCTCATGATGCTAGACGCGCAGTAACATAACATCGGTTATCTCGGTCTGATAGTCCTTTTTTCTTACCCCTCTTATTTTTTTTTCCCCCTTCTCTTACCTTATGTTGCATATTTGGGTGCGCTTTCCTCAACTTTATACTATCGCATGTAACATGATACCAGGGCAGTTTTGGTGTTCACATTGGGAAAAAGGAAACAATAATTTACCATGTTATAGCGAGTTTAGACAAATCCTGGAACTATTTAGTTACTTATTTATTTATTTATTCGATCTGATAGATTCGCTTCTAATGGGCGTCAGATGTCATCTAAATGCTGTCAAAATAAGAACAAGACTTTTGTTTTTTCTTGATTCCGCTGAAACAGAACTCCGAAGATCGTAGGACACATCAATCAGGACAATAAGAAGAGAAAGGAAATTACAGAAGACAGAAGAAAACAAACAGATGCATAGTAAATACATGATCAAAATTGCAAAGCATATACAGCAAAACACACTCGTCCAGTCCAGTCCAGTCAATATTACTGGCACTATACAAACTCATGCAGATTAGGCAACAGGCGCAAGAACATCGAAAGCACCGGTACCGACGGTGCCCACACGACCAACCACGATGCGACTACTGGGACTCTTCAGGTTGTCGAAGTCCCGCTCGATGACAGAATCCTTGAGGAAGCCAACGGTGGTTTCGAAACTCATCTTGGCAAACGGCGACGAGCCGTCCCTGACGAGACCGTTGCGGTTGAAGGGCCGGAAGCTACCAGACTGGGTCATCACGTCACCGATCAGGTTCAGATGGCGGTTGTCGACGGAGATACTGTGACCTTCGAAAACGTCCGACATTTCGCGTACGATGGAGGCGCGCGCGGCCTCGACACCGTAGAGGTTGAGCATGTGGTGGATGGAGTTCGTGTAGAGACTGTGCGGCTTGATGATGTCCTGGTAGTCGCGCATGGCGAGCAGGTTGACGCCTTCCGTGATGACGCAGGCAGGCTCACCCTTGGTGACATCGGCTTCGACGAACGTGCAGTTGCCCAGGCCGGGAATTGACTGGATGACGGCGCTGCGGGCGGCATCTTCGACCAACGGCAGGAGCAGCAGCTTGGAGGTTGCGATGTCGTATTGTAATTGAATGGTGCACGAGATGCCTTCGGAGGGGCTGAATTTGAATTTGTGAACCTCGGCAAACTTGCCCTTGATGTCGTCCTCACGCAGCTTGCTCTCTTGGGCCTGGTCTTCGGCGTCTCCGTCATCGGAGGCATCGTTCATCTCGATGTCTCGAGGCTTGGCGTTGCCATCATCATCCTCCTCGTCGTCATCCTGCGCTCGGACCATATCGACTTCTTCATCCTCGGGACCCTCGTACGAGACCTGGTTAGACCGGTTCTGCGCACCCCTGGCACGCTTGGCATCGTCTGCATCCTCCTCGTCATCATCGTCGGCCGCTCCTATCTCTCCTTCGCCGCCTCGCGCAGCTTCTTGAGTGGTGCCGACAGAGACACCAATCTCGGGCTGGGCCGTCGAATGATTCTTGAGGGTCTTCTCGTCATCACGCTTCTTGATTTCGTGCCTGGTGAGTTTAACCAGCCTGGGGATGAACTTGTTCTGGAGGGCGTTCTGCAGATCCTTGGCCTTGATGGCATATTCGGCCATATATTCTTCAGGCGGGAAGAATGTAATTTCGACATCGTAGATCTTAGCCTTGACCTTGCCAGTCGAAACTCTTTCTTTCACTTGAACCTTGTCAATGACCTCGGCGATACTGAGCTTGCTGATTGCCTTGGCGAAACGTTCCGAGTGTTCCTTAGACAGCTCCTCGTTCAGTATCAAGGTCATCGTCGGCGTCATGATGTTGGCACTGGCAGTCATGACAATTTCACGCAGACGGGGGATACCCAGTGTGACGTTCTTGGCGGAGTGACCAGCCAAATGGAAGGTATTCAAGGTCATTTGGGTGGAAGGCTCTCCGATAGACTGGCCAGCAACGATACCAACGGCTTCACCAGGATCCACGACAGACTTCATATACTTCATGTTCATCACCGTGTTGAATCCCTTCTTGCTGATAACACCAGTGCCAGGCTTCTTCTTGTCCTTCAAGACCTGATCCGGGTTGCTATCCTCATACTACACAAAGTTATTAGTCTTTGAGAAACAATCAAAAATTAGGGAGTTCCATACCTTTTTGAGGGCTTGCGAGAAGGCCTCGGACGTACTGCCAAGGTTTCCGCCGGGGTGCCATATGGAGAGGGCCGGATCCATGGCCTCGGGTTTACCTGTCTTGCGCACCTTCTTCATAGCTTCCTTGTGCCAGTTGGCAACCTCCTCCTTTTCTAGGTTGTGGAAGTCGCTCGTCAGGTTGACCTGAGACATGATGGACTTGTGGTTCAATGCCAAGAACTCGAAGTCATTCAAGTGGACCTGTTTCGTGATATCCAGACCGTCCTCTCCGTACAAGAACTGGACAATCGAGCCATCGGACGCTTCTCGGACGGAAGAGTCGTATTCCGCTCTCAACCCTTCCATACCCTTGATCAGACAACGCTGCAGGTAACCGGAACGAGAGGTCTTGACGGCAGTATCAATCAGACCTTCACGACCGGCCATTGCGTGGAAGTAATACTCCTGAGGCTTGATGCCCGTCAAGAAACGACCACAGACGTAACCACCAGCCATAGGATGCGTTTCGAAGGCTCGGAATGAAGGCAGCGTTTTACCGCTAATCATGACGGGCACACGTCGGCCTTCCAGAACTTGCTGGCCAAGGTTACACGAAATCAGGTTGGCGTTGACACCAGAACCCTTGGCTCCGGAAATTGTCATCGACTGCATTTGATTCCACGGGAATGGTTTGACCAGACCTCCCGGGAGACAGCCCTTGGTGATTTCACTAGACAGAGTGGCAGTCCGGGCGTTGGAAACGCTATCCAAGCCGCCCTGCTTCTCGTCGTCACGGAGAACGTCTTCCAAGCGTCGCTTCAATTCACCATCCTGGTCGGGAACTGTGGTCTGGTCGAGCGTCACGTACTTCAACGCAACTTCCTTGCCGATTCTAGCAGCCTCCTTCAGCTTCTCTTTGCGGACACGGTCACCCTCCTTCGTCAGCCGAAGGTCGTCAATGCCGCAGGTGAAAGCGCGCATGTTCAAGAACCTGGTGAGCAGCCGGCCCAGAATACTCATCAACCGGCCAGCGATGGTGTGACCATAGATCTCGTGAATGGAATCGATGAAACCGCCAGCGGAGGGACCAATCTGCTTCTTATCAAGAATACCGCAGAGCAACTCTCCGTCCTTGAAGATGACAGTCCCCTCTTCATTGCCTTCGCCCCACCGGTCACCAGGAGTTGATGATTTGCTCTTCAAGTTGAGACCGGCTCTTCCTGGAGGCATGATGTTCTTAAGGATCGTTGAGATGATCTGCTTTCCGGTCCAAAGACGCTTGGGCCGAATCACCATAGGTGGCATGAGCTCAATCCGATCCGAGACAGTATGAGAATTCTCCGGTCGTAGACAGTTGTACAAAAGCTGATGATAATCTTCCTCTTCAAAGAAGCTATCACGGCAAGTGAACCATGTGCTCATCGAGATATGATCCTGAATCAAACCTCTCAGGGGTTTCCCGGACGTTGCGACCAGATACTGATGATCCGCGTCCGCAAGCATCATGGCTTCAGCTCGTGCCAGCTCATTCTGAGGAAAGTGCATGTTCATCTCGTCACCGTCGAAATCGGCGTTGTAGGTATTGCAGTTCGCATAGTGCATGCGAATCGTCCTCTCGTTGGGAAGCACACGCGCTTTGTGACCCATGATAGAGGGCTTGTGAAGCGTAGGTTGACGGTTCATGAGCACGACATCGCCAGTGGTCAGGTGGCGGTAGACCTTCTTGTTGCGCGAGCCCTTCATCCGCCAGTTAGACGGGGCCAGCAGCTGGTTGGCCAGTGCCGTTCGCTCGTCGAGGCTCTTGAATTTCAGGTTGGTGACCTGTCCCAGTTCATTCTCAATCGCGGAAGCACCGGGGTATTTGTCGGGGCCGTTGATTACGGCCTGCTTCATTTCCCAAAAATTGTGGTTCGTCACAGGCTCCGGATAGGTCAGCTTCTTTGCAAAGACAAGCGGGACACCGATCTCATTGGTCTCGATGTTAGGATCGGGCGAAATGACACTTCGGGCGGCAAAGTTGACACGTTTGCCCATCATGTTCTTTCGGAACAGGCCCTCCTTCTTTTCCAGAATTTGCTTGATGCCGTTGGGGGCGCTGAGGAGGGCTGACCCGGAGAGTCCGCTACGATCGCGGTCGATCAAACCGTTGACAGTATCTTGAAGCTGCACAATGGCCTGGAGGAGATCGCGATAGTCCCGCAGCCGAGAAGCGGAGTCGGACCCCAGGTTCTGCCTTTCCTTGCTGATCTGATTGATGATGTCGCAATTCTTCAACACCTGGGTCAAGGGCGTGTTCTGCTGTGCTTCCATGATCTCACCCGGTCCCTGCTGGGCGGCGGGGCGGTACTTATTGGGCGGGACCAAGATGTTCTTGATGAAGAACATATCCGCATTGATGCGAGATTCCTTCTTCGACAGCGGCCTGGAGTTGTAGACGAGGCTGAAGATCTCGGCCTCCTTCTCAAACAACAAGGTGATCGCCGCATGGACTTCGGGAGACGGAAGATACTGGCCGCCGCCCTCCCCAGCAGATTGTTTGGTACTCTCCATCTGGGATAACACGGCGTTTCCGCGAGCCACCTCCTCTTCGGCACCATGGGTCGTCGAGTGGGCTTCTTTCTCCTTGCTGTTGAACTGCCTGGCTTGTTGAAGGAGAACCAGAGGGTTCGGTGCCTGGAACCCACCAGTAACCATTGCCAGTTTCGATTTCTCAGACAGCACTTTTCGGAAGACCTTTGAGTAGCGATCTTTTCTGTATCCGGGTGACATTCCTTTGCAGTGTGCGCACTTCTTAACACCGACAATCTCCTTGAAGAATTCACTGATGAGAACCCGTCTATTCTCGGCCGCAATGGGGTTCTTCGAGCCGTTCATCAGGCCTTTCAGTTTGCCGGATGCCTGTGCTTCGCGAATGCTTTTCTTGACATAGGTAGCTCGGCGCGCAATGATATCGTCATCGTCATCCTCCTCTTCGCTACCGGAAGCGTCACCCTTCTTCCCTCCCTTGGACTTGCCCCCTGCGCCGGCTCCCATTTCATCGATGGCGGCCGCCTCGTCGATTAACCCGTACTGCAGGAGACGCAGCTTGCAAGCGTATTTGTTGATTTGAACCCGAGAGATTTGAAGACGGTGGCAGTAGATACACTGCGCTCTGAGCAGGCGATACATCTGATCGAAGTGCGTGACATTGTAGACGTGAACCGGGAGCTCAATGTGTCCAGGATGGCCTGTACAGGCCCATGAGCTCAAGCGACAAGTCGTGCAGCTAAAACCAATTAGTTTTTTCTTGTTCTGCAAACACGGTCGAGGGGACCTAGAATCAGACAAAAAAACACCCCAGCGTAAAGACTTACACATGATCACCCCAGGCTCCCATAGCCGAGTCATATAGACCACCAGGAACAGGATTGTTGAAGGAATCCAACGTCGGGGTATTGTGGATTCGCTTTACTGATACGGCCTTGACATCCTCCTCGGAGTAGACGCCAAAGTCCACTCCCGAGATGGTGGAGGCCACAGGACGTGCGAAATTGGCCATGGCTCCCTGCAGCTCCTAGAGCGACCGATGACGGCGTGAAAGAGTTCGTTGGTCGCAGTGGAGGGGAAGCTGCAAGCAGAAGCGGGTTCGTTCGGTCTCGATGCCGCGAAGAAGAAAAAAAAGTTCACCCAACTTTTTCTGCCTTGCGACACCGCCATGGGGGCTCCACTTTTTTCGATCATCTTGAGTTGCAACTCACCTCATGTTATTATTTCCATCTATCTTGGTGAACTATTGATCTCCTCCCGCCAATTCAACTCTTCAGCTTGACCTGGTCTTTGTCGCTGCTTAAGGGTCTCTCGCTTATTTTTGTCTACCCATAAAGTCACACTACTTCTAGTGGGTGAGTTCAGCGTCCATGGCGGACATGTCGGGCAACATGCTGAAGAGGCCTCACCCCGAGGAAGGAGATGATAACTCACAGAAGCGAACTCGCTCCAACGATGGATCGCCACGTCCTGGCCAGGGGGCGCCTGCAGCCACGGGAAAGGTGGATATTGAGAAGATGGTGGCCGAAGCGAGAGCAAAAGCCGAAGCCGTACGCGCCAGGCTTCAGGCGGCCAAGGGGATAAGTCCCTCTGCAAGCCCAGGGATTGCCAGTCCTAGTCCTACACCTTCAGCTGCGAGTCCTGCGATGTCTAGATTGGAACAAATGAAGGCGCGCGTGGCAGCTGCCACTGGAAGAGCCAGCACACCGGCCCAGCAACGACCCGTCGTTCCGATACCAACCCCTCAGCCTCCTCCCCTCGAAAACGAAGACGACGGCCTCTCGAAGGCTCGAGGTGGTTTAGACGTTGGTCTTCATCCCGCTTTGCTGTCGGATACGATTGAATTTAAGGGCAGCAAGGGACGGCAACAATCACAGTCAAAGAACCGACGGACAGAATCTCCAGCTACGGGAGGGAGACCCAATCGAGCAGGACTCGATCTGTCGGGGCCTTCCCTGGAAGAGATAAAGAGCAATCCCTATTTCGATCCGACTTTAGGCCCGAAGGCTACGGTCGCCAAGCCACGGGGCTCGCGCCAGCTTATTTTCAACGAAAAAGGCAAATACATCCAACAGGCTGCCGCTTTGCGTCGGCAGGCCCAGTTGGAGGATATGAAAAAGCGGATTGCGGAGCGAGCGCGACAAGTGGGCATCGATGAGGATCTGGACGTAGAGAAAGCATTCCAGGTACCGGAACCGCCGGCGATCGAGTGGTGGGACGAAGGCCTTGTCAACGGAGCGGACTATTCAGCTATCGATGACGAGCGGAATCTCAAGATCGATACTGCCGATTCCATCGTGACTCGCTACGTTCAACACCCGGTTCTTCTCGACCCCCCACAGGATAAGCATCTGATCGAACAGAAGCCGATGTATCTGACTCAGAAGGAACAAGCCAAGATCCGTCGCCAGCGGCGCATGGCTGATCTGAAGGAACAGCAGGCGAAGATCCGGCTGGGTCTGGAGCCAGCTCCCCCGCCAAAGGTCAAGAAGTCGAACCTGATGCGGGTCCTCGGAGAACAGGCCGTCAAAGATCCAACGGCCGTTGAAGCACGCGTGACCCGCGAGATCGCCGAGCGCAAAGCCGCCCACGAAGCCACGAACGCGGAGCGTAAACTGACGAAAGATGAGCGTCGCGAGAAGCTGGCCACTCAGCAAGAAAAAGACGCTGAGAAAGGACTTGTGATGTCGGTATACCGGATCGACAGCCTTGCGAACGGACGCCATCGATTCAAGATCAGCAAGAATGCGGAACAGAATGCGCTCACCGGCGTCTGCGTCATGAACCCTCGATTCAACCTGGTGATTGTCGAGGGCGGCGCGCACTCAATCACCAACTACAGAAAGCTCATGCTGAACCGGATCGACTGGACGGAGAACGCGGGGCCCAATGCCGTGCGAGAAGGCAATCGCGAAGCTCAAATTGCATGGCTCGCGGCCGAGGACGAGCAGACCGGCGATCTCAGAGACTTGAGCCACAACACGTGCTCCCTCCTGTGGGAGGGTGAAGTCAAAGCGCGAGTGTTCAGGAAGTGGCTGGGTGCGCGGATCTGCGAGAGCGACTCGCAAGCGAAAGACGTTCTGTCACGTTCAAAGATGGAGAATTTCTGGACATTGGCCAAGAGCGCTAAGCAAGCCGAGACGTGATTTTTTATCTCAACGAGGAGTCGGCTAACAGTCGAGTTGTATATAGCTAGCTACTCGCCACATGCTGCTTCTAAATTCTACGATTCATGTATAATAACCAGTAATACCATCCATTATCCTGTAAGAACAGCAGGGTCATGGAATATACTCTTATGAAATTTCATTAAATCGAAACTTTTTTTATAATAAAGAATAAAAACCCACACAAAGTTACCCGGCTCCTTGAATGCAAAGTCTATAGAATAAAACTCATCAAGATATCAACAACGACGCTGGCTTCACGAAGGCGGCGGCCCTTGATTATTGTTGTTATTGCTCAAGTGTCGCAGCAGATCCAACTGCGCCTTGACCTGGTCGAAATTCAACGGGCTCTGTGCCTGCGGTTGGCCAGGCTGCTGCGGTTGTTGGTACGCTTGATGTTGCTGTTGCTGCTGCTGTTGCTGCTGCAAGGCGGCTAAGAACATCGGGTTGATGTGAGGCATCTGCTGGTAAGGATTGGGCTGCTGGAAGGCTTGCTGGAAAGGCATCTGGAAGTTGAACGGAGCCGGCATTTGGCCCTGGGCGAACGGTTGTTGCGGCTGCGGCTGCTGCTGCTGCTGCTGCTGAGGCTGTTGCTGCTGCTGCTGCTGAGGGAAATACGGGAATGAAGGGAACTGCTGCTGGTTCATGGGGTAGGGGTTTTGAGGGTTCTGGGGATAGGGTTGTTGTTGGTAGTTTGTAGGTTGCGACGGAGAGTGGGACCCATGGTGCTGATGAGAGGGCTGGCGGTCGTTGTTGTAAGACCCTCCCCGGCCACGACCACGGCCTGCGCCCCGACCGCGATCAGAGCCTCGGCCACGGCCCCGGCCACCACGGAATGCAGGGGTCACTCCCGGAGGCCCGTCCTTCTCAACAGGCGCTTCCTGGGGACCCATCATCTCGTGCAGATTCTTCGGACGGGCGAGCGGGGTGTAGCCCTCGTCGCCTGCGTTATCGTCGTAGTTGAGCTCAGTGCGGGCGAGCTTCGAGGGACCCGGGGGTCCCCGTTGGGCACGTCCACCCTCCTTCGCGCCCTTCTTCTCCTGGCGCTTTTGCTTCTGCCTCTTCTTGAACTCGGCTTCTGCCTCGTCATCGGAGAATTCAACTTCGTCCTCGGGGATCTCTTCGTCGTGGAAGTTGGACGCATCGCTGCCCTTCAATCCCTTGAGAGGCTGAGTGAAGACAAAAGTGGACTTCTCCTCAACGTAGTAGATGTTCGTCCCTTTGGAAATGCCACGCTCGGTGATGGCAGCGGCGTCGGGGTATCTGACCGCATACAAGGGGTTCTCGACTCGGCCTAGAGTCTCGGAAACCACACCCGCGAGTTTCCGGTCTTCAAGACAAAGTATAGAGCCCGACTCGAGGACTTGGTACTCTCCCGAGGTGTTCGCTGCGATCAGAAGCGTGTTCTCGACGATCGCTTCCACCTGCCCCAGGAACACAACCTTCATTTCAGGAGTGATTGTGATTTCAGGCAACGGCGGGGCTTCGTCTGGAACCTCGTTCGCCGTTCGAAGCTGGCCACCCGATTTTCCCTTCCCGTCGCCTTCATCATCAGATCCAAGCTCTGCCTGCATCAGGATGCGCGCTGTCTCCTCGGCGGTTAGGATAGGATAGTCATCGTCGCTGTCATCGCTGTCGTCGTCGGAGGAATCGGAAGAATCGTCAGAGGAGGATTCGTAGGGCGAGGAGTCAGTTTCCCATTCGCGAGGCTCTCCCTCTCCTTCGCCATCAGCGACCTCCATCGCGTCCGGTGCATTCGTATCGTTGGTGGTTTCGATGGCGTCTTTAGGTTTCGTCTGATCCCCATCCTGCTGCACATCCATTGCCTGGGTATTGTCTGCATTCTCTCCGGTGGATTCTGTTGTCGTAACCACTTGCTTTTCACGCACAACGCCTTCCGTCGCATTGACAGTCTGCGACGGGCCGGAGTCGTTGGAGACGGTCTGGTCTGAGTCGTTCTTCACGAGGCCCAGACCAGGAATCGGCGCCGATGGGTTCGATGAGTTCAGTTCATCACGTTTCTCTTGAGCAATGTTCTGCTGGACTTCTGTGGCGGGCACCGGCGTCCCTGCCATCAGAGGCGTGTTGTAGAAGTCGCTCCCATCGTCGGCGGGTGTCGATGCGATGGGTGGGGTATCGTTCATGCAGGGCCGTTTCACAGGAGGTCCTTCATTGGAGCCCCCTTGAGGGATGTCCTGTTGCTGATTATCACTCATTTTGAAAAATAAGAAAATTAAAGGACAGGAGAGAAGTGTGAAGAGAAGATGAAGCCGGCGGAATTGGAGAAATCTCTGGGCCGGATCTTTTTTTTCTGCCGGGGCGGTGGCGGCTCTTATCGATAAACACCTGTTCCATTCCGCATCGCATCCTCGATTCCTCTTCACTGCAACCTTTGTTTACGCTTATCGTCCTTGTTCAGGATGTCGTCGCCTAGAAGGAGAGTTCAGGTCTCGTCTGCTTCGTCAGGGGATAAGCAACCCCTGCCCAAGAACGGGTATCCAATCCCTCCGTTGACTCCTCATTTTCCGATTGTTTATCAAGCTAACACGGAAATGCCACCGCAGTCCTCCGTCGCCCTTCTATCTCCCTTTGGACATAGCTTTCTACATCTGTCTGATCTCGAATGGCATAGCGGCATTTTTGGCGCCGATACAGGATTGCGATGAGGTCTTCAATTTCTGGGAGCCGGCGCATTATCTGAACCAGGGTTACGGCCTTCAGACATGGGAATACTCCCCGGTTTATTCGATCCGGAGCTGGCTCTATGTGGTCCTTCATGCGAGTGTGGGGAAGATCGCATCCCTCGTTCTGAGCAGCAAAAGCTCGCAATTCTATGCCATCCGGTTTGTCTTGGCTTTCGTTTGCGCCGCATGTGAGACACGACTATACTCGGCCCTTTGCCGGATACTTCGCCCTCGGATCGGTCTATTATTCCTCATGGTGGTCGCATGCAGTCCGGGCATGTTTCACGCTTCGGCCGCATTTTTGCCCTCGAGCTTTACCATGTACATGTCCATGCTGGGTCTGACGGCTTTTCTGGATTGGCGGTCAGGGCAAAAAATTGCGCAGGGGATTATGTGGTTTGGGCTCGGTTCAATTGTTGGCTGGCCATTTGCGGGGGCGCTGATTCTCCCGCTTCTGCTCGAGGAAGTTGCCATTGCCTTTGTGGCGGGGTCTATGAAGGCTATGATCCGCAGCATTGTGAAAGGCGCTTTGAGGTGTCTGGCGATTCTGGTAAACTTCGAACCGGCGAGCAATGCCCGATATCTCTTGCTGACTGCTTCTAGGCCGCGGAAGTCGCCGTCGACTACACTTTTCTCCGCAAACTCACCATCGTGCCATGGAATATTGTGGCTTATAACATCTTTGGCGGAGAGGGTCGGGGTCCGGAGATCTTTGGTACAGAGCCGTGGACATTCTATGTCAAGAACCTCCTCCTCAATTTCAATGTCTGGTTCCTTCTCGCGGTGGCCACGGCGCCGTTGCTGCTGCTCCAGACTGTGTTCCGGCCCCGCACGACCAACATGGACACCCTCCTGCGCACCGTGACGCTGATCCTGCCATTTTACATGTGGATGGCGATATTCACAGCCCAGCCCCACAAGGAGGAGCGGTTCATGTATCCGGCCTATCCTTTCTTGGCCCTGAACGCGGCCATTGCGTTTGACATAGTGCTTTCGTACATCGGGTCTCAGAACCCGAAGGAACTCATCGGGCGCGTCCCGGTGTCGCTCAAATTAACAGCGGTGATGTCGATCGTGCTGTTGGCCGTCAACGCCGGCTTTTTCCGGACCTTGGGCATGGTCACCGCATACAATGCCCCGCTGAAGGTCTTTGAGCCTCTGGAGCAGCCCGGAGTTGTGCAGGCGGGCGATACCCTCTGCCTCGGCAAGGAGTGGTACCGATTTCCATCATCATTTTTCCTCCCTAATGGGATGCAAGCTAAATTCATCCGGAGCGAATTCCGGGGCCTGCTGCCGGGAGAATTCCGCGAGGCCGTCGACTACCCTGCTCTGATCGATGGAACGTCTCGAATTCCTACAGGCATGAACGATCGCAATGAGGAGGATCCTGAGAAATACGTGAGTTCTCCCAGGCCTTACCCCCGCGCCTCCCGACTAAAACCCAGTGTAGGTGGACATCTCTCAATGCACATTCCTCGTCGACTCCTCCTTCCCAGGGAACCCACCGACTGTACTGGAGCCGGACTACATCCATGACGAAACTCAATGGGAGCAGGTCTCCTGCCGGGCATTCCTGGATGCATCGCGGACAGGACTCCTGGGACGTCTGATCTGGATCCCGGATCTGCCCATAATCCCAGACCGGTTCCGGCGCCAATGGGGCGAGTACTGTCTTCTCCAACGACGCGGTGACCCCGCAATCTTGTGAGCGGACGTGCAACTACCAGTAGTGTAAATAGACTTCCATCAATTGCGGATGAGACGGGAAACGAGGCTTTACCCAATTGGGATAAGAAATCCAGGGTGCAGATGCAGCGTGATAAGCAGGTTCACAGCAGTTGATGATCCATTTGGTTCTTGCGCTGGTCGCAGAGGTGGTATCTGTTCTAGTGGGCGATCTTGATCGCATCCACTTAACTAATCCAGTAACGGTTATCTATGGCTCTCTAGCATCCCTGTGCATGTACGATGTAGTCCAACATGGACGCACTCCCCAGCCAGGATGTGACCGTCTTTTCTCTCAACACATCTTGATGCTCTTAAGATTGGTAGACTATGTTCTTGACTGTTTCCAGAACCATTTGATTTAGACCAACCCCTACAGAAAGCATGATTCTGCAAATCCTAGATGTCAAACATGCCACGGTCATCGGCCTCGTCGTCTTCACCTTCATCTACCTCCTCAGACTCTTCACCCAGAGATGGAAGGCCAGCAGAGATTCTCTCAAACCCGAGAATAAGACAACCGTAACCAAGTTCTCCAAACCGACTCGCAAACCGGGAGGTGCGTTATTCACGTCACTCCATCTATATCATCCCTATACCCACCTTATCCATTAAAGAAACAGACAAGACAAGCACAACTGACCAACCCACAGAATGGATCCCCTCAACCTTCCAACGCCCCCCAGCATCGCCCTACCCAAACTGGGATATACACACCACAAAACCCATTCCCTACCGGCCCTTCAAATACGGACCGTGAGTTGACCAACACACCTCCCTATCAGTATATGTCTAACCTGAGCAGGAAATACTTCATCACGATGGGCCTGCGCAGCATGAAATGGGATGAGTGGATCGGTCAGTCCATCCACATATCTTCTCGACTGTCCTACAGGAGTAATAGTAGAAAGGATGTCTGACTATCAACAGAACTGGACAACCAATACGATCGCTACCACGCAGACAAGGCACGACGGATCGAACAGCGCCGAGAGAAATGCTGTCGTACAGCACCGGAGGCGTATGAGGGAGCGTGTGAGCTTCTCGAAGAGCTGTATATACCCATTCCCCTTCCTCCCATCTCATCCCCTTTCCCATCCGCTCCCAAAACAAAGTTCAACGAAAACAATAAGACAAAGCCCCATACTAACAATCAAACCAGAAGAACCTACCTCCCCCAACGCTACCCCACCATCTTCCAGCAGACCCCAACCGGCCTCCACAACACCCACACGCACGAAACATTCAACACAACGCAGCGCCCCCTCCCCGAAGACCCCATGACAACCAGCGCCCGCCTCATCCAAGACGACCTAGCCCTCATGATCGAGCGCCCCGACGGCGAATACTACCTCCTCGCAGGGGCAATCCTCCTCGCCGGCTTCTGGCGCCTCAGCGACAAATTCGGCATGCGGCTGTCCGAGATCCACACCTCGGGCTCCGTGCCAGGGTATCGCGAGAAACTCGAAAAGGGCATGAGCAATTTCTTCCGCCGGCTGAAGCCCGAGGAGCCTGTTGTGCGGAATAATTACTTCATGCAGGTTGATGACGGGCTAGCGTGGTCGAGTAGTATCGGGGATGAGGATGGTGCGGATGTGTCGTGGAATACGGCGGAGCGGGATCGCGGGGTTGAGAAGCATTTTTTTAGGTCCGAGAGGCAAAGTTTGAGGAGACTGCCGCGGTCGGGGGCGATTGTGTTTACTATTCGGACGTATTTTGAGCCGGTTACTGCTATTGTGAAGGAGTTGGGTGTGCCTGGGCGGTTGGCGGCTGCTGTGAGGAGTTGGGGGGATGATGTTGCGAGGTATAAGGGGAGGGAGAAGTATGGGGCGGTGTTGTTGGAGTATTTGGATCGGATGCATGAGGAGCAGGTTAGGGGGGGTGGATTGAGGAGGAGAGGGAGGAGAAGTATCCTTTTTAGCTTCTTTTAGTCCTTTGGGATCTGTTATAATGAGTTCATGAATAGGCTATGTACAAGTAGCTCCTGAGTCGAAATGATAATACCCAAACGCCGACACCAACCGTATGCAAGACACTGATATATTCCCAATACAAGACGCTCAACCCAACATATACTATGTTAAACAACCCGCGAAGAAGACCTCCCCCTATTCCGCCTCGCATAAGCCCACTCCCGCTCCTGCCGCCACGTACACTCATCATTAAACTCACAAATCCGACACTTCCACGCATCCATGACCTCCACGCCGCGAGGGGCGCGCTGCCCGCGCCACCACTCCATCTGGTCCGTCAGGTACGACATCATAGACGTGGGGTCGAAGAGGAACGATCGACTGCCCAGCACCCGCGGCTGGAGGTCGTCGTCTGCGGGCGTCGAGGAGAGGTACCGTGCTGTGAGCAGGGGGGAGATCACTGTGGCGTATGATTCTAGCAGGCGGGGTTGGAACTCGGAGGGGATGGAGGGGGCGCTGGAGATGGGTGGGGAGGGAGATGATGACGATTGGGATGGTGGCGGGGGGAGGAAGGTGAGGCGGAGCTGGTCTTTCATGAAGCCCCACAGTTGGGTAAGGTTGCTGTGGGTGAGGAGTATGCTAGTTGAGTCCTGGCTGCTTCCTGGGGGAGTGGAGCCCGGGACGACCTCGGGGGATGAAGACAAAGCGTCGAAGAACTGGTCGTTGAGGCCGCCTACCTCGTTAATGAAGGCGTCTGTGAAGCGGCACTCGGGATCTAGGTCGTAGCGCGCGGCGATCATCTCGATCGACACGTCGTCGCTGGTGACCATGCGGTTGAGCATGTGGTAGTAAATCTGCAGCTGGAGCAGCGTCGGGCGGAACGACGAGCTCTTGACGGTGGGCACCGAATTGCTATTTCGGGTCTTGACGTCCGTCATGTACACCCGCGGTAGATTGAAGGCCTCCTCCGACTGACTGCTCCCTCCGGCGGCCTCGTCCGGCGAGCTCTGCTGCTGCTCGGCCTCGTCCGGCGAGAACACATCCGACAGCCGCTTGCCGCCCTGCGTCGGCGACAGCAAGTAATCCGACAGCGACATCTGATACTCAGGCATAACATCACGGGAGGCCTCCACATCAGCGTAGTAAGACGCGGCGGTAGCCTCCAATTCCGGATCCGGACACTCATACGACAACTGATCAATCACACCGTTGACCAGCTCCCCGTCCACAACGCCCCACACCTCCAGCTCACGGGTGATGCCGTACTCGCGCAGCATGCGCAGACCCTGAATGACGTTCCAAATGCGCAAAGCAAGCGCATCCTCGCGCGTGGTGATCTCCACCGAGACAGTCGTGTAGATCTCGTCCTCGAGCGTCTTGTGGATCGTCGACCCGGTCTTCATGGCCGCCGTGCGCCGCTTGCGCCCGAACTTGGTCAGCGTGTACCAGTACTGCAGCTCGCACCACGCGGGCGAGATCAGGTCCGTTACCGAGAAGGCCTTGTTGGGCGGTCTTCTGAAGCGCTCCACGGGTGACCGCGTGTCGGGTTCTGTTGTCGCGTCTGTGGTGGTGGTGGCGGTGGTGGTGGTTGCTTGTTGCTCGCGCGTGCGCTGTCTCTCGCGGTCTCGTTCACGTCCTTCGGGCGAACTGGGATGTTCTACTAATCGCTTGTGGTCAGGTCAGTCTTTCCACCTATGTTCAATGCACAACTAAACCAAAGAATATTCAAGAAAAAAAAAAGATAGAAGGAGAAGATGAAGATGAAATTACCAATTGCGGCACCACCGTATGGGCCCTGATCTGGCGACCGACGGAACCTCGCAACCTGCCACGGAGGCATCTCCCTCCCCAGCACGCGGGGGACGCGCTCAGGAACAACCTCATGACACTGTTCAATATCTGTTACCACGACGGGTGCTGTCGAGAGATGTAATTGCGGTTGTTGTTGCTGTTGTTGTAGTTGGTGGTGGAAAGGCTGGCGAGGGATGATAGCGGGGGCGGTGGCGTGTTCGGCGACGGCGTTGGTGAGCAACTCATCCAGCAGGGTCTCCTCCTCGGGGGTGAAGTCCGATCCGTAGTCGCTGCTGCTGCCGCCGATACTGCTGGAGTTGAAGCAGTCGTCGAATGCGCCGGGCATTAAGGTCGGGGATAGTGGTGGGCAGGACATGCCTGCGGAGTGAAGCGGAGGTCATCGGGATGGATGATGGAAGTGACTAAGTTGATCAAGGCTGTTTAGTTACTGGATTAGGCTTCAACCTTAACCACGCCGTTAGATAAGCCAAGATAAACATATATATCTATCTTAGAGTAAAGAAAAAGAATAATCATAACGAGGTCTTGTTATGGATTCGTGGATATCTACAGTTCTATAACCGAATAATGCGAATCTAATCTAATCTATACTATCCAAGCATCACACCATCCCAACACTATATAGAGTAACAGAAATGAAGAACGCGGCAATCCAACTACGCCTTCAACACAATCGAAGCCTCAACCGGTGACGGCGACGAAGTCGAAGCCAACTCAGCAGCAACCTCCGCAGCCTCCACCTCCCTCGCGGCCTTCTGATTCAACCAACTCAAATAAGTCTGCCACCCAACGGCAATACAACCCGAGAAGATATTCCGGAACTGCGGCGCCACATACATAAAGCTAAACGCCGTGACACCCGGCCACAGCTTGCAGCTATTGACGATGCTGACAGGGAGGGCTTTCTTCAGCCGCTCCCAGGTCTCCTCCAGCGACGCGCCTGACAGCAGGGAGTGCACGCTGAAGAAGTAGGTGTTGAAGACGGGGGTGAAGACCGCTTGCTGCACGCAGACTTTGGTCAGGATGGAGAGGAACTTGGAGGCGAAGTTGAAGTTGTGGTGGAGGAACATGAACCTTTCCATCTCATCTTATCAGTAAAGCCTTTCTTCAACAAGTAAATCATAGAGTGGAAGGGAAAATCTTACCAGTTATACGACGGAATACTCGACGTCGCACCGACTGTTAAATGTCGCAGCGTCCTCCACGGATCATACCCTCCTCCTCCTCCTCCTCCTTCTCCTTCTCCTTGTCCCTCCCCTTCTCCCTCCCTCCCTTCGCCATCACCCCCTCCTGACCTGTCTGTCGTACCGGTTTCCCCCCACCCGGCGGAAAAAAATACTGCGCGCTCAAATCCCCACACAGATAAACAATCACCGAACTCCACAGCTGCGTCGCATAGGGTCGTCTAGCCTGGACGCGCGAGTACGCCCGTCCAAGATTCCCCAGCGGCCCTTGCACAATAACCTGGCGCAGTGTCCGCCGCGACCCCGAACCGGCGGGGATGGTAGCAGGCGATGGCGGCGCAGCGGTCGAGGGTGAGGGTGTGGTGGCTGGGGTGCCGGCGTCGGGGGAGGGGGGTCGTTTTGTTTGAGGTGGGGTTGGGAGTGGTCTTGTTGGGGGGTTCGGGGGAGGTGGATGATGTGTGGTTGTTTCGTCGGGGTCGGATGCGAGAGGGTGTGGAGGATCGTAGGGTCGTCGTCGTCGTCGTCGTCGTCGTCCTGGTCCTGCTGAGCAGGTGGGAGGGGAGGGGAGGTCGCATCCCGATGTATGCGACCGGCGACCGGAGGTTCAGCGCTCGAAAAGGGTCTAAGGGAGAATCATGGACAGGAACTCAATGTGTCTATCAGAGAAATAAAATGAACAATCAAAGAATAAACTTGAACTGAGGGAAAGGAGAGAGAAAAGAAAAGAAAAGAGAGAGACAAAAAAAGAGAGAGAAAAGAAGTCTATACAGATGACTGGAGTCGGGAAAACCGCCCGGTCGGCAACCGCTTAACAGTCATTCGGATTTCAGGCCGAGGAGTTTGGACGCCACAGAACTAACCCTATTTATAGCACGCCATGTGGCCAAAACTACGATGACTACAATAATGGTAGGAAGATACTGAATCAATGTAGTGATTTAAATCAATCTATTAACCGTGAATTCATCATGCTTTCATGACTTCATTAACTCTTCCCATGCGAGTGAATAGCGCAACAGATAATGATAATGTACAGACAGTCAAATCGGGTATATCCTCGAATCCATGCAGATCAACAAAACAAAGAACAGAAAGTAGAAGGAAAAAGACAAAGGAAAGGATTTTTTCTTCACGCTCCACCATGCAAGTCACATCGACATCGAAGTGTGAACAAAAGCTGTGCTGGAAGCGCTATTAACAGTAATCATTATCGAGCATGTCGGTATGCATGCATGTCTATCGTAGAAAAATGTCCCGGTGTATTGGAAAGGTTTTAATGGAAAGACTCCCGGGTGTGCACACGGTCGATATCGTACGGGTTCCCGTCGTACACTGAGTGGTGGTAGGATCCAACCGTCCGGGTCGAGGCCTTGCTGCGGATCTGCTGCATCGACGGAAGCTCCTCGACGTCCGACACTGATCCGTTCGATATCGGGCGCGCGGGCGCCGGAGCCTCGGTGCGGTCATACCCCTCGAGCTCGACCTCCTTAAGCTCTTCGTCTGCGGCTCCGTCGTGGGTCGCCGTCATCTGGGCCTGCTCGTCGTCCGCGGCCCCGTCGTAGGTCGTCGGCTTGACCTGCTCGATCATCTTACGCATGAAGGCCTCGGACTGGGCGGCGAACTTGCAGCGGCTGCGGATCGTGTGGCCGTACTTGTAGAAGAGGAAGGGGAACGGCACGCAGGCGACGGCCAGGAACGCCGGGATGGACGAGGCCCAGTGGATGCCCAGATCCTCGTACATGTAGGTGGTGAAGAGCGGGAACACGGCACCGAAGATGGACCGCATGACGGAGTTGGCTGCCAGCACCGACGCGGCGAAGATGGTGTACGTGTCGATCAGGTAGCTCATGATGCCCAGGAACACCAGGACCATGCCGAAGCCGAAGGGGACACCGGCAGCCACGGGGGCCATCCAGTGGACGGAGGGGTAGTTGGTCCACGCGAACCAGAACAGGCCCACGGGGATGGCAATGGACGCAACCATGCAGGGAGGCAGCCGAGCCTCGGGCGGAGCGAACCCGCCGTGCTTGGCTTGGGTCTTGATATAACGCCGGTTGTCGATAAAACTGTAGGTCACCGCCAGTAGCATGCCCACCATGATACCCAAGAATGGAAGACTGCCGACGCCCTGGTTCCAGCCACGGACGAACTGGAAGACGATCGGGTAGGCGGCGAACAGCATGTAGAGCGTGCCATACACAATGGCCCTATGTCTCGTTAGCGAGAGATCAGATCCAGACGATGGGATCTGACTTACATATACAGAGAAAGCAAGAAGACGATCGGTTCGCGGAACAGCAGAATCCACGGACGCGACAGGGCAGTGGCGAACGCATCGCGGGGAGACATCTTGCCCTGCTCAATATCCAACTCGCTCCGGTACACCTTGCCAGTGATCTTAGACAGTCTCTCGGCGCGGCGGCGCAGGAGGACGGGTGCGTAGGTCTCCGGAACGAGCACGGTACCCATGATCCAGACCGCACCGGAGAAGGCACCCAGGAACCCCATGACCCATCGCCATCCGGCATTCATGCCCAGGAAGCCACCGATGATAGGACCGATAACTGGACCCAAGAAAGGAGCGACGGCGAACATGCTCATGGCAACACCCCTGGTCTTGGCGCTAAACATGTCGGCAATGACGCCACCGGCATTGGTGAACGGGGACGAGCCAAAGGAACCGGCGAAGAATCGGAGGATGACCAGCGTCCAGATATTCTTCGATCCTGCGATGCCACAGTTGAACGCCGTGAGCGCCATATAGGTGCCAAAGAAGACCACTTGACGACCGAACATCTCACTCAGTGGAGCCCAGAGGAGGGGACCTATCAATGGGTTAGTATCCAATTCGACGAGGCAGCGGGACCAGACATTCAATACGTACCGACGGCAAATCCAAGGACGAAAAGAGAGACACCGAGCGTCGCGACCTCGCTGTCGACCTGGAATTCCGCTTGAATCTCTAACATGCCACCAGTATATGCGGACGACACCAGGGCCACGGCCAGTGTCGCAATGGCCACCAAGATCGTGATGGACCATTTCTTGACGTTGCTAAACGTCATGGGGTTGCGGGGGTCATCTGGAATCCAAGTGACGGAGTAGGGGTCCTCCTCGGTTCCCGAGCCGGGGTAGGGATAATCCACGATCTCCTGCGTCACCACGCCCTGATCGGCCACTAGACGCCAGTATGGAATTTTGCGATATGCTGGAGATTCGACCTTGGAGAGGTCGCCGGCCTCGCGGGCCTTGAATTGTGTCATAGTTGCACCGAATACCATGCGGTGTAATCGAATGTTGTTTGAGTCGTTTAACAATAGGTTGTTCGGAATAAGTTGTTCAACAAGAATAGATCGACTGAATGATAATGACGATATAATTCCCAGGTATACTAGGTATCAGTCAGGTCGAAAGGGTCGATAAGTACGGTATGATGTTGAAAGAAGCAAGATATCAACAAGCACAGAAATATCCGAAGACTTCATATTCAGGACGGGAACAGACTTGATCTATATATACAGTCTGGTTAACTTTTCCTGTTACCATTTTTTTTCATCTGGTTATAAAAAAAACTTACTGATCACTTATCGCCGGTAACTTTAGCCTCGGTCGGATCGCAACCGGGCTGAGAACAGCCCAGTTCGGCCCCACCAATGAGCCAAAAAGGATACTCTGCCGAAATCAATGCATTAATCTGGGTTTATGCACAGGATTAAGGGTGTCGTGGGCCCTCAGCCTGGTGGGCGAGACTGGTCGGGAGAAGCCGAGTGGAGCCAAATCTGGATTGAAATTGGAGGATCCACGGAAAGGGCGGATCATGCGGCGAGTTCTTGATTATTGATTAGTCGGATTATGCTCATTCATATCAGTGACTGACATTGCTGTCTATTACTGGGAAACTGGGATGTGAACAAAGAAACAGGTTGTTATATGATGATCAACAGTTGCCTTGTAGTTCAAGAGGTGTTGGTGTATACATGTTGTCACAGTGATGTCGATATGAAGAAACCAACACAATCCGGACATATCGGATGGACAAATTAGGTGACTGCATTATGCATAATTCCGACTCGGCCGGACCGGCAGAGTATTTCCAGTCAAAAAGCACACCAGGGATTTCCTGAAATTTCTGCGCCACCGACAGCTGTTTGACCCGATCGACTGAAGGATTCTGTCAGATCCACTGTCGGAGGTCGGCTGCTCCGTCATGACCCACTCTCATATCTCTCTTTACTTCAGTACTTTCAGCAGTGGAATAGATACGGTGGGAGATAGGAATGGCACGAAAAGTCAGATACCCGATCCGTGGTGTTTCTGCATAAGCCGGGTTGATTATTCATCCCATTGTGAACATATTCTCTTATATCATAGTGGTTTATATATATCTCTCAGTATCTATGAAATATATATCTGATATAACTATCTTTCATATATATGCCCCTCAACCTCGATGTGATGCTATCGCTCAACAGTATTCTAATCTCCAGTAGCCAATTTGAATAAAATGGATTCCAACCGCATATCTCCTATCTATATCAGGTGGCTTGATTGAATAATCCTCCGACCACCGGTGGCGTCCATCCTAGTCCTCACCCTTGTCCAGGGGCGGCCATGATTTCTCCAAAGTCTACCATGTTCGCACTTCGTCAACTTCCCAGGGCGCATTTTCCACCTCGGGAGTATCTTCCTATATCTCGTATGATCTTTCTGCACCCCCCACTAGTAAGGACCACGGCTTCCCTTTCGCGTCCACCCGCGCGTCAACCACCAACAATAACAACAACAAACTACGTCACATTAGATTCATCAAGACAGATCGAGGAAACCCTTCCTCTGTATGGACCGGAAAACTACTACCCTGTTTATACCGGGGAAGTATTCGTGTCGAGGTACCAGGTAGTCTGCAAGCTAGGATACGGCACGTCTTCCACCGCGTGGCTCTGTCGAGATCTCGAGTAAGCTTAAGCATTCAATAGCCTACCGGTAGAACGCGAATTAAAATGCTTTTAGGAAGCAACGCTTTATCACACTCAAGGTCTGTGTCCAGGGCCGTGCTCCCGACCATGAGATCAAGATCTCCAGGCACCTGAACAACGCAGCCGATCACGCTGGGAAGAGCCGAGTCCGTCTAGTGCTGGACTCGTTTGAGATCATCGGTCCTCATGGAAAACACACCTTTCTCGTCTACCAGCCGCTTGGGATGACATTTACCGAACTGCGAGATCTACTCCCAGACAACATCTTCCCAGAAGATCTTCTTATACAGAGAGGTATCCAGCTCGTCTTGATATCGCTGGTATTCATACACGAAAACAATGTCATCCACACCGGCAGGGTCCCCCATCATACCTAGGTCCCCCTCATCCTCTATCAAATAGAAAGACTAACCCACCTAGACATCTCTCCCAACAACATCCTCCACGCCATAGACAACGATTCTCTCCTTTCCCGCATCGAAGATGACGAGACAACTCGACCAGTAGCCAGAAAAGTCCTCCCGGACCACACCATCTACTTCTCCCGCCCGATGCCACCCTGCACGGGCCTACCGGTCCTCTCTGATTTTGGCGAGGCGAGAGTGGGGAGTAACAAGCACAGGGGAGACATCATGCCTGGTGTATATCGAGCGCCGGAGGTAATACTGGGTATGGAGTGGGATTCTAGCGTTGATGTCTGGTCGACTGGCATGATGGTATTTCTTTCTATACCATATTCTCTCCGCCATATAAAAAGACTAATAGATCGTGTAGACGTGGGATCTTGTAGAAAACAGCCATCTCTTCTTTGCGAAGAGAGATCACGTCCTCAGTGATGAGCAACATCTCGCTGAGATGGTCTCTCTTATGGGACCGCCTCCACCAGAGTTTCTGAAGAGGAGTGAGAGGTGCGATCAATTCCGGGATGCAAATGGTATGTACTTCTCTTCTCTCTCTTATTCTTGTCTCTCGTTCTATTCTTTCTCGTTCTATTCTCCCTATTTAACTATTTACTCTTTTGATCTTATCCCCTCCGATCACTAACAGCTGTATACATTCCAGGCACCTGGAAAAGCTCTCTGCCCATCCCGAAGCAATCCCTCGAAACCCGAGCGCAGCGATTCACAAACACCACCAAAGACAACACGCTCTTCCTCAACTTCATGCGCAGAATCCTCCGCTGACTACCTGAGGAGCGACCGTCAGCGGAGGAGCTCGCGTATGATGAATTTCTAATGCCGCCTTTGTTGGCGACGGGACAAGTTGATTCTAGTCCATAACTACTAATACCTACTACCTACACTACTGGATATATTGAATCAGCCCACCAATACCAACCTACAATGTAATTATAACAATTATAATCATAAATGATCTCCTGATCATATATCAAAGATTCTATACATTCCGCCTAAAAATAGACATATAATCACGCCACGAAAGGACTAGTCCTCTGATCCACCCAAGTACCTAATCAATCAATCAATCTCCGAAGCCAGCCTAAGAGTGTTAGTGTCATCACTCCCGACCGAGGCATCAATCATCGGAATGCCGTTTTATAAGCACTGATCCTCAATTCGTATCTTACTATTTATTAGTTTAATGGATTAAAGATAATAGAGTAGAAATAAGTGGTTATTTTTAATTGAGTCATAAGTTTTGCCTGTCTGTTCTTTCCTACGTGGTCGGTTCTTGCTGTTGGATTACACCTTGGGATGGCCACCTTCCGTACTCTGTACTATTCGAGTAACTCATGGGGTTTATTTCTGAATGACAGTATACTCAAGACGTGACATTAGATAATGTCATGTCTATCGTGGTTGATCTATCCTCTGAAGGTATAGCGTCGTCAACAGTCGACCTTCAAGGACAACGTCAATACACGTAACGATGCGACCGTTGACTACATTTCTGCCAGTCTAACATTTACCCGGTATAAAATAATCATAATTCGGTGGATTGTCTGGTCATAGATGTATTGGTCTATGCCATCAATGGCGCTGAAGGTCACCATTGGGAAAACAGTTCCATAATGTACATGATTGATGCATCCCAGCAATCCACCCGACCGCCCCGTAGAGCAGCCTCCTAGGTCTTGCGCAGAGAAAACAACTAGAACCCATAGCCGAAACCCGTGATATTGGAATAAAAAATGAAAAAAACCCATCATTGATCGCCAGTCGTAAGAGAAAAATTAAAGCAAAACCCCGTTATCGCCATCCCATAAGAGCCAACCCAAAGAATGACTCAATTAAGAATCGAAATTTACGAGCGCTCACCGCGGAGACGGCGGGCCAGCTGGATATCCTTGGACTGGATGGTGACACGCTTGGCGTGGATGGCGCACAGGTTGGTGTCCTCGAAGAGGGAGACGAGGTAGGCCTCGACGGACTCCTGCAGAGCACCGATGGCGGAAGACTGGAAGCGGAGGTCCGACTTGAAGTCCTGAGCGATCTCACGAACCAGACGCTGGAAGGGCAGCTTGCGGATCAGGAGCTCAGTGGACTTCTGGTAGCGACGGATCTCACGGAGAGCGACGGTACCTTTGAATCTGTTAGTCGAGTTGATCGAATGGATTATATTGAGTTGCCACTAGGAACTTACCGGGCTTGTAGCGGTGAGGCTTCTTGACACCACCGGTCGAGGGGGCGGCCTTACGGGCAGCCTTGGAGGCGAGCTGCTTACGGGGAGCCTTGCCACCAGTGGACTTACCTAGTGAGGGATTAGTAACGGTTGAAGTGAGACGCGAGGGACCCTTGAAGCGCGACCGTGACGCGACGAGGGAACCCCTCCACCAAGGGAGGCGACGGTGAGGTTAAGACTTACGGGCAGTCTGCTTAGTTCTGGCCATTGTAGCAGATTAGGTTTGATGGATTTAGTCGACTTGAAGATGGAAAATAAGGTTATTGATGGAAAAGTCGATGGATGGATTGAGATAAGAGTCGACGTGGATGAGGAGATGTAGGAAAGATGGAGGAGGTGGGTGGGGGGAGGTATTTGTAGTAAGCGGGAGGTGGGCGGGTGATCTGGGTTGGGTTGCAGCCTTAGTCTCACTCTTCTTTTTGATCAAAGGGGGGCAGAAAAAAAAGTGGACGGAAAGCAACACACCATAAGCGTGATTTGGACGGGAAGAATTAGGTGCAAACCTGCAAACCCAGGCAGGGACCGGTGGCAGCCTGGGTCAGCGGGAACTAAACGAGCTAACGCTAAGCGAGAGGTTGTTCCGGCTCGGCCAATCAGGTTGCAGGATCACTCCTGTAGAATGCCTTTCCTTTCCTCAGGCAGAACCCCTTCCTGATCCCAACCACAAGGGGGAATTTGGATTCAATTCCGCTGATCCGTCATTTTCTGACACTGATCAGGAATGTTCCTGATATTTTTCGGATTCTTGATCCAAGGGGGTTGGGGGGGAATCCGATCGGATCAACGGAGGCACCGGTCGAATCATGGCTGCTCGGTCAGCAATCCCGACTGATTCAACCCGCGTCCCGGGGATCCTGCCCTCTCATTGGTCGATCTTCTGTCTAGTGCGTGATTCCAGCGCTCTCTCCACGCTCGTCCCTTCGCTATACAAATAACCCCCGTCCCAGACTATCTTCCTTCCTTTCCTCTTCTATCTCCTTCAACTATCATCACGACTCCACCCTCCATAACCAAACCAAAACCTTAACTCTATTCTTCAACTACCTTCAATATGACTGGACGTATGTATTCTCTGCCCTTTTTTAAAACATGATAACCGTCCATCGATCTAACAATCTATCAACAGGCGGAAAAGGTGGCAAGGGTCTCGGCAAGGGTGGCGCCAAGCGTCACCGCAAGATCTTGCGTGACAACATCCAGGGTATCACCAAGCCCGCTATCCGCCGTCTCGCGCGCCGTGGTGGTGTCAAGCGTATCTCCGCCATGATCTACGAGGAGACCCGCGGTGTCCTCAAGACCTTCCTCGAGGGTGTCATCCGTGACGCCGTCACCTACACCGAGCACGCCAAGCGCAAGACCGTCACCTCCCTCGACGTGGTCTACGCCCTCAAGCGCCAGGGCCGGACCCTCTACGGTTTCGGTGGCTAAGCGTGTCGTTTCTCTTTTCGTCTTCTCTTTTGCTTTCGACCATCCTGCGCGGGTCGGCGCGTCATTTCGCCCCTCCGACGCAGTGACGCGGCGGGTTGCTTTTTCGGACTGGTTCACGGGATGACTGGGACGTTGGGGTGTTCTTGATCTTTTTTTATTACCACAAGTGTCATGGGTCTGGGTTTTTCTTTTTATTTTATTTTATTATGGCGCGTACACTAAAGGTCTGCTGGTGTACGCGTTTGATTTCATGTATCATAGCGGCCTTTATGCTTCCAGCTTGCCATAGGCTTATGATCGCATACCATTCAGCGATCTTATGAATACGAACATTAAAATGGCTTTTTATCTTCACTATCTGGGTTTTCTGGATTTGTGCGTAGTTTGTACGCGACGCGTCTGTTGTGTTAGGTTTCTGCCGAACGGCGTCACGCTTGTATTCTACTTCATGTGCCAGTGACTCGGATTCTTACGTGTTGTTTGTATGTTTTACGCGTCTGCGTGTTATTCTCTTGTACCAATTCGAATGGTTTCGTTTTAGTATAACTGAGGTGTACCTTGAGTCCACTGTAGAAGTTCTAATAAGCGTCACGCTTGCCTTGATCGTGGTGATATTCAGTTGTATCTCTATATCTATATAGTCTGTACTTGAAAATTTATTCTTGTTTTATTGTAAGCCACTATGCAGTGTACTAGGATAATCAAAAACGGTGTCGTATGATCAGAGAAACAGTGAAGTATAAATATATATAACAGTCAACCTATCTACAATAGCAACACCTACCATCGACCACTCCAGAAACACCATGATAAACCAAAAGAAAAGAACAGTATAGTATGTACAGCACATTCCCAATGAAAAGTGATCAGAAAAGAGCAACAAATCGACCAGGATCACACTCTAAAGCAACATATACCCTCAATGCAACCTGGTAGATGTTCTCAGAATTCAACGATCGGACGGTAAAATCTTACTCTACCTATTTCCTATAAGAGTTTAAACTAGAATGCTGCCGGGACAATGTCCTAGTGGTCATTATTATTTTTTTTCGTTGGTCGGCCGCCCGAGCAGGCGCCACCGGTTCGAGTCCCGTGGATGGACATTTTTTACAAAATATCCTGGGTAGGATGCACATGTACGGATACTGCACCAGCATTATTTTAATGCGTCTGATCATTGTGATTTTGTTCTTCAAGATTACGAAAGAAGACAGAGGTATAAACATACTCGACCCCAGCTATAGCAGAACAGCAGAACAACAGAACAACAGAACGACACAGATACAAAATCAAACCTACCTCAACTATTCCCGGCCAGGTATACCCAACACGACAACCATCACTACGCGCCTCAGTCACAACCACCCAATACCCCTCAAAACCCAAACCAAGTGGATATCCACAGACCCTACATATACGAGAACCGTGGATAGACTACAATGGCCGTACTGCAAGTCACACACAATACACCATACATACCCAAACCCAAGTAGCGTCGCCCTGCAGCGCTGCTAGCCTGCTACACTACACCACAGCACCCGATCCACCCACCAAGCGGACGAGCAAAGCTGATCAGAAACAGACGAATCCACAGAGATAGGAGAGGGGCCGCCGATCGAACGATGCAAGGGCCCGTATTCTGCAACAGGGTAATAAATATATCTGATACTGTTGTGGGATCATCTTCCTCTTCTCTCTCTCCCGTCTACACCTCTGCAGGGTGATACACCCGGGGATGCAGATGCAGATGCAGATGTCAGGTGAGATGAGATCGCATTTACCACTTTACCTACTCCGTAGTCGACAAACTCACTTGCTGGCCGTTCCATTGGCACGTCTTTGCGAATACCCCAACGAAACAGCCCCATTCCGCAGCGAAAGACGGTGGAGGTGGACCCCTGCAGATATCAACAATACAATATGGAATATAATTCCGTCCCAATAAGTAACGGCCACATGGCAGGGAATGGGGGATACACGACGCGTTATTGCAGGTTGAGGTGGGGATCGTCGATCGCTGGAAATGAATTGGGGACGCTTTGCAGTCCTCTTTTGGATACCGTGCGTGGATGTGCCCACTTGAGTATATTGTAGGCACTGTACTATGCTAATTATATATAGCGTCGTCTGACCAGACAAAACAGACGAAACCAAGCCACAACAATACAATCCACTAATATACCCACCAACTCCAGCACAACCAGACAACTGTACTACACACCTACCAAGTACGCAGCAAGTACTATATACCTGTCCTCTGGAAAAACAAAGAGCGAGATACACGAAGAATGCAGCACAGCTTATCAAACAGCCACCCAATCATAATCCCACTGGTGGAGCAGTCCCTGCAGGATGGTGTCATGATCGACAGGTGTTATTTTCACTCTGTTACCGACGTACATGATACATTGTACTACTGTATGTACCATATTTGCCATTTTTATCAATTATCCCGTGGGTAAAAATAACCACAATAAAATAATAATAGTAATGGATTGCTTTATAATGGTTTGTAATGGCTTATAATAACCAAGAATAACCAAGGGTTTTGTAGACTTAATTATTGATGGTATGGTATTTATCGGGTATCACACTACTGTCTATATATAGTCATTCGAAAGAGGATAGAGGATAGATACTATGTATATCTGTATATAGATGGAACTTACAGATTAACAAGCAGACCAGCTTGTCTATAAATCACGTGGAATAGACAGCCTTGACCATCTCCATTCTTGATACATACCTTACCACAGGTAGACAGCACAGCCCTACCACCCACCTACACTAGGTCAGATCTAAGTAATAAGTACAACAATATAACCATATCAATCAATCCCACAGTAATAAACCACCACCACCAACACAACAATCAACCGAGTAAACGAAAATGAATCAAAAAGCGCGGGGCAGCCACATCCCCAAGAAGACTTGAACAATAAAAGTGGACACCCCTACTAGGTAAGTATGCAGTAGTCTCCAGTATGCCGCCCTGCCCTGCGACAACTACCTCTTAAGGTACTGCCCAAAACACCAAGACTCGGCCGGGAACTCGACGATCCACCGGGTTAAGCCCGCACACTCCTCCCCTACTAGTATCTACTTTGCGATCTACACTTGCTAACTGCATGAACCTACTCTACTGTTTTTTTTTTTTTTTTAAGTTGATGGATATCGTAGGTGTGTATGCTTTGATTTCTGTAGTAGGTAGGTAGGCCAGATAATACTATACTATCTATAGATCTGCGTATTTATTATAGTTTTACAACATATAATAACACCCGACAGCCTCGTGAGGGGCTTCCGAGCTACCCACCTACCTAGTAAGGACCCAGCTAGGAGCTCCTGCAGGATTGATAGACATGGTCCCTGCGGTATAGAACCCGCGTTTTTGTGAGGTGGACTAGCTTGTAGCTTGTGGCTGACAGGGGATGGGCCATGTGAAACCGCCATTCAAAGTAACTAACTAAATAACCCACCCATGGGGTAGTTCGAGCGGGGTACAGTATACGTACTACTCGCTACACTACTCTTGAGATATTAATATTGAAGGAATTAGAAGTGAATGTAGGTATTAATCAAATACTGTACAAAGTACCAACTAACTATACAGATGATCCCGACCAGGGGAGTCCTAGTCAATCCAATCAACCACCAACCAGCCAACCATCCCAATGCAATAAAAAGAAAAAAAAAACGTAAGGCGTAACGATCATACAACAAGAACATATGGTACAGACAATGTCATCCTATGTAATCCCGAATAAAGATAACGAACAT